TCTGGTCTCTCAATGCCCGAGCAGTGTCTCACGCGATTGTGCGCCTCCCCCCAATCTCTGGAGCAATCACGCGCTGGATCGGCTTGGGGCGCCCAGCCAGCCAGTGGGGCCCCTGGGACCAGGCCAGTGGAGCGCACACATGGCTCCCCGAAGCGGCGAAGCCTGATGACAGGCCCAGCGCCAGCCGGGTGCGGCAGACTGCAGGCCTCGAAGAGAGAAGACCAGCAACTGCCCAACCACAAAGGGGAAAACAGTACAAATATACCGCGAGTCTAATCGTGGCGATGGCGACCCGCACAGGAGGCACGAAAGGGGGCAAACTAGGGGGGAGCATCGGTATCGGCACGGCATGTTTTCCTCCTCCGAACCGTTGCCGGTGACAACCCCGAAACATCACAGACGGGCCCTGGAGACCTGGCAGACAGCCCTGCGGGAGGAGACGACCCACCAGCATCGATCCTCAGCGATGACGCGTCGCGGGCATGCCTACCATAGGCGCGTGCGTGGACCCGTGGTTCCGGGAGCAGGTGAAGAAGGGGGTCCGGCCAGGATTGCTCCGAAGGGCCAGGGGGGGGCATGCAATGCTGTGCGGTGGCGAATTCTGGGCTGGAGCAACACCCGAATCGGGGTCACAATATCTTGCGTTTTGCCTGATCCCCAATGCTTTGGGTGACCCACAAGGGGGTCCAGCTGAAAGGGGGTGGTGCAATAGATGTGGGGCAATTGTATTGCAAACGTACCGCCCCTAAGAATTGTACTGCATTGTATTGCACGCCAAAATCCAGCAATGCATGTGCGCCCCGCCCCGGAATGTATTGCACGCCCCAAATGTATTGCAACCCCATAAATTTATTGCACCACCCCCTCATCGCTGGACCCCCTCTTGGGTCAACCCGAAATGCGCGGGCTCCTGCCTGCGCTGCGTTGCTTCCGCGAGAATCATGCCACCCTGAGCGGTCTCCGCCCTCGGAGGTCCCACTCGAGCCGTCGACCCCGCCTCTTCTTGGGAGCTCTGGCGCCGTGGGATGTCTGACAACCTACCAGACCACCCCCAACCCAACCCGAAGACCCGAATTTCGGGTTGGGGGGGGTACGGGTTCCACCTGTGTTTTTCCATGTTCTCCGACCCCCCCCTACTGGAAATGGGTAGCAAATGAGACCTTCGGGTTGGGTTGGGGTGGTTTGGTGGGTGGTGAATGTCCTGTGCGGGCCCCAGGGTGATCAACCTTCAGAGCCCGCGCCGGCATCGTGGCCACGGTCGGGTCAGCGCGGACCCGCCGTGGGTCAGGTCGGGCCTGTCCCCCAAAAGGGCATTTCAGACGAAAAATTAAAAAATACCCCAACCGTGCCCCAAAAATGCAAAAAAATGCTCCAAAAATCGTCCCCCGAGTATTTTATGACCATTTCTGAATCTCCCTCCTGTAGAGGGACAGGCCCGACTTCAGCCGTGGGCCCGATCCCTCCTCCATCTCGCCGAACACTGCCCCGCTCCCCGCCGGCCGTCGCCAACCGCCGAGGGCCGCGCGGGCAGGGCAGACGGCGGCTGGCACTGTCGACAGGCCGCTCGTTGGGCGGCCACGCCGCCGTCCTGTCCGCGGGCAGAGGAGGACAGAAGCAGGATGTAGCGCGCTTGATGTGAGCAGTTGCCGCAGGGCCAGGGAGACGCATGGCGCATGCAAGGCTTCGGCAGCACGCTGGTGGAATACCCTGGAGGGCCGGGACCGGGTCTGAGAGGCACGGCTGGGCGCGCAGGAGCACGGTTCTGTATTTTCGGCGATGATAAGCATCATAGGGGGGGGAAGGGGCCAGAGGGTGGTATAATGTAACGCCTCCCCCACGCCGTGCGCACGGCGGCAGTGCCCGGAGCGCGCTGGGTGGGGAGGGGCGTTACGTTATGGGGGGGGGGGAGGGGGCGGGGGCCATAATGCCCATCATGCCCCAAGCAATAAAGAAACACGCCCCAAACTGGGTGCCCGGCTGAAGCTGGTCTTTTTCAGGGCAGCCTCTGCGGCCTGCAACGCCCCGCGCAAAAGAGGGCTCCCCCCCCCGCACGGGCCCCCGGGCCGCGTGACGCCATGGGGGCCTGCTGAGGGCGCCGACCTCCCTGCTCGGACTTGACGTGAGGAGGAGGAGGAGGAGGAGGGTACATCCCAATGAGTGCCTGAGCCGTCCTCCTCACTGCCAGAGCGCCACCGCACGGAGCCTGGCATCGCGCGTGGCCAAGCATCACATGCCACCTCCCCAGAAATGAATCAAAAGTCTGAGGTCTGACATGTGCGATCGGGGGCGAGTGGGCGCATGCAGGTTAAGTTGGGGTGAAGGATGTTTATAACAACATGTGTACCTACCTAAACCGGAGGAGCCCCAATCACTTGCTCGTGCAATGCACATATACCTGTACACGCATGAAACAGCAGCTTACCGGCGATCGCCGTGAGCAGAAGATGTCAGATGCGGTGCCCTCTACTCTCAGCGCCCTACTCTGTGCACTCCAGCGCCCACAAAACCTGTTTTACCTCCACTCTCCCTCTGCTCTCTATCCTCTACGTCCTCCCCTCTGCTCTCTGCTCTGCTCTCTGCTCCCTGCTCTGCTCTTGGCTCCCGAGGCTCGGCCGCCCCAGCCGGCTCAGTCGAGCTCCCAAACAGCATCGGCGAGCACTGCTCGATTCGGATATTCTGAGCAACGGGTCGAAGGATTGCAAAAAAACCCGAAGGATTGCAAAACAAAACCCTTGAACGAAGGATTGCCAAAAAAAACCGAAGGGTTTTTGTTGCAATCCTTCGCTGAGATCTGATGGACGTCCCCAGCAGCACTCCGCACCCGAGCACGCCACATGCGCGTGGCCTGGCCTGCTCTGGTGATCCCGCGGAGCCGTTCCTCCGACCGGATGGCTTCCCGCTGCCGGAGATGAGACATGCACGTCGGGGGGCAGACGTGCTGAGCTTCTCCCGAGGGCAAAGAAGACACCAGGCGTGGGAAGCATACGGCAGGTTCGTGTCGTGCCGACCCCAGCGTTGGTTTTTGACACCGCAGGGATCGTTCAACCTTGAACGATCGGCCGCTGCCGCAACGTCCGATCGTTCAACATCGATCGATTCTGGGTCGCCCGCGGCGTTCAACCTTGAACGCCCGCGCTGGGGTCGCCGCTGGTCGACACGACGCAAACCTACCGTAACTGGGAAATGAAACGCCAAGCGTTTGAAGTGTGCTGCGACCTGTCAGAATAGTTGGAACATATTGGCGAGGCAACAGCACCTGCCACTACTATCTACAAACAAACGCCATCCCAAGATCGGCAATGGGGAAACCAAAAGGTACCGATACCGCTACTCCCCGGACCTCTCCTGGGGTGCGTTCTGACCGGGATTTCGAGGCGAATCCAGCGGTGCCGATGAGGGCCGCCCAGGCGGCCCCAAAAAGGGAAAATTGGCGAGGGGTAGAGGTATGGGTACCTTTTCCTCCTCTGAGACAAGCCCCCCCATCCACACGCTTGCTATTGTGTCAGGGCCAAGCCACCCCCCCCCCCCCTGCCTACTCCAGAGGGTGTAGCCCGGCTTCTCTGCGCGAGGACTAAAAAATGCACGCAGAAGCTGCTCATTCTATGGCGACGCAAGCATGACGAAAGATAGGGAAATACTGCAAACTCACGCGCGGTAGCAAACACCACATGCACAGGACTGTGCATCACAGAACTCTGGACGCACATAACCCGCCACCGTGCAGCAGACACTGAGTGTAGTGTCCTCGGGTCCCTCCGAACTCCGCTGTGAAGACTGTCATACATGATATTTGCAATGCGCAGAGCCCTAATCGTCGGATTTCCTGGCGATCGCCGCGCGACTCCCAGGCCACTCCGCATGACTTTTCTACAAACCAGGGGTCCCTAACACAAGCCTCTATGGGCCTTGAACCCGAAAAGAGCTCCCAGAGCTCGCCATTCAACCTTATCCAGCTTGGTCTGCTGGGCTCGACTCAACGAACATCCAACTGAATCTGGACGGATGGCCCCCCAGTCCAGCTTCATAGCCCTCGGTCGCGCCAAACAAGACCTCCCGGGAGTTGCCACCCAACATATCCCCAGAGACGGAGAGGTGTCGAGTAAAAAAAGAAAGCAGTGCCGCAAAACCCCAGACACCTCCCAGTGTGCGTCTTGGCTTAGGTCGGGCATGTCCCCCCACAGGCGGATGTTGGAAGACAAATCAATCATAGTCAAAGGTATTCAAAAAAACAGAAATGGACAAAATATCGTCCCCAAACTACTTTTGTATTATTCTTTATATTCGTCCTGTAGAGGGACATGCCCGACTTACGTCTTGGCTTGGAACCCCAGGGCGGCGGATCCAGCCGCGTCGACGAGGTTCCCGGCTCCCGCCGGAGGTCCAGGGAGGGCGAAGAAGCGTGGTGTATAGGAGCCGCGGAGTCGGCCTGCCTCCTGCCCTGGGAGCAGGGGGGGGGGGGGGCGCGGGATCGAGGCCCCCCCCCGTTGAACCCTGCGACGAGCCAGGAGTTGGACCAGAACGACGCCTGGAGAGAGCGCATCTCCTGGAGAAAATGTGTGCCTCGACCCACGGAGGCAGTCCTCTCGGGCGCTCCAGCGTCCTGGCTCGTGAAGAGGTCCCCTGTGTAGGGACCCTTGGCGGGAGCGATCTGCCTCCTCCTCCTCATCATCCCTCCTCCTCCTCCTCCTCCTCCTCCTCTTCCTCCTCCTCCTCCTCCTCCTCCTCCTCCTCCTCCTCCTCCTCCTCCCTCCTCCTCCTCCTCCTCCTCCTCCTCCTCCTCATCCCTCCTCCTCCTCCTCCTCCTCCCTCCCTCCTCCTCCTCCTCCTCCTCCTCCTCCTCCTCCCTCCCTCCTCCTCCTCCTCCTCCTCATCATCATCATCCCTCATCCTCCTCCTCATCGCTCCTCCTCCTCCTCCTCCTCCTCGCGGCGCCGGTGGCAGCGGCAGTGCCGAGAGCGGTCCTGCACCATGAGCGGGATCCGCGTCGGCGCCTCTTGACGTCAGCGGGAGCTCTCCTGCGACTCGGGGCCGCTGGAGCCCGCCTCCTCGGCCGATGAGCCTGGTGCCAGGGGGGGGGAGGAGGCAGGAGGAAGGAAGGAGGAAGGAAGGAGGAGGAGGAAGGAGGGACGGAGGAAGGAGGAGAAGGAGGAGGAGGAGGAGGAAGAGGAGGAGGAGGAGGGAGAGGAGGGAAGGAGGGAGGGAGGGAATGAGGGAAGGAGGGCAGAGGAGGAAGGCGGCACGAGGGGGGAGAGAGAGCAAGCGAGCGAGCGTCCATCTGGCGCCAGGTAAGTTGTGCGAGCAGGGCCGCGGCCAGTGGGCGCGGGACGAGAAGAGGAGGCAGGAGGGCGAGGAAGCAACAGAGGCTCTGGAGGAGGCGAGGAGGGCGAGGAGGAGGGCGAGGAGGGCGAGGAGGAGGGCGAGGAGGAGGGCGAGGAGGGCGAGAAGGGCGAGGAGGACGAGGAGGGAAGGGGAGCAGGTGGGCGTGCAGGCAACAGAGGCTTGGAGTTTGCATGCGCTGGGCCCTGTTGTCAGCCTCCAAAACCCCCCCGGTGACCTCGGGCCAGGGAGGAAGATGAGAGAGGATGAATGAGGAGTTGGGAGTTGAAGCCTTCCTTGGGCTGCGGGGTGGGACTCCGCGGGTGGAGCAGCTCGAAGACACTTTCCACAACAGTGTCAAGTAAAATCCTGGGAGCCACGTTCACCGGACATGGCTAGACCGACCCTGACTTCCGAGCGTAGCGAGGAAAACAAAGCAAAGCGACAAGTGTGGTTCCGCCATTGGAATCCGAACATGTGTTCTCTGATCTGGGGGCCACCCATGGGCCATCAATCAACCCGTCACTTTAAGAAAAGAGGCTGTGGGGGATGATACGGGCGCCTCTGAAACCTGCGCCGTTAAGAATCAACCTAGTGCGGCCCACAATACACTTGACTGCACTCCATACAACCGGAGCGAAGACTAGCATTGTGTGCCACACCGTGGCGCATCGCATCACATCGCTGGCATTGTGTATCGTATCACCGCTTACACCGCATCAACATAACATAGCACACCGCGGCTCTTCCCCTTCCCTTTCGCCCTCTCATTCTCATTTGTTCTTCGTCACCTGCTCGTCCCCTCATCAACACCGCATCTCCGCACACTCTTCCCCGCTCCACTTCTTCATCTCCTACAATCGGATCTCACATCCACTGATGCAGCGCACGAGTCGGGGAACATGGATTGGCGATCCATGGATCTGGCGCGCGGTCGCCAAATCCATGGATCGGGGGAAATGCCCTCCCCAAAATGTGGCCGTTGCCGCCTCGCTCGGCGGCGGTAATCCGCGATTTCCCATGGAAACGGGACCGTCGCTAATCCACGCCCCCTTGATCCATGTTTGCGATCGCCTGAACAAGGGCGGTTAACGCTTGCAAACATCCACGGCCCATCCTTCCCCCTCCGCTTCGGAAGCGAGCGCGCGGCGACCGTGCTCCAACTTCATTTTGTGGCGGGGCCGGGCGCTCGCGCAGATCGGTAGGGCGGGAAGACCGTGCTCCGGCACGCATGGGTCGCAAAGACCTGGCGTGGGCGTAGAGTGCGGCCTGCGTGCTGCGACAAACAGTGGATGGGGCCCAGGGACACGCAAATGAATACACGCAAATCCCAGGATTCCCACATTTTCCCATATTTTCTGGGTTCTCGTCTTTCCCCAACTTCCTATATTTTCAAATATTTTCCTGAGAGTCGACGATGAATTGTGTCTGTGTGTTCCCTCCTGGAACAGGCAGGCCACACCGCACGCCGGGCGGACCGCTCCTGTTTTTTGGCGCGGCTGCCAAACAAGGACGCCTCGGGACTGGCCGGGCCCGCCTTTCGCGATGCATCTCCTCGCCTCCCTGCACCTCCCTGTCCTCCGTCTCGCCGTGTCCTCGCTGTCGTCCTCCTTCTCCTCAACCTCCGCACCAGCGCTCTAGCAAGGACCGACCGTTCCGGCATTCCTGTAGTCCTACCACGAAATGTTCTTCGAACCCCAAAATGTTCTAAGAACAAAAACAATGTTCTTAGAACATGAACCCGATGTGTTTAACCAAGACAGACTCAGCAAGAAATGATCTAAGAACATTTCGTGCAGACCACAAAAAGGTTCTTAGAACATTGCTCGGTAGGGCTATAGGCGAGCCAGGACGCTTCGCCACTGCTTGAGCTCGTCCTTCCCCGCCTCTTCAATTCGCCACTCGTGGCTCTCTCCCCCCTCACGTGGCCCTCCCGTCCGCCGCTCCCTTCTTCATCAGTGGCCTTTGGGTGTGCACCAAGGGCGTGGGGAGGAGGGCCCGGACTGTCGAGGGGGGGGGGAATATTCAAAAATAGCCCACCCAAAAAAGCCTGGGGACTATTTTTTCCCTCCACTTCCCTCGTCTTCCCCTCCACTTCCCATGTGTTCCACATGTTCCTGGGAATCGAAGACTCTTAGTGTCTGTGTTTTTCCCTCCTGAGGGTTTGGCGTTTGATTCGAATGAAACGCGCGAATTTAGGTCTACCAGAAGGTGCTACACAAACTTGCGCTGGCCACGCTGGAGGCGCATTCCTCAACACAAAGTGCACATTAGCATGCGTGCCCACTCGTTGCCGAACCGCTCCGAACTGCGAATCCCTGCACGAAACGACACACGCTTGCCCGTGAAGGCTCGCTGTCCACAACGCGACCGCATCGAACGTGGGTCAACACCTCTGCGTGGCGCCATGTTCGCTCAACGTCAAATTTTGGCAACCGACATTGTCTTCGCCAGTTGTAAACTCCAACATTCTCGCAGGGCGCTGGCCTGAGGTCCGCAGCCGAGAGGAGCTGGCTCGTCGGGCTTCGTAATCCACCGAACTCGCTTCACGACCGTCATCATTCACTCGCTCACCCACGCCCCCACTCACCCCCCCTCCTCCTCCTCCTCCTCCTCCTCCTCCTCCTCCTCCTCCTCCTCCTCCTCCTCCTCCTCCTCCTCCTCCTCCGCCGCCTCCCCTCCTCCTCCTCCTCCTCCTCCTCCTCCTCCTCCTCCTCCTCCTCCTCCTCCTCCCCTCCTCTCTCCTCCTCCCCTCTCCTCCTCCTCCTCCTCCCTCCTCCCTCCTCCTCCACCCTCCTCTCCTCCTCTCTCTCCTCCTCCTCCTCCTCCTCCTCCTCCTCCTCCTCCCTCCTCCTCCCTCCTCCTCCTCCTCCCCGTCCCTATCCTCTCCTCCTCCACCTCCTCCTCCTCCCTCCCCCTCCCCTCCTCCTCCTCCTCCTCTCCCCGTCCCCCTCCTCCTCCTCCTCCTCCTCCTCCTCCTCCTTCCTCCTCGTTCTCCTCCTCGTTCTCCTCCTCCTCGTTCTCCTCCTCGTTCTCCTCCTCGATCTCCTCCTCGTTCTCCTCCTCGTCCTCCTCCTCGATTTCCTCCTCGTTCTCCTCGTCCTCCTCCTCCTCCTCCTCCTCCTCCTCCTCCTCCTCCTCCTCCTCCTCCTCCTCCTCCTCGGGACCGTCAACCAACGACGTGGAAGGGGGTCGAGCGTTCCAGGGGCCGGTGGCTCGACAAAGCGAAGACGTCGGAGGTCAAGGGAGGAGGGAGGGGAACTCCTGGAGAGGGAGGAGAGGGGAACTCCATGAGAGGGAGGGGGAGGGAGGAGGAGGTTGATGAGGTCGAAGCGAGGTGTACGGGGGGGTCGAGGAGGCCGAGGAGGAGGACCAGGAGAGGGGAGACGGAGGAGGAGGAGGAGGAGGAGGAGGAGGAGGAGGAGGAGGAGGAGGAGGAGGAGGACGGCGGGGAGAAAGGTTGTGGAGGTCAGTGAAGAGAAGGAGGAGGAGGCGGAATAGGAGGATGAGGAGGGAGAATGAGGAGCACTATCCCAGCGAAAGATCCGGAAATCTGCAAGCGTATGTGCCGCAGGCAGGTGGGACGAAGGAAGAGGGCGCCCTCTCTATGCGAACCCTACCAAACGAGCCTTCGGTGGAGCTCCCGCGTGAGGGGTGCGCCGAAGGGGCGATGGGGACGCAGGCGAATCCTGCCACACAAAAAGCTTCGATGGGGCTCCGCGTGGGGGCCGCGAAGCGTGCGCAGGGCGTGCCAAGATATCATCGGGGGACGCAATTGTGAACCCTGCCGCAGGAGCCACTGGTTGAGCCCCACTCGTGGGGCCACGAAGCGCGTGAGGGTGCGCAGAAGTGGGCGGGGGGACATATCTCGCCATCGCTCGGACGTCCATTCCCTATGCTTTTTTGGTTTCGTGCGCGGTTTTTTCGCCAAATGATCAAGGATGTTCCTCGATGGTCCTCGCCGAAGGAAACATGCACACGTCCGAGCGATGCCAAGAGAAGTAGGCGGGGGGACGTACGCGAACCCTACCCCAGGAGTCTTCGGTGGAGCTGCCCGTGAACCGCCTGAGGGGTGCGCCAGAGCGGTCGGGGGAGGGGGCGCATGCGAGCCCTTCCACAAGAGCCTGGGGAGGAGCTCCCTGTGGGGCCAGGAAGCGTGTGAGGGGTGCGCCGAAGGAGGTCGCTGGACGCATGCGAACCCTACCACAAGAGCCTTCGGTGGAGCTCCCGATAGGGCCACAGCGTGTATGAGAGATGAGGTGCGCCGACATGGGCGGGGGGGTGGGCACATGCGGATTCTGCCACTAAAGCCTTCGGAAGCGATACCTGTAGGGCCACGAAACGTGTGAAGGGGGTGCCAAACCGGGCGGGGGGGGCAAAGTTGAACCCTGACACCAGAATCTTCGGTGGAGCTCCCTGTGGGATCACGAAACGTGTGAGGACTGTGCCGAAGTTGTCAAGGGACGCGTGCGAACCCTGCCACAAGAGACTTCGGTGGAGCTCCCTGTGGGGCCAAGAAACGTGCGAGGGCTGCGCCGAAACGGCGTTGAGGGACGCATGCGACCCCTGGAGCCGGCGGGAGGAGTGGAGCGCGGCGCTGTCCTGTCAAGACGAGGACCCAACACCACGGGACACTCGGGAATGAGCAGAACGAGCGGCAGGCGAGGAGTCGACGTTGCCTGAGGGCGAGCCCTGGCGCCGCCGACGCTCCAGCAAACGGCGAGGAGGAGGCGAGCGAGGACAAGGTCGAAGAGGACCCCGAGGATACGGATAGAAGATGAAAAAACAACCACATAAACATAAACTCTTGGCGCTCCGCGCAGATTTCGTGGATTCGCGTTGGACCCCACTCCCTGGCGCGCGGAGCGCGCCAGGGGCGGCGCCGGAGGCGCCGCCAGGGGGGGCCCCGCGCGGATCCAAGACATCCGCACGGAGCGCCAAAAGCTTACGTTTATGTAGTTTTTCTTCTTCTTCTTCTTCGAGGAAAGGAGGCGAGCGAGGACAAGGTCGAGGAGGGCCCCGAGGACGCTGAGGACTACGGGCAGGTCGAGGCGACCCGCGGCACGCGCGGGAAGCGCGGGGGGCAACGCCGGCGCCGACGGCGCAGACCAGGCCGTGGCGCACGGCCCGCCTCCCCCTGCCGAACTGGTCCTTCGTGCAGGGGGTCGAGGAGCGCGTTTCTAGATAGTTTCGGCGGTCGTGAGCATCATAGCGGGGGGAGAGGCCAAGGGGGGTACACCCTGCGAAATGCTTAAGAAATCATGGGTTAAGAAATTCATAGTCTCAGAACTTGAAGAAAAACCCAACGTTTCCGTTAAAATCTCAAGATTTACATTGAAACATTAAGAATAATCGAGACTCTGGCCGAAAATTTAAGTTTTCTTAAGCATCGCCTAAGGTGTATGCTGTAACGCCTCCCCCCGCCGTGCGCACGGCGGCAGTGCGCCCGGAGCGCTCTGGGGGGGGAGGGCGTTGTGTTACAGGGGGGGAGGGGGGGCCAGGGGCTTTAATGCCCATCATGCCCCAAGCAGAAGCACGCTCGAGGTTGTGACAGGACTCGCGGAAGATGAGGAGGACGGGAAGGAGAGGACCAGAAGAGGTCGAGGCGGCGGGGGGATCCTGGTGCGGCATGGGCCCGCAAGGGCTCAAAAGCCACAAGAGCAACCGCGAAGATGCCCGAAACCCGTCATAACATAATCACAAAAAATGCACGAAACTCCTGATGCGCGACCGCGAAAACGCTCGAAGTACATCGAGAGGAAGGAGATTCAGTCGCGAACCGCCTGGCAGGGCCATGATCTTCTTGAACCGCAGCCCTATGTAACGCCCTTGATCGAGGGGCGCGCCACCATTAGCTCTAGCCCTGTTCATGATGAACTCCTCCTCTTTCTCATCATCCAGTAAAGGCCTCCTAGATGGGGCCCGAGAAGATGGGGTCGAAGGATCGCGCCGACGTCGCCAATGCATCGCCGATGTATCGGCGATGCATCGGCGACGTCGGCGTGGGGAAACACGGGTTCTAAGTCGAGAAATATCGTCGATGCATCAGCGATGCGGCGCGATCCTCCGACCCCCATCTACTCCGACCCCCATCCAAGAGGCCTAGATCAATCATCATCCGAATCCGCCGCTGGACCTCCCAGCTCAGCAGGTGGTTGCCCGGCCCCCCTTCTACCAGAGGGTTGCGCAGCGGAACCGCCTCCGCCACAGCCCGGGAGAGGGTTTCCCGACTTTCCATCGTCTAGGGAGCCCACAAAAAAGACGGACACGCCCACCCACAAACGTTAACACGGTCCCCAGTCCACGAGACCAGCCGCACGATACGGAGGTTCGCGCAATTTGTGCTCAGCGTGGAATCGTGTACGTGTGCGTCCTCTTTCAGATCCTGCTCTCCTCTCCGTCCTGAGTCGTCGCCCCAACCTCCCCTCGACCTCGCCAGCCCCTTCGCCGCCGCCCTCCCGATGAGGGCGTGGGTGCGACAGCCGAACTCTGAATGCAGGCGCACTGGCAGGAGAACGCCCTCCTCCCTCCCTCCCTCTGCGCTCCCCTCCGCCGGCTGGGCGGGCGCCTCCCCTCGCCGGGCCCGCACGACAGCTCCCCCGGCCAGAGCGCTTGGACGAGCCCGACCCCTCGTCGGAGCCGCTGGTCTCCTGCCGCGGGGACCCCGGGGAGGAGAGGGAGCCTCGGTGCTGCGGCAAGCCCGTGCCGTCGCGACCTGGGCTTTGGCTCCGGACACCGCGCGGATCCGTCAGGCCTCCACGATCGCTGGTTCTTCGACGGCCAGGTCGTTCCGCATTGGCCGATGCAGGGCCCAAGACAGCATTCAACCTGGAACGCCCGCGGCGGCGTCGCCCCCGCGTCGACACGACGCGACCCAGCCGTGCGCTGAGGCTGTCGACGCCGCCGTCCAAAGGAATAACAAGGAGAAAGGAAAGACAAACAATGAATCGCCATCCATCAGTGGAACTTCAGAAGAAGAAACTTGCGAAATGCGCCAGGGCGGAGGCACGACCTCGAAACGGAACCGCCCTCAATCTCCGTAGTTGTTGGAAGCTTCCAGACTTCAGGATCTTCAGCGGAAGGAAACCGCAGGCGAGAGCCATATTCAAGAAAAGAGACCGCCCTCCATCTGTCTAGATATTTGAAGTTCCAAAGTTTCGGACCGCACGCCTTTCCAGAACTTCAATCGAATGTGGTCGGATCTGGGTGCGAAAACCACATGTTGAAAACTGGACGATGTCCACTCACGTAGCTGTTACTTTTATACTTACATATACAGGTCATTCGTTGTCCATGGACGCGTGGCTGTAAAAGGATTCCGTGGCCCAGATCCTTGTTGTGTAGTATTCGTTGTTCGTTGTTGAATTCCAACTTCTAAAGACTAAGTCTTGTTGATTCCCCCCTTTGTGCCCGTTTGGTTTTTCAATTCAAATGCTCCTCCCGGGGCTCTCCCGTTTTTAACAAGGGAAGACCTTGGGGCTTACATTGGGCCCATTACAACAGAAACGGCTCCCGCCTGATACTTCCCCACAATTGATTCCAACATCGCGTTCTCGCGCGGGACTTCATCACAATGTATGCAGGAATCGCGCTTTCGCGTGGGCTTCCATGCAAACTATTCAGACGCCGCGCCCTCGACACTCAAGAATCACGCTCTCGCTCTGGCCTCTCTCACGATTTACTTGGGAATCGAGCTACCGCTCGAGCCTTCCCCGCGAGTCATGCAGGATTCACACTTCAGCAACCCGTCTGCTCGACCTGGCCGCCTGGGCCCGCCTTCCCGACCCGCCCTTTCGAGTCTACCCGCCCGATCAAACCGTCTGGTTCTGCCGCGCGCTTTGTGCTCCTGGCCCTCATCCTGCAAATCTTTCTCATGCTCCAACCTTCTCCCTCCCCTCCTTTTCATCGGTCCTCTCTTCCCGAGTTTTAGGGGCTGTACCAGTTACGCGTGGCAGGTGAGGAAGATAGGAACCGATTTGGGGTACGAGCGAGGACGAAGGGGGATATCGTGTGGCGGTTGTCAAGGGTGTGGGATATGCGTGTTGAGTGGCACGCGGGCAGGGAAGAGCGAACAGTCTCAGTTTGATCGTTGGTGTTGTTGACGTCTCGTATCTAAAAGAAAGTATAGTGGACTTCTCCTCCTCGGTGCACCTTCTATGTTTCAATTCAAGTGCCCCCCCGGGCTCGCACCATTCTGTTGGTATCAAGGGACATCATGGTCCTCGAAATACGCCCCTGGCCCCTGGCTTACAGCAACAGCGGCTCCCGTCAGATACTTCCTCATATGTTTCCATACCCAACAGGATGGGGTTCTTGTTAGTACTCTGACTGCGCCGACTCCTTCCTCACACCTCCTCCTCTCCTCCTTCTCTGTCCCATTCCACTCAGAGTATGATGATGATGATGATGATGATGATGATGATGATGATGATGATGATGATGATGATGATGATGATGATGATGATGATGACGCTGATGGATGGTTCTGATGCTGATGGATGATGGTGGTGGTGGTGGTGATGGTGGTGGTGGTGATGATGATGGTGATGATGCCGGAGCAAAGTCTGAGGATGTCTCGGTCGAGGCGCGGGCTTCGGCACCCCCAAGGGGGAGCCGCTCGGGGGTATTGCACTCCTCCGTTCGCGCCAAAATGGCGGAGATGCCTTGAGCGGTTTGCCGGTTTACCAGCTCAACATCATCCGCTTTCGGAGCAAAGTCTGAGGATGTCTCGAGCGAGGCGCGGGTTTCGGCACCCCCAAGGGGGAGCCGCCAGGGGGTATTGCACCCCTCCGCTCGCGCCATAAAAGCGGAGATGCCTCGAAGTGTTTGCCTGCTTGCCAGCTCAACATCATCAGCTTCCGGAGCAGATTCGGAGGATGTCTCGAACGAAGCGCTCATGCTCACCCCACAGGGGGGCCAGATTTTGAGGACGTCTCGAGCGATTTGCTTGTTTTGCTGACCAAGCTCGTGGGGACTGATCCTCTTCAGGATGCCACAGGAGACTCCAGCATGCTCCAGGAGGCTCCAGGAGGCCACAGGACGTACCAGGAGGCATCAGGTTGCAACAGGAGGACACAGGAGGCCACAGGAGACACCAGGAGGTTCAAGGAGGCCCCAGGAAGCCCCAAGAGGGTCCAGGTGGCTCCAGGAGGCTCCAGGATGCTCTGGGATGCCACAGGAGGCCACAGAAAACGCCAGGAGGCACCAGGAGGCCCTGGAAGGCTCCAGGAGGCCCCAGGAGGTTTCAGGAGGCCCCAGGAGGCCCCAAGCTCACGCGCAGAAGCGCGCTCGTACGACTGAGACTCTTTCACACTCCAACCCATTCACAATTAGAGTCGCTCCCAGACCGTGAATATTTGAGCCCGTGAATATTTGAAAACTCTTGCGCCTAGACACTCACGGCGGACAGGTCCATGCTGGTAGATGCACATATATACGGGGAGCTCCACGCAGTGAATAATTTAAGTCCTCTTCACAATGTATGCAGAACTCGCGCTCGAGTTGTACTCATAGTTTCTTGCGGCGCCGTGCCCACAAGACTCAAGAATCACGCTCTCGCTTTGGATCGCCTCACAATTTGCCCAATCATCGTTCTATCGCTCAGAACTTCCTTGGGTCCATGTTGGATTGACGTTTCAGCGACCCCCCCGCTCGACCCGGCCGCCTGGGCCCGCCCGTCCGACCTGCCCGTCAGGATCCGCCCGCCCGATCCGCCCGTCTGTTTCTGCTTCGTGTGCTCCTGCTCCGAGAGCGGTCCTGCTAATGTCTCTATTGCTCCATCCTTCTCACCCCACTTGTTTCTTTCCTCCTCCCTTCCTTCCCCTGTTTTGAGGGCTGCGCCAACTACACGCGGCAGGTGGGGAAGATATATACCCCCAAGGGTATCGAGTGTTCGGGATACGTATGTTCGGCGGGTATCGAGTGTTCGGGATACGTGTGTTGAATGGCGCGTGACTGAACTTTCAACTGATAATTGTTGTTTGTTGTTGCCTTGGTCATCGCCCGTGACCGCCAGGCTGTAGGACGAAGTTGCTGCTCCCTAATTTACCACGCCCGAGTCGCGCTGCCTGAATTTCCAGGGGGGGCGTGGGACACGTTAACCATACATGAGACTCGTGCCCCCCGAGGCCAGAGTCCTTAGTAACGTACGCAACATGTTCGCGTCATCGAGGTCACAAACCTTCGTGAGTTACGCAAGTGTTGCGCCCCCGGGGCAACGCACCCTCGTAAGTCACGCAACACTCGCGCCCCCGGAGCCATACACCGTCGCAGAGTACGCCATGTTCGCACTGCCGAGGCCAAAAGTGCTCCGGGGCGCCCAAAGATGATTCCAAGATGGCCCAATAAGGCCCAAAGAGACCCCAAGAGCGCTCCAAGAGGCCTCCCGAGAGAGCCCAGGCCAAACTCGCAGATGTTACGAAGGTGTTTGAAGCATGTTAGCCTTCTCGCATGCTCGGCTTTCCGACGCTCCAAGACGGCTCAAGAAGCTCCCAAGACCGCCCCAAGACAGCCGAACACGCCTCCAAGAGGGCCCCAAGACGGCCCAAGAGGACTTAAGAATGGCCTGAGAAGCGCTCAAGACGGCCCAAGGGGGCCCCAAGACTCCCCCAAGGGGGGCCCAAGCAGGGGACCACGAACCGAGCATTCGATATCTGTGCCCCGAGAAATCTCCAGGAGGCCCAAAGAGGCCGCCGAAAGGCCCCAAGAGGCCCCAAGAGACGCCACAGGTACGCCCAAGAGCCTCCTCCTCCTCCTCCTCCTCCTTCTCCTCGTGATCTTCCCCGCCATCCTCCCCCAAGTGTTCCCCGAAGGGTTTCTACAACGGCTGGGGGAACACATGGCCCGATAGCTTGGCAGAGCTCTTGCCACAGCGCTCGGCCACATGGGCGACTGCAAAAGGCAGGGGGCGGCGGTGATTCGCCGTAGGCGTCTTCGATAACGCCAACGTCTGAATATGCGCTGATGATTCCTATCCGCCCCCGCATGATGTTCCCAGATGCGCCAAGGCAGCACCGAGATGCACCGACGCGACTCTGATATATCCCATTCTGATAGAGAGGGGGCCGGCGGCAAGGGGCGAAGCCCTTACGGATATCAGCACACGCGTGAATATATACACACCTACCTACCTACCTACCTACAATCTGCCTGCCTGCCTGCCTGCCTGCCTGCCTGCATACATACATACATACCTACATACCTACATACCTACATACCTACATACCTACATGCATACATACATACATACATACATACATACATACATACGTACACACGCACGCACGCACGCACGCACGCACGCACATACATGCATACATACATACATACATACATACATACACCCATACATACATACGTGCATACATACATACATACATACATACATGCATACATACATACATGCATACATATGCATATGCATGTATGCACACATACATACATACATACATGCATGCATACATACATACATACATACGTACACACATACATACATACATGCATACACACATACATACGTCCATACATACAGATATGCATACATGCATGCATACATGCATACGTATATGCATGCATGCATGCATGCATTCATACATACATACATACACACATAAATACCTACATACATACATACACACATGCATACATACATGCATGCATGCATGCATGCATACATACATACATACATGCAGGTACACGCATACATACATGCACACATACATACGTACATACATACATACATACATACATACATACATACATGCATGCATGCATGCATGCATGCATGCATGCATGCATACACACATATACACATACACACATACTTGCATACATACATACAAACATGCATACATGCATACAACCATACATACATACACACATACATACACACACACACATACATACACACACATACATACATACATACATACATATGCATACAACCAAACACATACATATACACATGCACATGCACATACACAAACACACACACACACATACACATACACGTATACACGTTTACATATATATATATATACATATGTGTATACACATATGCGTACACGCATACGTATAGGTATACATATACATGTGAATATATATATATATATATATATATACACACGTGGCAGCCCGCAATTGTGGATAAAAGTGTGGGGGCGGCGGGGACGCCGGCAGTCTGCGAGGCTCTGAAACAGCCCGCCGCAGGCGCCACATGTGGACAAATATACAACGAGCCCGCAGCAGGCGCCGATTTTTTTCGTTAAAGCAATGTTGGTGGGTCACAGGGTGGGTCGCAAATGGGTCGCGGGTGGGTCGCTGGTGGGTCGCGGGTGGGTCGCGGGCCGGGTTGCGGGTTGGTCGCGGGTGGGTCGCGGGTGGGTCCCGGGCGGGTCGCGGGTGGGTCGCGGGTGGGTCCCGGGCGGGTCGCGGGTGGGTCGCGGGCGGGTCGCGGGTTGGTCGCGGGTGGGTCGCGGTGTGGGTCCCGGGTGGGTGCCGGGTGGGTCGCGGGTGGGTCGCGGGCCAGGTCGGGGGGGACAGTGACTGACCGGGAAGCTGAATCTTGAAATCCACACTGACACACAATGTTTGAGCAATTTCGGCATGCGCGCGCGACGACGCGCGCGTGTGTTCGTCACACCTGTTGCAGGGAATTCTTACCAACTGGTGATTGTTGATAACCGCGTGCGAGCGCATTGTGTTCTCTGACTGGGAAATGGGGTGGGAGCTCGATATGTACCGGCTGGGCAGGGATGGTATGACATCAAATCTAGAACAAACGACGGGCATAATCACATGCAAACTGCACGATCCTAAGGGGTACCGATTCTTCCAGGGGGGGGAGGGAGATTCCAATTCCTTCTTTCAGCGGGAAGTATCCGCGGAGCGATCCGTTTTGTGCAATCTGCAAGGGCCAATCTACGAGGTGCAACCTGTGGTGGCATCGATGTGGTGCAACTCCCCCTGCTAATCCACCCCGCCCAGGGCCTCGGGCGCCCCGGGGGGGGAGCAGAGGGCGGCCAGCGCCTCCAAGCCCCTCTGGCCGAGGCCGCTCCCGGGCCCACAACTTCTGGGGGCGGGTCGCACGAGTCCATGCGGCGGGGACGGTGCCGACGGCCCTGAGCCCCCCACACTTGTGGACACGCGCGTTCCGCTGCTCGCGAGGAAATGCTCGCAGGCGGTCTGGATCCTCCGAGGGGCATGTGCGATCTGTCACACGGAGGCAGACGTACGGCTTGGCGGACGTTTGCGAGCAGGCACTCTGCGAGCAATGGACCGCGCTCGGTGAACTTGCCTGCGCCAATCAGGGCGCCGGCTGCGGGGGCCCGCGCTCCGCAGCCTGCGGCTGCACGCCACGGCGCCGGCCTCGGTCGGGCCCGTCCCCTCCTGCCCCTGGCATGCCTTCTCGGCCAATTGGCCGGGAGGGCGAGCGCACCAGCCGCGGGGCCCAGAGTGGGCCTGGCCGGGGCTGGCGGTGCTTTGCTGTCGGCTCCCAGGAGGCCCAGCCCAGAGCCAGCCGCTGAAAAACCGCCCGTGGCCATCGTTCCTCCTGCCAGGAAGGCTTCGGTCAGAGGTCGGCACCCCGACCTCTCCCACGGCGCGGTCCGACCAGGACTTCGAGACGCACTCGGCCAGAGCGACGAGGGCGGCCACGAGAAGGCAACACGCAACCTCACATTTCTTCCCCTCTCTTCCCTCGTCGTCCTCCCCTCGGGCAGTCGGGTGGGGCAGCACACATGCAGCGAAGAAGCGTGCGCCGCTCGTGCACCTTTCTCTTGGCCCGCGGTGGCAGCCTAGGAGCCCCCCGACCCCTTCAGAGGGCGCCTTTCACACAGCCCTTGCTTCCCTCGCGTCCATGGCACCCCCTCCTCCTCCTCCTCCTCCTCCTCCTCCTCCTCCGCCCTCCTCCGCCCTCCGATCACCCTCCTCCCTTTCCTCCCCCTCCCCTCCGGGTCCCTCCTTCGGGGCGCTGCAACTGCCGCTGCCGCCGTTGGAGTCCGAGCCGTTGCCGTTCGAGCCGGAGCGCTGGGACCTCGTGCTGCGCGACAGGGTGGCGCCGCCGGCCGCCGTGGACTCGCCCGAGCCTGGGGAGGGGAGGGGGGGGGGCGTCTCCTCCTCCGCCTCCTCCCTCCTCCCCCTCCTCCTCCTCCTCCTCCTCCTCCTCCTCCTCCTCCTCCTCCTCCTCCTCCTCCCTCCTCCTCCCTCCTCCTCCTCCTCCTCCTCCTCCTCCTCCTCCTCCTCTCCTCCTCCTCCTCCTCCTCCTCCTCCTCCTCCTCCTCCTCCTCCTCCTCCTCCTCCCCCTCCATCCTCCTCCTCCCCCTCCATCCTCCTTCCTCCTTCTCCATTCCATGCCTTCTTTCCTTTTCCTTATGAGCAACTCCTCCCTGCCGCACCCCGAAGCGCGTCGGTGGGGCGGGCCGGGCACTTCGCCTGAGACTTCCTCACCGTGGATGATCCTTAAACTGAGAATTTGCAAGACCTTCACGGATGGAGGGCGGGCCGAATTTAAACAGTGGCTATCACCTTAGCGACGCGCACACTTGTCTGAACATTTGCAGGAGATTCACAGATGGAGGGCAGTCCGCTTTCAAAATGTGGCTATCGCCTTAGCGCCGCGCACATTTGTCTTGAACTGAGCAAGCATGAGCTTCACGGATGTAGGGCGGGCCGAGCGCCGAGCGCGCACATACGTCTACCGCCCCCGAAATAATGTGGTGGCACGGTGTCGGACTGCCAGGGCGCCACAGTTACTCTGATTCGCGCGCAGTGTTGAAGTCCCAGACATGGTTTTCTGGCACGATTCAGGATTGTCAAGACGCAGCAGTAGCGGCGAAGTCCCAGAAATGGTGTTCTGAGGCAGTTCAGGATTCTCACATGGTTGTTATGAATTCAGGATTTTCTCATGGTTGTCTTCGAACGTGGCACTTCCCTTTCTGCAAATGAATCCTAGTAGAGCCTATGAAGAGGGAACTTGGAGGGAGGGTTTATTGCAGAGGGCGCGCCGCCAAAGGGGGGGGGGGGTCCAGGATCCCCCCCTCCCCACCTTTCCCCGGTCCGTCGGCGGACCCCCCCCTCCCCCCCTTTTTCGATCCGTCGTCGGCGAACCCCACCCCCCTCCCCCCGTTCAAAAGGGAGAGGGTCGAACCACACACACCCCTCATCCCCTTAGATTCGTCGAAACTCGGACCCTACCCCTCTTTACTCCGGAACCATAGCTCCGGACCCCTACCCCTAACCCTAACTCCCCTAACCCTAATCCATAACGCCAAACCCCTCACCCTATTCATATTCCTAACCCTCACCCGAACCCTTACCCACCCAAACACTTACCCTCACCCTCACCCTCACCCTCACCCGAACTCTAACCCAATACCGAACTTTAACGCTCACCCTAAGCTCTGACCCCTAACCTCTAGCCCCTAACCCCCCCTATAACCCTCACCGTAACCCCTAAAGGTAACCCTACTAACCTAACCGAACCCCCTGACTCCCTACCCCTAACCCTTACACCCTAACCCTAACCCCATAACCCTTACCTTAGACCTAACCCGCCCGAACCCTAATCCTACCATCCTAACCCTAACCCCCATAATCCCCTAACCCCCGAATCCGAACCATAATCGCTTAACCCTAAATCTTACCCTTGCGCGACCCTTCTAACCCTCACCCCCTACCCCTAAACCCTACCCTAACGCCCTAATTCTAACCCTACCACCCTGACCCGAACCCCTACGACACTGACCCGAACACTCTAACCCTAAACCTACCACCCAAACCCTAACCCCCTAACCTGAACCCGAACCCTACCACCCTAATCCTGATCCCCTAACCCTAATACTACCCCTCTAATCCTAATCCTACTCCCTGACCCTAACCCTGGCCCCCAAGAAACCCTGCCACACTAAACCTACGCCCCTAACCTCCTAATCCCCTGGCCCTAACACCCTGACGCTGACCCTACCACCCCGACCCAATCCCCCCTGACGCTATCCCTATCACCCTGACCTGAACCATACCACCCAAACCCAAACCCCCAAACCCAAACCCTAATCCGAACAACCAAATTCGAACCCCCTAAACCTAACCCTCCCCGTAACCTCCCAAATCCCAACCCGAATACTCTAACCATAACCCCCTGACCCCTGACCCTAACCCTGACCCTAACCCTGACACTACCCCCTAACTCTACCACCCAAACTCGAACCCCCCTAAATCTAAACCTAACACCTTACCCCTAACCCTGGTCTTGGCCCTACCAGCCTAAGCCGAACCCCCTAACCCCGACCCTAACCGGAACACCCTAGCCCTAAGCCTACCACGCGAACCCGCAGCCTACCATCCTAATCCTGAACTCCTAACCCTAACGCCCTAACCCTAACACCCTAGCCCAAACTTTCACCACAACACAACCACTCGAACCATGACCCTAACCCCATAACCTGAACCTGATTCCCTGACCCCAGACCCTCAACCCTAACCCTACTCCTAACCCTCAAACTCACCCTAACCCTGACCTGAACCATACACCTAAACCCTAGTCCGACCTCGAACCGTAACCCTACCCCCAAGCTCTAACCCCTAACCTCTGCCACCCTAACCCTAATGCCCTAACTCACAAACCCAAACTCTAACACCCTGACCCTAACCCCCATAACCCTAACCTTACTCCTGATATTCACCTTGCACGGAACCTTAACCCGAACCTCAACCCTAACCTGAATCCGAATCCCATACCAAACCCCAGTCCTACCATCCTAGCCCTAACCCATGTAGCCCCCGAACCCCCAAACCCGAACCCGAACCGCCTAATCCTGACCCTAACCCTAACCGGACCGCTTCAACCCTGACCCACTACCCTAACCTCTACCCGAACATACTAACCCTAAACCTACCACCCAAACCCGAACCTCCATGACACTAACCCTAAAACCCTAACCCTAACCCTACCACCCAAATCATCATCCCCTAACCCGAACCCGAACCTGAACCCTACCACCCTAATCCTGAACTCCTAACCTTAACCCAAACTCTCGAACCCTAAATCTAACCCTAACACCCGAGCTCGAGCCCTAACCTGAACCCGACCACCCAAACACTAACCCCTAACCCGAACTCTGAACCCGAACACCCTAATCCGAGCCCCCATAACCCTAACCCTAACCCTAACACTAACCCCTCAACCCCCTCACCCTGACCCTAACACTTTCTCCCCAACCCGACACCCTAACCCTGACCCCCACTATCGCCGGCGCAGCACAGGGAAGCGGGAGGCACTCTCCCCGCCCCCCTGTCTGGCGCAGGGGAGGGATGGGGTTCGACCCCCCTCCTTTGAAAACTGTAGGGGGGGATGGGGGGTCCGAAATGCCCCCCCCCCCCCCTTCGGCGCAAAGGGGGGGCGGGGGCCGGGGGTCCGAAAACACTCCCTCCTTGAAGGGGGGGATGTGGAGGGTCCTCCCGTTAGCTCACGACCCCTTTACAATTACGGGGGCACCCAGTGGCGCGTTTTCTGTGTTGCAGTACCGTCGATGATCTCGTATTTGCACTAGTACTCGTCTTCCTCCTCCTCCTGCTCCTCCTCCTCCTCCTCCTTTTCATCCTCGTCCCTCTCGCGCTCAAATTTCGGATCGCGAGTACCCCCCAAAGAGGCACAGAGCAAAAACACGTGACCAGGCGGGCCCCGGGGCGGTGGCAAGCGAGAAGCTCAAGACACCCTGAACGAGGACCTCGACAGACCAGAACGCTGGCGCGCCCAACAAAAAACACTGCAGCCATGGGATGTACTTCTCAATTGCTTGCCCCCTCAGGGTGGAACATCCAAAGTCCTGCTTATATATAGAGGCCTCCTAGATGGGGTCGGAATAGATGGGGTCGGCGGATCGCGCCGCGTCGGCGATACATCGCCGACGCATCGGCGATGCGTCGGCGACGTCGGCGGTACATCGGCGACGCCGGCGTGGAGAACATCGGGCTCCACATCGAGCTGCATCGCCGATGCATCGGCGATGCATCCGTGATGCGGCGCGATGCTCCGACCCCATCCACTCCGACCCCGTCTGCGAGGCCTAGATTATTGCAGTCTCCTGGCTTCGGGGCCCCTGAGAATTGACGAGCGCGCTCCACTACTCGCACAGTAACTACTCGCAAATGGTCTCTATCCCCCGCGGGGGATCTACGAGAAATTACATCGAAGCAGACATGTGTTTTTCGGACATCTGCGAGTAGGCACTTTGCGAGTAGTGGAACGCGCTCGGTGAGAGAAGCAGCTGCGCGTGGCCAGCTGCATCCCCCCCCGGCACGCTGGCTGGCCACACGTCGGATCGGGTGGACCACGCCGGGCACGGGCAACACGCTGCTGTGTGCTGTCGTGGCGCTCGTGCCTGGCGCCGGCCTGCCATCGCCGTGCCGCCGCAGCGGCAGGACGCCACCCGGGTTTGCAGCATCAGCGGGGGCCCTTTTCCTGTACGAGCGCGAGGAAGCCCAGCGGCACGGAGCCCAGGGGGGAGGGAGAGGAAGGGAAGGTCGGTGTTGAGCGCGGCCCCGACGCGCGCCCCGGCGAATTCGCCGGTGCGTGAAGCAGTCTGGAGCCCCTGGCCGCTCAACGGGGCGTTCGCGCAGGGCGGCCCGCCGCGCGGCATCGGCACCACCCGCGCGCACCGTGGGCGGGTGCACGTGGGCGGGGGCACGTGGGCGGGGGCTCGAGGGCCGCTTGAGCGGCTCACCAGTCGCAGCCAGCGGCGAGAAATCAGCGTCGGTCCATCCAGGAGACTCCTGGAGGAAAAGGAAGCGGGGACCATGACCAAGACTGAAGGCGGAAACGTCGTGCCGATCTTGGTCACCGTCCATGTCTGGTCAGCGTCCATTAGTGGAGCATCGTCGCGAATCGGCGACGGCCAGTATGGACCATGACCAAGGTCGGCGTCGACAAGACCCCGCGACATCTTGGTCATGCTCAGTGTCTCTTCCCTCGAGGTCCTTCGATCGTGAGGTGGTGGGATCGGCCCAAACCTGGCGCGCGGAGCTGGGCCTTCGGCTGGCCCAAGGGCCAGCCAGCGACCACCGTCAGAGGTTCTCGTCGGACTCTCAGAATCGGGCGCTGCGCGGGGCCGCGACCGCCCGGACCCATCAGCGCGCAAAGGCGGCCTCGCTGCCCCCAGCGCGTGGCAGTTCGCCGAGGAGCAACGCCGCCGGACACTGCGCATGCAGTCGATCCCGCCACCCAGGGCAACGGGCATACGTACACGCAACCACCTGTGGGACCTACCTTCGAGTGAATACGGATCTACGTACACACACACATATATATATATAAACACACACATACATACATTATACGCATATATACTTTACATACAAGTGTACGTCTTTTGGCCCCATCCAAGGCCCGAACATGTCCATATCCGCCGCCTGCCGAGTTCCCCGAAGATCGATCCCCCCAGGCGGTGGTTGTGGATCTGATCCCGGCCTCGGCCCTGGTCGCCTGCGCCCCACATCTCCGACGCCGTGGCCTTTTGCGCGGTACTCGGCGCCCAGAAACTCCCGACAACGTCCGAAGAACTTGGCTGCTCATCTCTGACCTTCCCGTGACGGTCCAGGAATCGACGGCGGCCTCAGAAAACCGGGCGCCGCGAAAACGCTCCGCCCTGGTGGGCAAGGACGGCAGCAGAGGTCCGCGGCCCGAGCCGGCAGGCGACCCGACACCTCCAGGCCATATTCAGGACAAGGAGGAGGGGGAGGAGGAAATGTTGCAGGGTTTTCAACGTATCTGAAGGCCCTCGTTTCTGCAGCCCGTGTGGACCACTCGGAGACCTGGGAGGCCCTGGACATGCGGCAACGTACCATTATCGTGACCTCTTGCTCCCCCTGGGCATCTGGCAGTGAGCGGGGCCGGGGCCCACCCGCCCCAATTGCGCTGCGACTCGGCGCGCTCCTGGTGCGCTCGCGGGGTCTCCCAGGGCGAGGCGATGGCACGACAGGTGTGGTGTCCTGCCAGCCCAGCGGCCTCGAATCATTCAAGGTCCACTGGCCACCTGGAGGGGGGGGGGCATGAGGTACAGTCGGGCCTAGACCAGAAGAACATCCCTCAAGAACCTGAGACCCTCCGTCGGCGAAATCACACAGATCATCCAAACGTACCCTCACCAGGATGTACAAAAAACGTCCCACGAACACGAGTCACGTTGGGACACCTTCCCCGAGACGACCTCGAATCTTGTACTTCGGCCCGACTGTAGTAGATGCGCGCGATAGGGAACTTCGACAGAAGAAAGTTGGGGGTGGCACAGGCGCCGCCGATGCTCGACCTCCCTGAGGTGCCCCCAGGGCGTCTAAGGTGCCCCCAGCGGAGAAGGCGCTTCCAGGGAATACCTGCTGGCAGGCTGGTGTCTTGTTTCACGCGCCCACTGAAATCTGGTGTGAACGCGAAGCCCATGAACCCAGAAACCTTTGAACGTCAGACCGTGGGGGCCTCCAGAGCGCCCGGCCCCAACGCTCCTCTGGATCCCGCGCCACGCCAGGCCCTGTGTGGGTCCCCACGGGGACCGGAGCAGACTGCCCCTGGGCTCCACAAGACACCAACGGTCTGCCTGGGCCGCGGTAGAGGGTGCCTGCGGGACGGAAGCTGGGGGCTGGCGGAGCGGAGGAGGAGGAGGAGGAGGAGAAGGAGGAGGAGGAGGAGGAGGAGGACAAGGAGGAGGAGGAGGAGGAGGAGGAGGAGGAAGAGGAGGAGGAGGAGGAGGACGACGAGAAGGAGGAGCAGGTGCGAGGGGGGCGGCCACGAAAGCGGGGAGGGGGCGCTTCCCAGCAGGGCACGGAGGCCTCCAAGAGGCTGGCTCCGCAGAACGGCGAGGTGACTTCTAGTACGCCCCCTGCCCTCGCAGAAGCCCCCCATCCCTCGCGCCATCAGGTCGGATGCGGTCCGTCGTGCCCTTCGCCGCCCAGTGCGTCCCTCAAGATCTCCAAACGAGGCACGCAAGGCCTCCGAAGCACACCTCCACGGTCCAGGGGCTCCCCCCCCCTGCAGACTGGCGCGAACAGGTGGGGTCACCTTTGGGTGAATGGGGCACGTTAGAGGGGGACTGGCTCGAGGGGCGGGGAAACATCGAGCTGGAATCGGCAATACCCCGCCGACGCCTCCTCCTGCTCCTCCGCCACCCGCGCGGAGAATGCTCGCGCGGGGCGCCCGCCGCTACGCCAGCGTGCGGCGCGGGTATACTTCGAAAAGGGCCCGCTGTCATCCGCTACCGTGCTGGGAGGAGCCCGACTGGAGCCCCGAGAGTACGGGCGACTGAGCTTTCCGAGCAGGCCCGCCTCCTCTGGTTGCACCCCTGAGCGACGAACCACTCTGGCGAGATTCCCCGCCGATACGTCGGCGACGGGCCCCGACAGCGGAGCCATGCGGTCCTGGGCGTGGGGGGCCGTCAGGCCCCGATCGTCGGCGATCAATGAGCGGTTGGGGTTTCGACGCGTCCTCCCCTGAGGCCCCCCCCCCTGAACGTTGCCCCCGGTGTGTGGCCAGGGGGTGCCACCTCTGGCATACGACGAGGGCAGAATCGAGATCGGACCGATGTACATCGGAACTCTCTGCGAATCGGCGGGTTGGGGGGACGTATCGGGCGCCGCGGCCGATTCAGAACGATCCGGAGCGCACTGAGAGCGTTCTGGAACGCTCTTTAACGATTCATCTCGATTCCAGGCCTGCCTCATGGCTCTCCGACGGCACCTGACTACCCACCAGACCACCCCAACCCACCCCGACGACCCGAATTTCGCGTTGGGGGGGGTACGGGTTCCATCCGTGCTTTCTCGATGTTCCCCGACGCCCCCCCCCCACACTGGGAATGGAGGGCAAGTCGGGGCCTTCGGGTCGATTGGGGTGGGCTGGTGGGTGGCGAACAACGGCGGGTGGCGCACCGCGGCCTCCGGACCCGTCGAGGCCCACCTCGTCGACCTTCGGCCGCTGGAAGCAGTGGACGCGGATCTGCTGGCCCGCGACGTCCTGCTCCTCACCTCGGTTGGGCGTTGCTTAATGGGGGGGTCACAAATGGGGGGGTCAGAAAAGGTCCCCTTTCGTGCCCCTTTCGGGCCCCTCCAGAGCCCCAGGGGGCTCGTTTAGGTACCGTTTGGGTACCTTTTCGGACCACCCGCGACACCCCCCCATTTATGACCCCCCCATTACGCAACGCCCAACTCGGGCCGGCGGGCGAGGGGCCCGGGCGGAGGTCGAGGCGACGGGCCTCTCTGCGGAGGCCCGGGGCCGACACGAGCAAGGAGGCACAGGCCCCAGGACTCCCTGCAAAAATCACTTCGTGTCTGCTTGTTCTGGGCTGCCGTCCTCTTCACTTCCCGTGCTTCCCCGTGCTTCCACGGAGGTGCACGTGCGCTTGCGTCTGTGCCTGTTGCCTTGCTCTGACTCTCTCTCGCTCTCTCTCTCTCTCTCTCTTTCTGGGGCCTCTGAGAGTGAAGGGGCCCCAGGACACACAAATAAATACACACAAATAAAAAGATTCCCCATATTTTCCCATATTTTCTGGGTTTCTGTCTTCCCCCCCACTTCCCATATTTTCCCATATTTTCTGGGGAATCGAGGATTAATTATGTCTGTGTGTTTTTTCCCCTCCTGAGAGAGGCGCTCCGTCGGGCCGCTACAGAGACGGGGCTCGAGGCGCTGCCGGGGCCAGGTCCTGATCCTGGCGGCAGCAGGGCGGAGGGCGTTCGCAGTGTTCGGCGCCTGGAGGCACCTGATCGGACAAGAACGGGACGCACCGATTTTGTCCACTGGGCTGGTAGGGGGAAGGAAGGAAGGGACGATGGCGACGACAAGGCGGCGGCTGACGAGGATCACAGCGTGGACGACCGGGGGGGGGGAGCGGCGAGGGGAGTGGGAGGACAAACGAGTGGGCAGGACAGGCGCGAGGACGAGGAGGGCAATCTTCTGAGCCTGGAGGCATTCGGAATTGAGAAGGGATCCGGGGCGAAAAGCAGGCGCGGGGAAGGGGTCGAAAGGCCCTGGGAGCTCCGCGATTGGGAACACCACGACGGCGGAGGCCTCGGGCGGTGCCAGGGGTGCCCATGCAGGACGGCCTGGTAGAACTTGAAGCGGCACTTGCCCCCCGGGGGCCCTGGGGAGCGGGGGGGCATCTTGGCACACGATGTTAGGAGACAACTACCGGGAGGCTTTCGCCGGAAGGATTAAAGAGGATTAAGCCCCATTGGGGGGCTGTTACTCCGGAGTGGGCCTCGGGTTAAAGCGGGATCAAGCGGGATTAAGCCGGATTGGGCGGGATTCAGCGGGATTGAGCCGGAGTTCGGACCAGGGCAAAATCAGAATTTGACCTCCCAGGAGTTGCATCCGAAACGATGGGGATGCCTGCGACAACGATGTGTCGTCGGATGCGGGTGGCCAAGGCCCGATTGTGCACCTGTGGGTGGGCACAGCACGTCGACTGCCACGGCCGTGCGCCCATAGAGATTCACAGGCACGGAGCAGTCGAGCAGAGCAGGGCTGACGTGGAAGCGCGAAGGGAAGTCTTGAGATAAGAAATACTGGGGCACATTACTCGCCAACAGGTGAAGGTCCTAAGGTCCTAAGGTGCCCCAGAGCATCTGCGGGTCCCAGAGGCTTTCGGGAGGTCAGACATCCCCGCGGGGCACCTGTTGCCAAGCCGATCTCGTACTTGGTGGGCCTACAGCGGACGTTCTAACGAGACTGCAGAGGAAAGTTCCACTTCCCGTTGGCGCACAGTTTTCAGACTGTCCGATCCCTTCAAGTTGAGCGCTGTCTCGCTCCTGTACCTGTATGTTGGCGTACACTGTGGTTGTTTTTGAGCGCAGCTCGTCGGGCGAGGCGCGACGAAGCGGCTGAGTCACAACCACTTGAGAGCTGGATCCTTTCGGCGGGACCGGCTTTTGATATCGCAGCCCGAGCCGTCTTCCGACGTCCCTGGGGCCAGGCACAGGGCTGCGAACGCGAAGCATACCAGACTTAGCTACCCCGATACGCAACACGCAACACGTAGCGTATTGATACGGAGCTCAACACGTAGACTGAACACGTACGTTTTGAACACGGACGTTTTGAATACGGCACGTGTCACGCCTCTGTCCATGATCCGACGCTCCAAGACTGCCTAAGAGGCCCTCAAAATCGCTCGAAAAAGGCCCCCAAACGGCCCAAGAGAACCCAAAGACGGCCCACGACTCCGCCAAAACGGCCCAAGACGGCTCTAAGAGTGGGCCTGACGGGGGGCCCGAACGGAGATTTCGAACCTGCGGCTCCGAGAGGCCTCCAGGATGCGCCAAGAGGCCCCACAAAAAGCTCCCTAGGGTCTCCAAGAGGCCCCCACGAGCACCACAAGAAGCTCCCAGAGCCCCCAAGAGGCTCTAAAGAGGCCCCAAAAGGAACTCCCAAACAGCACCGAAACTGCCTCCCCCACAGGCCCCCCGAAGCGCTCCCTATCCCAAGAAACACCCGCTGCGGATCCCTCTCAACAACCCGCGCATGGTGGCGGGCCGGATCGGGAGCTCGTGGCTCCGCCGCCCCCTGCTGATGCTGCCCCACGTGGTTGACTTCTTACAGTCGGAATTCATTGGACAGGACACGCGAGAGGACGAAAGACCCTTCCGAGGGTCACATTGCCACAAGAATGCAAGAGGCACGGGTCGCGAGACACAGGACACACAAGTACCCTTGATTTGGCAGGGTCGCCCTACTAATCCGGGCCGACTGTACGATTTGGTGTTGGTCCATTTCCACAAGAACTCTCCCCTGAGGCTTCGGCCCGTCCCGCCGGCCATCCGAACGGCACTGCAATCGCGCACAATCGCCCAAGAGGCCTCCAACATGGCCCCATGACGGCCCAAGAGGCCCCCAAGACGGCCAAAAAGGCCTCCAATACGCCCTAGATGGTCTCCAAGACGGCCCTGAGGCGCCAGAAGAGGGCTCCGAGTCGGTTGAGAGAGGCCCCCAAGACGGCTTCCGACGGCGTCCGACGGGTCAGGAACGCCCTAAGACAACAAAAGAGGCCCCCAAGAAGCCTCCAAAGGCCCCCAAGAGGCCCCCAAGAGGTCCAGGGAGGCTCCCAAGAGCCCTTCAAAAGGCTCCCAGGAAGCTCCGCAGAGGCCTCCCAAGAAGCCTCCCAAGAGGCCTCCCAAGAGGTTCCCCAAAAGTCTCCTCCTCCTACTCCTTCTCTTCCGCTTCTTCCTCCTCCTCCTCCTCCTCCTCCTCCTCCTCCCCCTCCTCCTGCTCCTCCTCCTCCTTCGCCATCATCCTCATCCTCCTCCTCCTCCTCCTCCTCCTCCTCCTCCTCCTCCGAATCATCATCCTCCTGCCATTCCTGGTTCTCCCACGCGTTCCCCGAATGCTTTCTAAACCGACTCGGGGAACAACTGGCCCGATAGCTTGGCCAAGCTCTAGCCCAGCTGTCGGCAACATAGGCTCTTCCAAAAGGGCAGGGGGCGGCGGTGATTCGCCGTAGGCGTCTTCGATAGAAGGCCCCCGACAAAATCAACAAGGCCGCAGAAGGCGTCTTGGAGGATTTTTAGGGCGCCGTGGAGGCATCTTAAACCGTATGAGCATCATCTGGGACGTCCGAAACATGGTGCAGGGCTAATTATCTTGGACAGTCAGGCGTGCCTCTGGAGCCGTTTCGGCCTACCAGAAGGCACCGGACGGTGGCGTTCGGTTGACGACCCCGATACGGCGGGTAGCCACTCGCGGTGTTTCCACGATTCTCCCTCACCCTGTCACTGGGAGACTGGTTTAACTTCCACTGGTTTCGCGACATGAAGCATTGCTGTAGACTCAAATTCTCAGATGGTCATAAGAACGGCAATCGCTTGCATGACTTGCAGTTCAGGGTGCCGCTGATTCTCGGCGCGCGCGAAGTTGGGCCCTCCCAGGACTGCACGTGCTCGGGACGTGCACCCCGCGAAGCGAGAGGATTCACAGGAACCTCGGACCTTATCATGAATTACCATGCCTTCTCCAAGGCCCCCAAACGGTGTGGTGACCACACCGCGTGGTGAGTCAGTTGAGGCAACTACTGGGAGGTCTTCGTCGGAATGATAAAGGAGGATTAAGCCCCATTGGGGGGCTGTTACGCCGGAGTGGGCCTCGGACTAAGCAATATTAAACCGGATTAAGCGGGATTCAGCCGGATTAAGCGGTATTAAGCGGGACTAAACCAGATTGAGCCGGACTTCGGACCAGGGCAAAATCAGAATTTGGCCTCCCAAGAGTTGCACCCGAAGAGTCAGTTGGGATCCGAGGTCCAGGCACGGTTCCGGGAGCCAGGGAACGTCCCCGGGCGACCAGGGCCTCCGAAGCCCCAAGACCGTGCGGCGGCGGACCGCGCGGTGAGCTCTGCGGGGGTGTCGAGGTCGCCACGCCGTCCGTCACCACACGCGGCCGTAGTATTCGGTCGGGCCTGTCCCCCCACAGTCAGGGCGTTGACCCAAGAAACCCAAAATAAGGAACGAGGCCCCTTTTTTTCCATAAGTTAAACTTCGATTCCCCATCGATCGCCGAAGGAACACCTAAGGCAAACTGTGAAACAACCAGGGAACACTGAGCCCCTCCCAAACGAACAGGGTTCCTTCTTCAGCGCCCCGAGTGTACAGGGGGGTTCTGGGCGACAAATGTAAGACAAATACCCCCAACAAATATGCCAAAAATGCTCAAACATGGTCAAACAAATCGTCCCCAGACTACATTTGTTGACTATCTCTGAACATTCCCCCTGGAGAAGGACAGGCCCGACTTCATCGTAGAAGAAGAAGAAGACGAATCGCCATAAACATAAGATCTGCGCTGGACCCCCCCCCCTCCCTGGAGCGCGGAGCGCGCCAGGGACGGCGCCGGAGGCGCCCGCCAGGGGAGCCCAGCTCGGACCCAAGAAATCCGCGCGGAGCGCGAAAACTTTATGCTTATGGCGTTCTGTCTTCCTCGACGTAGGGCCCCCGAACACCTGGCCCCTCTGGGGGGTGGCGTCGGTCATCGCTGGGAGCGGGCCGGCGATCTGGCCACCGGCCAGCCGACTCCTCGGCCTGCCTCGCCCGCGTGGCAGCGGGCGCCCCCAATAGCCCCTGCAACTGGGGCGATAGTAAACGGGCTGGTAGCTGCAGCGCGATTCTATATTTTCGGCGATACAGGGCATTATTATGGGGGGGGTGCGAGGGGGGGGTATAATATGACGCCTCCCCCCCGCCGTGCGCACGGTGGCAGTGCCTGGAGCGCACTTGGGGTGGGAGGGGCGTTACGTTGTAGGGGGGAGGGGCAGGGGGTGCTGGGGGCTGTAATGCCCATTATGCCCCAAGCCATTAAAAGATACGCTCCTGAGGCTGCGTTTTCAATGGCGCTTTCAAAAAATGATTTGCCGCGGGCAAGTGCGAGGTAAGCCCCCCTCGCTCAGAGATATGATGATGTATTTTCTTGTCGTTCTGATGCGTCACGCGCTAGTGTTAGGTCGGGCTTATCCCCCTACAGAAGGATTTTGGGCTAAAAATTAAAGAGACTCAGGAAATATTCCAAACATGTTCAAACATGGTCAAAAAATCGTCCCCTAGCTATTGTGTAGCTATGTTTGAATATTCCTCCTGTGGAGGGACATGCCCGACTTCACACTAGTGCGAGGTAAAATGCCCTGTCGCCCCGTTCTCGCTGGGACCCCCATAGGCTACCGCCCCGCTTGCCAGCGCCCCGTTTGCAAGGGCTCGGCTCCCCCGCGGCGGTGGCGGCGCCGCCGAGGCGCCGGCCGAGGGCGAGGATCTTGCGCACCTGCTCGGCGGTCTTCATCACTGGCGGCCGGGCTTGCATTGTAGAAGAATTGGACGCACAGAGACATACCCCCCCTTCCCCTCCTCCTCCTCCTCCTCCTCCTCCTCCTCCTCCTCCTCCTCGTCCTCCTCCTCGTCCTACCTCCTTCCGAAGGCGGCGGGGCTTCTCATGGGACGCACAGGGACATACCAGCACTACATGTCCTTCTTGCAGGCGCGCGTCCGACCCGAACATATAATATACCCATCTTGTAGTAGGTCGTCTCCCGAGAGGTGTGGCCAGAAAGCGCCCGCCACGACGCATATACTATCAGATTTCTCGGTGCGCGCGTGGCCTCTTTGGGGGCGACGCACATGTAGCATAAGCATGTTGGGGTGACGCCGAAGAGAACACGTCATTCACAGAAACTTCTGGCGCTCCGCGCGGACTTCTTGGACCTGCGCCGGGCCCCACCTCCTTGGCGCTCGAGGCGCGGCGCCGGGGGGGGGCCCAGCGCGGAGCGCAGAGCGTCAAACATGTATGTCAGGTCGGGACTGTCCCCCTACAGGGCAATTCTGGGCGAAAGATTCACAAGAGTCAAAAAAAAAGTACCCCTAAAATAGTCAAAGCATGCTGGAACAAATCGCCCCCATGTTGGGACTGCGTCTGAAGATTCCCCCTGTGGAGTCGAAGGACAGGCCCGACCTAAGATCCATGTTTCGTCGAGGGACAGGCCCGACTTCAAGTCGATGTTGTGGAAGGCAGGCGCCGCCAGCGGCGGCCGGGGGCGGGGGGGGCCGCCGCTGGCCCGGGCGCGCGCGCGCCAGAGAGGTCATCGCGGCGGCGGCTGCGCTGGGTGCCGCGCCCGGCCGCCCAGGGCAAGCCGGGCCTGCCCGTCTGCAGGAGGGGTGTCGGCGGCGCGCACAGGCGGGCGGAGGGGAGGGGGGAGAGCTTCTTGGAAGGAGGCCGCTTCTTTGGAGGCGCCGGCCTGACAGCAAGGCCCGCGCCGTCTAGGAAGCAGGGGTGCTTTTGAGAAGCCCTCCCCCCTCCCCCCCCACCCACCCTCTGCACGTGCCTGAGAATGCTCTGAAGTGGCAGAAGGATAACCTGGGGACGTCTTCTTGGTATCTGAAAAACCATGTGGTGGAACATTCTTGGGCTCTGTTGCAGCGCTCGCCCCCGAACAACCGCCTCTGTAGGAGGACAGGCCCGACCCAAGCCGAGAGGAGGAGGAGGAGGAGGAGGAGGAGGAGGAGGAGGAGGAGGAGGAGGAGGAGGAGGAGGTGTCCTGGGCCACCGGGCCTCGCGCATCGCGCCCCGCGAGGCGCGACGCGCCGTGCCCGTTGCGCCCCCGCGCCGCCGCCCTGGAGAGGGGGTGCCTCTCCAACCCGGGCCAGCCACGGCGCGAGGCGCGCTCTTCTGCGCGCCCCTCGGGGTGGCCCGGGGAGCCCGGCAGCGAGGGCACCCCGAATACCCTCACGACCCAGGCCTCCACGGTCGCCGCCACTACGTTTAGGTCGGGCATGTCTTCCTACAGGCGCATTTGCGACGACACATGAAAGAAGAGCCAGAACAGATTCCCAAAGAGACAAACCTGGCCGAAAGATCGTCCCCAGACTCTTGCTTGACTACTTTTGGACACTCCTCCTGTAGAGGGACGTGCCCGCCTCCAGTGGTACCCCGCACACCCTCCCGACCCAGACCCTCCCGCATCGCTCCAGAGCGTTCCGGAGAGCTCTCAGAGCGTTCCGGAACGCTCTGGAGCGGCCGCGGCGCCCAATACATCCTCCAAACCCGCCCATTCTCAGAGATTTCGAGTTATCCCGATCCGATTTTGTCCCGATCTTCGCGTCGTTTGACTCAGACCCTCCACGGTCACCGCCACCACGTCCCAACCTGCCCGGCCTGGTGGAGGCCCGCCTCGCCCAGGTGAGGCCACCGAGGCCGACCTCGCCTCGCGAGGCCGGCCTCGCCTCGCGAGGCCGGCCGCCCTCGCTCGGGCCATTGGGGGCGTCTGCCAGAACCGCGTCGCCTTGTGCCGGCGAGTCGCACTCTGCAGCCACCGACAATTTTTGCCCTGCGCATTTGGGAGGAGGAGGAGGAGGAGGAGGAGGAGGAGGAGGAGGAGGAACGCCGAGGGGACGAAGCGGACAGAGCCGACGAACTCGCGTGCCGTCAACAAGGGTGAGCGCGCGGACGACCTCCAAAGTCCAGCCATGCTCTTGGAGCCCTACTCCAAGCGAACAAAGGCCGCCACAGCGGGAGAGGGGGACCGAGGGAAGAAGAGGAAGAGAAGAGGGGAGGACAGAGGAGGGTGAGTAATAGAAAGCACCTGGCGCAGCGTTCAGGCCAACCTGCCATAGGCGAGCCGTTGCGCGCGCCCAGCATACTGACATACGCGCATACTCATCTATCGGAGATCACCCGCCGTGACTTAACACGTAAACTCAGAAGCCCGATCAAAGGCGAGAAGAAGGAGCATGAGGAGGAGGACGAGAGGGCGGAGCAAAAGGGCAGGAGAGAAGCAGAGGACATACTAGACGCTTCAGCCCGGAAGCATCGGAGCCAAAGTGAACTTGTCTCCGATCGGGGCTCTGCCGGGCTCCCTGAGGAGAAAGCGGAGGGCCGCAGGCCGCAGCGGCGAGCAGGCCGCTCCAACCTGCGCCCCAGGATCACGCCCGAGCGCCGAACAAGGCCCTCCAGACCCGACGGGACGGCCAACCACCCAGTCCAGAGCCAACGCAACAATAGCGCCGCCGGCCGAGCAGTAGAGCAGCAGCGCAGAACTCCACCAGGCATGCAGCAGGGGCCCGACCACGAGAAGTCTTCCCCAAGGAGCCCAACCCTGAGACCCCAGGACGTCCATGGATTCTTGGCGTCGGAACGTCACGCTCTTCATGGCGAGGCCATCGAAAACCAAGAAACCCAGGGCACCCTGGAGGCAAGCAGGGTGTCTCTTGGCATGGCCCCCCGCTGTATAGACATTCAACGTGCACCATGTGTAAAACACCTGGCGTGCAATTGTCAGTTGCCCTCCAGCGTGGGCGACTAAGACGGCGGGGGAGATAGAGGCAGGCCGAACAGGGGGGACTGGAAATGCGCCTGTGTCTTTTTCATGACGTCGACCCCCAGAGGTCTCGATCCCTTCCCTGGGACCGGTTTCTCATCCTGGGTCGTTTTTTGACGGTCCCGAGGCCCGGTGAGGGCCCCCACTGGGATGACCGTGGGGGGTTCAAAGTGGATAGGGGGGTTACAAGTGGATGCTAAGGTGGTTATATCTGGCCCAACCTGGCTTATAGGTGGGTTACAAATGCCCCGAATGGCTTAGGGGGTTAGATAACTCCGCTAAGTGGGCGCAGCCCACTTATCCCGGATCGTGAACCCCCCGATGCCACTCAGGGCCCTTGTAACCAGCTTATGAGCCAGGTCGGCCAGGTATAATCCACCTTGGCATCTACTTGTAACCCCCATCCACTTAGAACCCCCCACGGTCATCCCAGCAGAGGCCGACAATAGCGCAAAACCTTCCGAAGATTTTTTTTGTTGCCACGACTCGAGGGGATCTGGGACGTCTGCCGCCGTCCTCCCTCCGCGCTGCGCGTGGCCGGCGTCGCTAGGCTTGCGCCGACAATCTATGCGCCACCTCTCGGCCCAGGGACCCCCGCGAGGGAGGAGGAGGAGGAGGAGGAGGAGGAGGAGGAGGAGGAGGAGGAGGAGGAGGAGGAGGAGGAGGAGGAGGAGGAGGAGGAGGAGGAGGCGAAGCACAGCACCGACAGACGACGACGACGACGACGACGACGACGACGACGACGACGACGACGACGACGACGAGGACGAGGACAAGGAGGAGTAGGAGGGGGAGGAGGAGGAGGAGGAAGAGGAGGGGCAGAGGGGAAAGGGAGAACGCAGAAACGCGGGCGCGGGAGCACTGAGTGCAGAGCGGCCTGGAATTGGAAGGAAGGGATGAGGAGAGAGGCGGCCGACGACGACGGCGGCACTGACGGCAGCAGCCACGAGAGAGGAAGTAGGGGAGACCCGATGGCGGCCCTGACCTGGTACGAAGGTGCAGATGTGTGCAGCCGCTGACTTTGGCAGAGATTTGGGGCCACCTGGCCCCAGGCCCAGGCCCGTCCCCAACGAATAACATCTCCGATCGCCATCATCCAGGCTTTTGCGGCAAGCTCTTGCCGTGTCGACGTCGGCTACACGCAGGAGTGGCCCTGGGTAAGAGTGACCCCTGGTGCGCGGCTTCTTGAGGGCCGTGGGGGGGCAAAAACCCAGGCGCGCCAGCCGCTGCTACCGCTTCGCGTTCAGCGATCGCACTCGCGGCACCGGGCCGGATCGCTGCGCGGCGGGCGACGTGGGCCCGCTGCCGCAGGAGGGCGGAAGGTCCCTGCTCAGGACGCGACCCCGCGCTGGCCTCGGCGCGCGAGCTCCTGGGCGGCGCCCCGCCCGAGGAGTGCGCGTCGGGCAGCTCGGGCCCACTGGTGGGCCCACCCCTCCCGAACGCTGCTTTGTCCCGTCGCGGCGCGGCAGAGGCGATCCGCTCGCGCGTCCAAGCAACCCGGGCCACGGCATTGCGAGCTGTCCCGCACGCAAGGGGAGGTGGGAAGGAAGAGAGCCGGCCGCAGGGACAGGACCCCTCCCGAGCACAGACCCTCTCTGGCGGACAGCCATCGGCCTCCAGCGGACTCTGGTGGCGGCCCTGCGGCGGTCTCAGGCGCCTCCCGCGCAAAGCGCAAAAGACGCACGGCCGCGTTCAACAAGCGGCCCACCCGCGCTTTCCTCCTGCCTCTTCCTTCCCCCCAACTCTTCTCCTTTCCCGCCTCCCTCCCCGCTTCATCCCTCCTCCACTTCTTCCGCCTCCTCCTCCTCCTCCTCCTCCTCCTCCTCCTCCTCCTGCTCCTGCTGCTCCTCCTCCTCCTCCTCTTCCTCCTCCTCCTCCTCCTCCTCGTCCCTTTTACCCCTCCTTGTCTCCTCAGTCCTCCCTACCTCCCATGCCAGGCTCCACCCGAAACTGGCACCCCCCCTTTCCCAGGCACCACCCTCTCGCACTTTCCGAGCAGCGCCCAGCCGTGGCGACGAGGACCCCGCCCAGGTCCCAGCAAAGGGGGACGAGGATGAATATCCCCACGTAGCCGCCAAGAGAACGCCCCGCCGCGTGCGGCATTCGGAAAAGGATTGGCAGAAACAGGCGCGCTCGACCTGCCACCCAGCACGCTGCTGCCGCTGCCCCGCCGAGTACCCAAAGGGCCCCGGCCACTGTGGGGCAGCCTGCCCTCCCTCATCCCTTCGGGTGAATTCAGGCCATCGCTGGAGACCTCCTGGATGGGGTCTGGGTAAATGAGTTGGAGAATCGCGCCGCATTGGCGATGCATCGCCGATGCATGGGCGACGTCGGCGATGCACCGGCGCCGACGTCGGGCTCCGCATCGAACCGCCTCCGACCCCATCTGCTCGAACCCCGATCTGGGAGGCCTAGAATCACTCGGGACTCATGCGACCGTTTGGAACAGTTTCAGCCTCGCCTGCAAACTCTCGATCGAGGCGCAGCCGAGGCCCCCCCCCCCAGCTTCCCTCGGGCCCGAACGCCTTCTGAACCCTCCAGAGCCCTCCGAAAACCGAAAACCAGCCCCTCCTCTCGGGCGCTCGCTGGCATGGATTACGGATCCGTGGATCTGGCGCATGGGCGCTAGCTCCGCGCCTCGGGGAAAGCAGCCCCCCGAACACATGGCGCCGGTGCCGCCATGTTATTAGGCGACGGAGCGCGCCGATTCCGCCTGGAAGCGGGGCCCGCCGCTCATCCACGCGCCTTCATCCGGCCACGTCTGCGCTTCCTCGGTCATCCTGCCCCCCCCCACCCTCCCAGAATCCTGCCCCCCCCACCTCCCACATCCTGCCCCCCCACCTCCCGCATCCTGCCTCCTCTCCCCCCGACCGGAAGCCGGGGCTCCTATGAGACCGAGGCCGCCGGGCCGCGTCCGCATCTGGCCGCTGGAGTCGCGGAAAGGCTTCACCTCTGCGGCACGCGCGCGCGCACGCAGAGGCACCTCGCTGCCCCGCGCCCTGGCTCTCCTCGGCGCCGCCCCCATCTGCCGCCCTGCAAGGGTACAGCTGGGGCTGCGCCGCAAGCATCGAGCGCTGCTTCCTTAGAGGCCCCCCAGATGGGGTCGGAGTAGATGGGGTCAGAGGATCGCGCCGCATCGTCAATGCATCGGCGATGCATCGGCGATTCATCGGCAGCGTCGGCGACGCATCTGCGACGTCCGCGTCGGCTCCGCATCGAGCCGCATCGCCGATGTATCGGCGATGCTGCGCGATCCTCCGACCCCATCTACTCCGACCCCATCTGGGAGGCCTAGATGATTCATGGGGGGCAAAAAACGAGTGGGTGAAGCAAAGCGGACCTTTCGTACACCTTCGGGGCCCCTGCGGACCCTTCAAGGATACCATTTGGGGCGCCTCTCCTGTGAAACCTTCGGCCAACCCCTCCCAGCTTGGAGGGGCCAAAAGGTGCCGATGTTGCAACTCCCCAGACCTCTCCCGGGGTGCGCTCCGACCAGAATTCCGAGGCGAATCCAGCGGTGGTGACGAGGGCTGCCCAGGAGGCCCAGAAAGGGGAACACGGGCAAAGGATAGCGGTATGGGCACCTTATCCTCCTCTGGCAGGTATCCCCCCCGAGTGCGCACCGCCCGAAGGCAGCCGCTGAAGGGTGGCCCGCCCCGGCTGGCAGCGAACCCTCCAGACTTTCTGGAGCGGGCCTGCCCCGTGAAGGGCCCCGAGAGCCCGAACACGGCGCAAAACCTCGGGGCCCGCTGCCCTCCGGACCCGGTGCCCCCAGGGCGACGACAGCGATGCCCGGGCAACTCTGAGCCGCAGCACCAGAGGCCGCTCCTGCGAAGGGCCTCTCCTGCCGGCTGCACGCCGCCTCCATCCCCCCCGCACCGTGTCCGCCCGGGGCGCTCGGAAGGGGCCCAGGGGCCCACACACGAGCAGACACAGCTCCCAGGACTCCCCAAATTTCCCGATAGTTCCTTCTTCAGCGACCCGACTGTAATCGACGATTATTTTTGTCTGTGTGCCTTTTCCTGCAGATCCTCCGTCCTCGGCCTCCTCCGTCCTCGGCCTCCCCTCGCTCGCCTCCCGCCCCGCCTCTCCTGCACTGTCCCCTGCCTGTCTGCTGCCACATCCTGAGGAGGAGGAGGAGGAGGAGGAGGAGGAGGAGGAGGAAGAGGAGGAGGAGGAGGAGGAGGAGGAGGAGGAGGAGGAGGATCTCCTCCCGTTGCTCTCTTTTCTGTCCCTGCTCTCCCACGCGGCCCCTGCGGGGGACCCCCGGCGCCAACAAGAAGCATCCCAAGGCCCCCTTGCAGAGCCCTCCAGCGGCCCACGCAGGGCCAGCAGCATTAAAACACCTCGGGGAGGAGGGAGGAGGCAGTGAGGGAGGGAGGAAGAGGAGCGGGAATGGCGGAGAAAGGGGAATAGGGGTGAGGGAGGGGAGGCGGTTGGCGAGGCAGAGCGGGGGATGAGGGGACGAGAGGGACGGGAGGAGGCACGAGGAACAGGAACGGGGGGAGGGACGAGGCGGCACAGATGAGGAGGAACATCACCTAGCAGGGTGCGCTGAAGCTTCTACGGGGTCCACGGAGGGGTGGTGTAATTGGCCCGCGAGGCGAGGTCTGTGGCGGAACGATGTAGATCGAACGGTCCCCTGCCTTCCTCCTCCTCCTCATCATCATCAGAATCATCATCATACTCCTACCCCCTCCTCCTCCTCCTCCTCCTCCTCCTCCTCCTCCTCCTCCTCCTCCTCCTCCGTCGTCCTCTCCTGTCGTCGTCGTCCTCCTCCTCCTCCTCCTCCTCCTCCTCCTCCTCCTCCTCCTCCTCCTCCTCCTCCTCCCCCACCATCTTCTTCCACCGTCGTCGCCGCAATGGGGAATGAGCGAAAGCGGAGCCACTTACATAATAACCTCAAGGATGAGAAAGGGGGAGGAGGAGGAGGAGGAGGCGGAGGAGGAGGAGGAGGAGGAGGAGGGGGAGTAGGAGGAGGAGGAGGAGGAGGAGGAGGAGGAGGAGGAGGGGGAAGAGGGAAAGGATCAGAAGGAAAAGCAGGAGGTCAACATAAGGGTACTGAGAGATTCCTGCCCCCCTTCATCGGTACCACTGCCCTCGATTTCTGCACCCCTTCGCCACACTTTCCCGTGTTACCCATCTACATCGTACTGCATGGCTTGATTTAACAGAAGTACCAAGCAGAAGATGACTTGCACCGCAATTAATGGCGGCACACCCGTGGCAATCGTCACATTTGCCTTGGCTCGTTTGCGGTCCCCGTATGTGCACCACGTCGCCCCCCCTCCCCGTCCTTCTCCTCCTTGTCCTCCTCCTCATCATTCTCACCTCCCTCACCTCCCCTCTTCTGCTTCTGCGTCCTTCACCTCCTGCCCACCGCCATCCCCGTCCTTGCCTTCCTTCGCTTCCACCTCCTCCTCCGCCATCCCTCTCGACTCTCCCCTCTCGCACCCCAAGTAGTGTTCGCAAGGCAGACTGCGCGTTTCACCAGAGACTCCCTCACCACTTCTGATCCTGAAGCTTGAAACTTGCAAGAGCTTCATGGATGCAGGGCGGCTCGTTTTCAACATGTGACTCACGCCTTCGCGCCGCGCACTTGCGTGGCAAAAGTTTGCAACGATTTCGCAGATGGAGGGCGGGTCGATTTCAAAATGTGGCTCTCGCCTGAGTGATACGCACATTCACCTCAAACAAACACAACGATTTCACGGGTGGAAGGCGAATCGGTTCAAAGCTGTGGCTCTCGCCTTAGAGCCGCGCACTTTCGTGGCACAAGTTTGCCAGAAAATGTCACGGATGGAGGGCGGGTCGTGTTCAAAATGTGGCTCTCGCCTTAGTGATGCGCGCATTCGCCCAAACAAGAACAGCAAATTCACAGATGCAGGACAGCCGCCGTTTTCAAGATGTGGCTCTCGCCTTAGCGCCGCGCGCAACTGTCTTAGACGCGTGCTACGGTTCGAAGGATTCGTGCAATGGAAGTCCCAGGGATCGTGTTCTGGCACCGCTTCGGATTCCCAGGGCGTCATAGCCTCGCTGATTCGCTGCCTTTCGATCCCAAGGAATGGTGTCCTGGCACGTCTTAGGCTTGTCAGGACGCAGCAGCCACGTTGGTTCGCGGCTGCTCCGCCTCGGTGCAATGCAAGGAATGTTATCCGGCGCGGTTGAAGATTCTCAAGCGGCTGCCTTCCCTTCCGACGGGGCACGTCACGCGATGACGGCACATGTGTTACAGGACCCTATTTTTAAAAAGGGAACTTGGAAGGAGGGTTTACTGTACCATCGCGGATGCGTCTTGAATTTATCACTGGTCCTCCTGCTGCTCCTCCTCCTCATCATCACCCTTTTCCTCCTCCTCCCCCTCTCCTCTTGTCATCGCTCGGATGCCCTTTACCTGTACACTGTTCGGCTTCGTTTGTTTCTCCTTTGCAGGATAATCCAGGATTCTCCTCGATGTTCCTCGCCGAGAACACGTGCACACGTCCGAGCGGTGCCAAGTCCTCCTCCCCTCCCCCCTCCCTCCCCTCCTCCTCCTCCTCCTCCTCCTCCTCCTCCTCCTCTCCTCCTCTCCTCCTCCCTCCCCCTCCCCCCCCTCCCCCTCCCCCTCCCCCTCCTCCTCCTACTCCCCTCCTCCTCTCCTCCTCCTCCCCTCCTCCTCCTCCTCCTCCTCCTCCTCCTCCTCCTCCTCCTCCTCCTCCTCCTCCTCCTCCTCCTCTCTCCGCGCACGCCCGCGCGCGAATTTGGAAGGAGGAAAGAGGTTGTCACCGCCGCCGCCGTGGTCGTCTTCGGTTGGTCGTTCTGCCGTCCGCTCTCGTGCGCCGCCGCCGTCGGCCGCCGTCGTCGGAGGCGACAGCGGGGCCAGCCTTGCTGTGCGCGACCAAGACTCGCAACACCTCGCCGCCATCTTGGGAATAGTGCCGCTTCAGAATCTCGCGGGAGCGGAAGCCCAGCTGACGGCGGTGCCAAGGGGGGGGAGGGGGAGACGACGACAGCAACGGCGTGGTCCCGATCGAGGTCCACGATCCATTTTCGATGCGGGTGCTGGCTGCACAAAGAGATCCCTTCTGGACAAACACCGATCATTCACATGCCAACCCCGCCTGCAATGTTGCATTGCAACATGCCGTTGCGGGCCGCACCGATTTGCATGTCGGTTTGCATTCCCAACGGGACAACCACGGGACCACTGCGGGAACACCCGCGGGACAATCACGGGACAACCCACGGGACAACAACAAATCAACACACGCAACAACTACGGAACAACCCACCGCGCAACCCACATGATAATCACGGAACACCTCGCGGGACACCTGACGGGAAAACCACGGCGGGCGATCGCGAGACGGGAAAAAGGACTGCTTGCCCGACTTGGTCTTAGCCAGGCCGACGCATTGTCACCTATGCGCAACTTCGCCTTGCACGCACGCGCGGCACGAACCGAAACCGAAACCGATTCTCTCGTTGTGGATTCTCCGTTCACATCCACATACGAAAAGCTCACCGCAAATAAGTCACCAACAGCTTGCCTCCAGGGATCGGTGGTCAAAACTCGGTCGACGAAAAACTGGCGTGACCAAAAGGGCGGCCACCAACACGAATGTGTCCAGGGAGTTCGAAGGTCCTCCTCAGACGAACAAACTGGACAACACCCTGCGCGGATCAAACGCGCCCCTTTACCTCGTCGCACACACTGCAAAACGCTTAGCAATCTCGGAGCCTCTGGCGTCGTGTTATCTCTTACCGCGTGGGCGGCCAAACCGCCGTCAGGTGTTCGTTAAGGGGTGAGCGGGGGCAACAAACGTGGAGTGAATACAATACACGTCAACCTTTCGTGCACCGCCTGCGTGCGGATCGGCAGTCCAGGGGCCCTTGAATGCCACTTCCCTGCACTCCTCAATCCCCCGCGCTCGTTGCCACCCCCCTGCCGCCCGCCCAACACTCAGAATGAAAACTTTGGACCATTCCCAACGACCAGTGTCCCGTCCTGAAAGGTGTTCTGCTGGGCGTGGGGCCTGGAGCGAGCCTCTTCGGGGGCAGGGCCTCGAAAGCACCTGCCATTTTTTGGGGCGGGAAACAAAGCTTTACCGAGACAGCTGTTCCCCAGATCTCTCCTGGGATGTGATATGACCAGAACTTCGAAGCGAATCCAGCCGTGGCGATGGGGGCTTCCAGGAGGGAACGGGAACAAACAAAAAAGAGGGAAAGGGCACCTTTTCCTCATCGGAGTGATCGAGGTCGGAGGAAAAGTAGGAGGAAGACGAGGAGAAGGAAGATGAAACCGATTATAGATGGATTCGAACTGGTCAAGCGGTTAGCCTCGCCCCACGGATCGGTTACCGCGGGCCTACCGGGCGCATCGGGCCGCCCCCGCGACATCCCAGCTGATTTCTCACCCGAGCTGATCCCACCAAAGTAGCTGATGGGTCCCGCCCGACGATGGTTGGTTTCACGTTCGCCTCGCGCTTCCCACGCGTGGCCTGCCATTGAACCCCCTAAAAACTTAACCCTGCCAGGCACGATTGCTCCCTAGCCATCCCGCGCACGAGATGATCCCAGCATTGTAGTTGGTAAAGTGCGCCCCTGCACTTCCACTTCTCGCAGGCTTCGGCCTGGTGCAACGGCTGCCCATTCTCGCAGGACATGATACACGAAGTGCATCTGAAGATTTTCCCCTGCGTTCGTTCATCGCCAGAGCTGGCTCCTGCCGTGTAGCTGGTGTCCCGCTCCTGCATTCGCCGTTCTCATAATACCAGATGCGGCCACAGTGCGCCGTCTTGCAAGAACTGGTGGTATCAACATTGTAGTTGATGCCATCGGGGTGCACCGATCCACTGCCCCGATCCCATGTTACTCATTGCCTCCCTCCTCGCATGGACTACGCCCAGCGTTGTGAGTGAGTTTTCCCACAGGAGCAGCGCGGGCCTGCTCGCCATTTCGCACCACGACCTCATCTCCGCGTCGGAGTTGATGATGTCTGCTCCTGCGCATTCCATCTCCAGGCTCCACCCGGGCCCCCGCCATTCGGCAGGGGTCATGGGGCTGGCCTGGCTCGGCCTCGCGCCGAATCACCTCTCGCCCTTCTCTCAATAGCGGTGTGCCCGCACGCCCTGAACCCAGCGTCGTAGCTGATGGCATTGGGCTTGCGCTTCGCCTCCAACTTCGCGGATTAATGACTGAGGTTGCTGCCGCTGCTCTTTTCCGCAGGCACGCACTGGCACTGGTCCTGTAGCTGATGATGTTGGCCCGCGCAGGCTCCGTTTTCGCATGAGCTCCTCCCACCCAGCGTTACGACGTAGCTGATAGTTAAGTCATTCGATGCTGCCTTTCTTTCACGAGCTGTTACCAACGTTGCTGCAACCACATCGCGCGTTCGAGGAAGACTGAACCTCGGGGGCCATTTACGCAGATGGCTACAGGAGCGGGCCAACCCCAGGTGCGCTCCCGGGACCCTGTCTCGTGGCCATTTGCATGAGCGGCCGATGAGAATTGCCAATCGCCGGGGCCAGCCCCGCAGACAACCCCCGGCCGAACGCCTCGGGGTCTCGCGCTCCTTTGCGTAGGCACCCTATGAAAATGGCTACTGGAACGGGCCATAGGCCCCTGGTGCCTTGCCGGGGCCCTGTTTCGGGGCCCTTTGCACAGGCGGCCGATGCGACTTGCCGACTGCACGGGGCACCCCCTCCCACATGACGAACGAAGTTTTATCGCCTGGTTCAATGGGCAATTCCCAGGTTGGACGGGCATCTCCCGGCTCGACGGTGAGAAGTTAGCTGGTCTCTTTCCCGACTGGAAGGGCTACTCCCTGGTGGTGCCTCAGACGAGCTTATTGAAAGCCACGCAGAAGTTTCTGGACAGCCTCTGAACAGCGTTTTCGGAACTTCTGAACAAGTCTCTGAGAAGCTCCGTGGGAGCCTCCGAGAGGCTTCTGTAGAGCCTCTGAGAAGCTCCTGGAGACCTCCTGCAGAGTCTCTACGAAGCTTCTTCGAAGTCTTTCGGGAATCTTGAGGGATCCTGAAAAATGTGGAGGAATCTTGCGACGCCCGAAGAAAACCCGAGGAGCCCTGAAGAACGTTGACGAATCCTGGGGGGCCCTGAGGAATCCTGTGGGAACGAAAATAATCTAGGAGAATCTTGAAGAATCCTGAGATATATTCAGGGATCTCGAGAAATCCTCGCGATCCCTGACGAATTCAACTAAAACCAAATGGAATGAATCTGGCAGGGTCTGTAAGAATTCATGAAGAACTCCCAAAAATCTCACAGAACCCGGAAAAATCCTGACGAATCCAAAGGAATCCTGAGGACCTGTTCGGAAAAAACCTGAGGACCCCCAACGAATCCGAAATAATCCTTAGGAATCAGAAGGATCCATGCGGAATCCTGAGGAACCTGAGGACCCCCCAGGAATCCTAGAGGGCCCTCCAGAATCCTCGACAATCCTTGGGACAAAAATACTCTGGGGAGTCCAGCGACATCCAGCGACTCTGGGAAGTCCAGCACGAGCAAGAATGCTACTTTAAGCGGCACAGCTCGTGCTCCCAACCAGCTGTACTTGAGGTGCGCCACGCGCTGCTAAGCATGCCACGCACCTGTCACCACGCGGAGCTTGCCTCTGCAACCGGAAGCAACATCAGCACTGCATGAATCAAGTGGCGCAGCGGGTGGAACCACCAGACATCGAGTCCCGTATCGCGTGCAGAACTGAGGAATTCAGATGCTGCCCTCGGGGTCCCATGCAGAAAATCCGCTCCCGTGCCTGCCCGAGATGGGAGCGCTGGAATGCCCGACAAGTGCCCGGAACCTTCCCCGAAAACCCTGCCCCACATCAAGACGAGATGGGACGGATGCCACACAATATTGGACGGTGTGGGAACCCGCCTGAAGCCTTCTCCTCGTCCTCCTCATGCTCCTCCCACTCCACTGTCCTCCTCCCCTGCCCTCTTTCCACATTCACCTTCTCATAATCGTACAGAGAAGCCTGAAACAGTGGAGGTTGGAAATTGAATGCAAGTGAACGTGGCCAGGGCTGGAAAAACTTGAAGGGGCTGGAACAGACCCGAAACAATTGGAACTGGGTCGCCTGGGCTGGAGAAGCGAAAGGAAAACGAATATGGCTGGAAAGAACGAAAGGGCTGGCCCTGGCCACTTTTTTCATAGCCCTCCCTCTGCCTCTCGGTGCGTGTTGCGCCACTTGGTTGTTGCCGATGGGTCGCCCGCTCCACCGCACTGGGCTCCAGCTTCGTCCCCCCCCCGCTTCTCGCAGAATGACGCCCGAGCCACCCCTCGCCACTCGCCCTCGCACGCCCCGATCCCGGCGTCGTAGACGATGACGTCGGGCTGGCGTCTCGCCTCTGACCTCGACGACTGGCGACTGAGACTGCTGCCGCTGTTCTGCCCTCCCGCGCGCACGGGAAGAGCTGGTCCGAGCCCTGCAGCTGATGGCGTTGGCCAGCGCGGGCTCTCACGCGGCTCGTTTGGGGGGGGGGGGGGGGGGGGGGGCGGGGGCGCCAGCCTTGAGTCGGTCATGTCCTCATACAGGCGGATTGTGGACGACAGGAAAGAATCAGAAAATGCTCAAAGCATCAAAAGTAATCGAAACATCGTTCCCAAAACAATTTCTGACTATTTTAAGATATTCCTGCTGTAGAAGGACACGCCCGACTGAACACTACTAACGCCAGCCGCAGCCGCTCTGCGCTTGCACTCTTGCGGCCGCGCCCCTGCGGCCGGCGCTGCTGCTCGCCAGGGTGGCGAGAAGCGGGGGGGAATGGAATGGAATGCCCTCGAAAAGGGGAGTGCACAGCACTAAGGTCTGAACAAATCAGAGTGACTAACCAGCTTGTCTGGCTTCCTTCGTACGTATTCGGTCCAAAAGGGCCGCCATTCTTTGCTCGTAAGTGGGCACTTCCCTGGAGGCCGAGAAAACAACTGGCACCACCGTAAAGTCAGGCATGCTCACCGAGGGGGCCGACTCGACAGAGGAGGCGAGCGAGGGGAGGCCAAAGCTACGTCCCAAGAGCACCCGTACTCGACGGTTCGGCGGCTTACCCTGGTAATAACGACTTAAAACCTCCTGACATTTCTTAGTGGGCTTCTCGTCTGGTCTTATGCAGGGTTTCGCCAGCTTAACGGCGCGGCCCTGGGACCAGGCTCCACAACGCAGACAAATCCAGCATCGCTTCTCAGGGGCACTCGCTCTCGCGATCGCCGAGGAGGCCCGTTGATCGAACCGCAGCCCAGCCGTCACGACGATGTGCCCCATGGGGTCCCTGAGAAGCCTTCTGATGCCGACTGGGACGCCTATGCATCCGTTCAGCTCCAACTGAGACTGGTCATCTCCCCCCAACTTAAGGCATCTCCTGCACTGGTATCCGAGGGTGGGATGATTGTGCCAGTCATGAAACTGCTGCCTCACCGGGGATGTGTTCCTGCGGCGCGGGGCGGCACGCGTCCACCTCGGCGACGCTTCGAACAAAGGAAGCACAAGAGAGGCGAGCTTGACGAAGTGATCCACGCGCTCCTCAGCGAGCGACACAGACTGAAGGAAGAGAGGATCAGCAGAGGGATGAACAGACAACGCCATCTTCGCATGGTGATCGACAACGGCACTAGCCACTGCATATTCACGCTCCGTCATTTCCAGAGTTTCGATCTCCTGACTGGATCGGTATGCTTTAACGTGGCGAATTCGTTCGATGAAACTCGTACCTTCCAGTGACCGAGCGAAAAGCCTGATGCCTGCAAACTTCGAAGATGCTTGCAACTGCTTTTCGACACTACTCTGCGCAATCCGTATGGCTGACGTGCAGCCGGCAGCAAGAACAGATCGCCTGTTCGCCACCTGACCGCACAGCGCGATGGCAACGTGCTCCGCCATAGCTGGCGTCTGGGGAAAGGTGCCGTGGACCACGCCACGCATTACAGCAACGGGCTCGGGCTGATCCCCGCTTGCAGGCAGCACTGCAATGGCCCACGACGCTCGCTGGAGCGCGCGGATCGGAGGCTTCGAGCATGAGCCGTCAGAGGCAAGTCTTAAAGTCTCCTCCCCCGACAACTCAGAAATCCTTTCAGGTTCCAAAGACAGCGGGTTTCCAGAAACGTCAAAAATCTCGACGAAACAGAAGGTTTTGGCAGCTCGCTGTCAGGAAAAAGAAAAATGCCCCTGGTGAAAATCTCCAGGTCGGGCTCTGCGCGAGCCGCATCCATGAACTCCCTTGGGACTTCAGCCTCTTCTCTAGCTCGGGCCACGTCCTCACGGGTGCACTCATAGAGTCTGTGATGGAGTGTGTCGACCTTGCCGCACGAACAACGACCGTCGGTGGCGTAACCCGCACAACGACCTCTCTCGCTTGTCCACACTCCATTGCATGTACAGCTCCGAATCACAAACTTGGTTTTCTTGCTTAACCCCCGAGCCTTCGGCCCCACACGAGATCTAATCAGATCCAGGGTGGCCCTTTGCCCTGGGGGGTGCCCTAAACTACTGGCTAATTTCATCTCATGCTCTCGCTGAATTCCCATCGCGAGCTGCTCGGCTAGGAGGGCGGGCGGGGTTTGATCCACTAGGACCTGCAGTCCATTGTGATCGTACCACTCAAGTGGACCCCTGGCCTCCCAACCCGCCCTTGAGAGCACTAGCGCCGCACGAGCCAAAGGCCCATTCGAGGCACACCACGGACCAGCCTCCAGAGGCATCGCCGCATCCCAAAGACGCAACAGCTCACCACGACTGGCTAGTGCTCTCAGGGGCTGTGTCGTCGCAAACCAGATCATTCTACACCACTGCAAGGCTGGGGCAACTGCGATTTTGAAACTGTGGTCCCCTAACAAGACTAGCTTCGCCGACAGAGACACCCCTCCGTGGGCAGGCGAAAACGCGCAGCTCTGCAGTCTTTGGTGGGACTTCCATTCGCTGAGGCTTAAACCAGTAACCTCGGCTCCAAAACTGCTGGCTGGTGAAACCCCAGCTCCAAAGACTTTGGCGAACGGGGCCTCCTTCTCACCTCCTCGAACAACTCGTCTAAATCGCTTGAGGAGGAAGAGGAAGAGGAGGAGGAGGAGGAGGCGGAGGAGGAGGAGGAGGTAGGAGTATGAGGAGGAGGAGGTGGAGGATGAGGAGGAGGAGGAGAGGAGGAGGAGGGAGGAGGAGGAGGAGGAGGAGGAGGAGGAGGAGGAGAAGGAGGAGGAGGAGGAGGAAGAGAGAGGAGGAGGAGGTAGGAGCAGGAGGTGGGAAGGAGGGACATGAGGAGGGGCGGGCGGGCGCGGGCCCTGGCGACTGCACGCGTGCCTGAACTCAACATTTGAATATGATGCTCCGTGAGCTCGTGTGCGCGCGTAGCCGATGACGTTGGGCTCCGCGCTTCGTCAATGGCGGCTCCTGCGCGCATTGCCCCTTCGAAACTTGCGCTGCAGAACACCCTCGCGCGCCCCGGGCAGGGGGGCCGCTTGGGCACGAAGTGGCCAGGAGGAGGAGTAGGAGGATGAGGAGGAGGAGGAGGAGGAGGAGGAGGAGGAGGAGGAGGCGGAGGAGGAGGAGGAGGAGGAGGAGGAGGAGGAGGAGGAGGAGGAGGAGGAGGAGAGAGGAGGAGGGAGAGAGGAGGGGAGGAGGAGGAGGAGGAGGAGGAGGAGGAGGAGGAGGAGGAGGAGGAGGAGGAGAGGAGGAGGAGGAGGAGGGGAGGGAGGAGGAGGAGAAGGAGGAGGAGGAGGAGGAAGGGAGGAGGAGGAGGAGGAGAGGAGGAGAGGGAGGAGGAGGGAGGAGGAGGAGGAGGAGGAGGAGGAGGAGGAGGAGGAGGAGGAGGAGGAGGAGGAGGAGGAGGAGGAGGAGGAGGAGGAGGAGGAGGAGGAGGGAGAAAGGGGAGGAGGCCTGGAACGAGTCTCCAGAGGCAGAGCCTTGGAAATACCTGTCGCATCTTCCTTGTGCCATGATACCAAAAATGTCTGGGCTGGAGCGGGCCATCTCCTTGTTGATGCGCCGGGTGATGAAGACGCAGTGCGGGTCCTCGGTGAGCAATTCCGTGAGGTGGGAGCGCAGGGTGTCCCTGCGCCGGTAGGGAAAACACAAATCATGAGATCCAAACGGAGCCACCGCCACCTGGACTCCGTCGAAGTCCGTTCCCAAAAGACACCCTCCCCCGAGCGGGTGGCACTCCGTTCTTGGCCCTCTCTGGGGGAGTGCCTCCAGCTCGGGTGGGGGCGGCCAGCCCCCCCACGTGGGGACCCCTCATATGCTGAGATAGCGGCGTCCTGGAGCCCAGATTGCCGAGGATGTCTCAAGCGAGACGGCCAATCCCAGGCAACTCAGAAACGAGAGTCGTGAGGATGTTTCGAGCGAAACGGCCCAGAACACCTGAGCTGATCGAGGACGTCTTTGCTCCCCTCCGACTTTCCCTCGGCCGGAGTTCGCCTCTAGCACAACACCACCCCGTTCAGCAAGCTGTTTTGGGAAGCAATCCCCACCTTGTCCTCTACTTCGCCCTCCTCGGACCGCAATGTCCGCGCTTTCAACCTCTGGACCTCCCTTCTCCCTCCCGCCTGCTCCCCAACCCTCCTCCCTCTCCTGCCTGCTCCCTGCTCCCTCCGAATCCTCCTTTCCATCCTCGTCGCCATCCCTACTGACTGCCTTCTGCCTCCTCCCTCCTGCTTCCTCCCACTTGCCCCCCCACCGCTCTCTCCGGTCTGGGGGACCTGAGGTGGTCAGGTCCAATGGTTATGAGGCCTGTGGGCTCTAGCAAAACAGAGGGAGGGCAAACACCTCCCTCGAAGCTATCTTCGGCCTCCGTCCTCCTCCCTCCCGACTCCTCCCTCATTCCTCTTCCCCCCTGCCCTCTTTCCCCCTTCCTGCCTCCTCCTCCAACTCTCTTCGGAAGCTTGACCGGCAGTGGTCCACAGCAGCAGAAGCCTCCAGCTATCTCCCTCCTCACTGTTCTTCTTCCCCCCCCCTTTACTGATATTCTCGTCTCTGGTAAAATTCCCTTCTCTTCGGTCTTCCCTCCTCCTCCTCCTCCTCCTCCTCCTCCTCCCCCTCATATTCCTATCTCCTCCTCCTCATCCTCCTCCTTCTCCTTGTCCTCCTCCATTCCTTTTCCTCATAATAAAATGTCTCCCTGTCGCGCCTGGCGTTTAACCCGAGACTCCCTCACCACTTATGACCCTGAAGGTAAAAGCATGACATCAGTTTCACACATAGAGGGGGGGTCGTTTCAAAATATGTGGCTCTCGCCTTAGCGCCGCACACATGCTGTAAACATGTTGCAAAAATTTCACGGTTTGAGGGCGACTGCTTTTCAAAAGTGGTTCCCGCCTTAGCGCCGCGCACACTGGTTAAAACTTTGCAAGACTTTCACGGATTGAGGGCGGCTCCATTCCAAAATCGTGCTCCCGCCGTAGCGCCGCGCACTTTCGTTTTTAAAGGTTGCATGAGCTTCACGGATTCCCATGATCAGCGTACCCAACAAGGTGTTTTGGAAGGATTCAAGATTATGAGGGCGCAGCAGTTCTATTGTTTCGAAGTGTTAAAGTCCCAGGAATGGCGTTATGGCACGATTCAGGATCGTCAAAACGCAACACCCAAGTTGATCCGTGCCGTTGGAATCCCAAGAACAATGGTTTGGCATGCTTCAGGGTCTTCAAACGGTTGGCTTCCAACGCGGCAGTTCCCTCAGTGGAAATGACCCGTTGTAGGGGCCTATGGGGAGGGAGCTTGGAGGCAGGGCTTATTCCAACGTCGTGGATACTTGGGTTTACACTGGTCCTCCTCCTCCTCCTCCTCCTCCTCCTTCTCCTCCTCCTCCTGCTCCTCGTCCTCCTCCCCCTCCTCCTGCTCCTCCTCCTCCTCCTCCTTCTCCTCCTCCTCCTCCTTCTCCTCCTCCTCCTCCTCCTCCTCCTCCTCCTCCTCCTCCTCCTCCTCCTCCTCCTCCTCCCGGCAGCCTCGCCGGGCAAGCAGGCAAGCCCGCGTGCGCGCCTGTGGCCGCCGTCCGCGTCCTGGTCGTCGACCGGCAGCCTCCCGGAGCGGAGGCTCCCCACCCGGGCCACCCCTCCTGAGGGCCAGCCTTTTGGGGGGGGAGGAGGAGGAGGAGGAGGAGGAGGAGGAGGAGGAGGAGGAAGAGGAGGAGGAGGAGGAGGAGGAGGAGGAGGAGGAGGAGGAGGAGGAGGAGGAGGAGGAGGAGGAGGAGGAGGAGGAGGAGGAGAGGAGGAGGAGGAGGAGGGGGGGCAGCCTTCGACCCGGAATCGGGGATGCACCGCCCGTGGATGGGCGACGGGCCCCCGATGGCGAGTCCGCGCCTTCCCAGACGACATGGGGCCATCGGGCCGCCCCTTGATCGGCGATCAGTGGGCGATTGGGGGGTCGATGCGTCTCCCCGCTGAGCCGATCCCCCCCTGGCGTTGCTCCTGGCCTCCCTCCCCCTCCCTCTCCGCCACGTCCTCCTCGCTTCTCATCCTTCTCATCGTCGGTGCCTCGGTGAGCGTGTCCGACCTGCTCTGGACGCATCCTCCGTTCCTTACCTCGTATTCCTCCTCGTATTCCTCCTCGTGTTCCTTCTCATCATTTATCTTGCCTCCTTCTCCTCCTCCTCCTCCTCCTTCTCCCTCCTCCACCTACTCCTCTTCGTCCTCCTCCTCCTCTTGCTCCTTGGCCCTCCTCCTACTTCTCTTCTTTCTCATTCTCTCCTACGCCTCGCTCCCCCAGGTCAAGGAGGCGCTGCTGGCTTTTCTGGAGCCTCTGGAGGGGGCCTCCGGAGAGGAGGAGATGGCGGAACGTACCCAGGGGACGCTTCGCTACAGCACGCTTACCTCTCCTCCGACTTTGGCTGCTGGCACCCCCCGTGGCCAGAGCGGGAAAAGGAGGCGAGAGGGGCGACAGCCCTGGAGGGCGACGCCGGCACGCCAGCGAGGAGGAGAAGGAGCATCGGTGGAGCCTGGGGCGGAGGAAAAGGAGGAGGGAAGAGACAGGGGAAGGAGAAGGAGAGGGAGAAGAGGGAGAAGGAGAAGAAGGAGGGAAGAGACAGGGGAAGGGGTGGAGGAGAAGGAGAAGGAAAAGAAGGAGGAGGGAAGAGACAGGAGTCACGTTGTTGCACCGATGCTGGCGCTTTTCAGAGCTTCTGGCGCCCGGGTGGCAACGGGTGGACGCAGCCTCAGAAACCGCCCGGGCTGGCGTCGGAGAGGGGGGCCCTGGATTGCTCCAGACCCCAAGGCGTCGAACCAAAGTGACGACGACACGTTGATCATGCAACCGGACGTCTGATCTAGAGAATCATCATTTGAGGAACCTGGGCCAGCCTTTTTGCCTACGCAGGAGATGCAAACGTGCTCAAGAGACTTGGCCAGCTTTCCGGCAAGTTGCTCAAGAAACGCTTGCCCAGCTTTTAAGGAGGATGTTGCTTATCATCGGCCGCTCAACTGCATCATGCTTCTGGGCCTCTGCGACCTCCGTTCGGGCACTGTGACAATCAATCATTGAGTTACCCGCGCAGGCAAGGTGGTCAAGGGGGCAGTGTCGAGAGCTGTGCGGAGGAAACCTTGACGTGGAAGGTCGAGCGAGGAGGAAGCGGGACGACGCCACGAATTACAGAGCAGTGCTTCTTTGCAGGTCTTCTGGAGGGCCCTCGCCACCGTTGCTGGACCCGCCTCGAGATCCTGGTCCGAATGTGCCCCCAAAAAGATCTGGGGGCCGATGCTGAGGGGGGATGAGGAGGAAACGGAGGAGCGGGAGGAGGGAGAGGGGCAGGAGCAGGGACAGAGGGGATGAGGGGGAGCAGGGAAGACGGGAAAGATTGGGCTGATGATTTTCAGGCGGGGCCTCATGGGTGGGGTTTTCACAACTCTGGGGTCTCCTCCAGGTTCTCCTCATCCGTCTTCTCCTCCTCCTCCTCCTCCTCCTCCTCCTCCTCCCCCTTCCCTGCTGCCTATTTCTCCTTCCGCTCCATCATCCCTGCTCCATCCTCCTGCCTCCCTCCTCCGCCCTACCGCCTACTCTTCCAATTCCCTCCCCTGCCATCCCTCCGTCCTCCTCCGTTCCTCACTTTCTCCTTCCCCCTTCCTTGCTGCCTCTCCCCTGCCTCCTGTCCCCCTTTCTCCGTCTCCGAACATTATCCGCCGCCCTCGCTCCTCACTCCCTGTCCTCCCTCTCCCCATTCTCCCTCCTACTCTTTCCTCCACTGGTCCCTCTTCTTTCGCCTGCCTCCTCCTCCTCCTCCTCCTCCTCCACATGGTCCAGTCTGATCCTGCAAGTAGTCTGACAGCGTTGCCTCGAATGTTTACCATGACAATTACTTAAATGGAGGTTGCTTGGTTTCCCAAGGGCTATTTCAGTTCAGTGCCACATGGTCCACCACAACTCGCACTTCAACACAGCTGCAGTATACATTGCATCACACGACAACGCACTCCGTTGCGCTACAGTAAATAGCGGCATCGGCAAGTGTGCATAAGTAAGCGTGAGCACGCCCACCGACGCGATCGCTCGCGAAGCGAGCAGACGCACGTGCACATTGGTAACCTCATGCCCGTGAGAATAAACACTAGGGGATAATAAAGTTCGGGGTTCAGGGAGAGATAATAAAAGTAGCCCAGCAGACCTCAGCATAATCTCGAAGTAAGAGATGATCAAGAGGAGACCAAGCCGAGCACGTTTTGAGACATCCTTGGCGTTTAGTTTTCATAGAAATATCCTCAACAATGGCTTATCTCTCATGAAAATTGTTTTTTGTAAGTGCTCGTGTAGGGTAGCTCATGTGCCTCAATTTCCATGGATAATCAACCCCAGAGATAAAAAAGTTCAGGCGAGCGTGGGGACAGAGAGAAATATAAAAGAAGAAGAATACAGTAGAAGAATAATAAGAAAGAAGAAGAAGAGGAGAATAAGAAGAGGACGAAGAAAGGAAAAATCCAAAGTTCCAAATCTATCAATTTTAATTTACAAACGCTTTATGAAAATTGATTTTTTAAAGTGCTCGTGTAGGGTAGCTCATGTGCTTCATTTTCCATGGATAATCAACCCCAGGGATAAAAAAGTTCAGGCGAGCGTGAGGACAGATAGAAATATAAAAGAAGAAGAGGAAATTAGAAGAATAATAAGAACATTGCTCGTTTCGTTTGAGTCTGCCTCCCAAAATTATTGGTTTCGCTTGACACATCCTGAAAAAGTGTGATCGCTTCGCTTGATGTTGCTATATCAACATCGCTTGATGTTGCTATCTCAACATAGCGTTTCGAGGTGATAATGAAGTTCGGCCTCAGCGCTCGCCGCCCAATTTGAATTTTGTATAGGGCGACGATAATCAACTCTAAACACTGAAGGGGGGGTCCCTTTATTATCATCGGCATGCGGTTACACGTTACGCATGCGCGCGTGTACACCCATGCCAATGCGCACAACTGCCTACGTCGTGTAAACCAACTCGAGGTTTGTGGCGCATGCGAGAGGCTCGCTTCCGTCCCCTCGTGAACAGCGCACAATATAAGGGCTGGTACTGTGCAAACACGTTGCTCGCTCGGCACCAAGAACACACCAGCTAAACACTCGCAGGGTAACACACTCGCTCGCTCGCTCGTTAGGCCTATCGCTCATTCGCGATTGACGCTCCATGGGATGAGAAGATGATGGAGGAGAGAGCCGGAGAACGGATAGGAGAGCGAGGATGTGCACGATCCCCATTCGCGTTCCCTGGTTGCCGCTCGAGTCGAGCCTCCGCCTGGTTCCTCAAGCCTCGCATTGTTTGTAGCAGCACGTCCCCATCATCCTCTGCCCCCATCCCCGTCCTCAACCTCTGTCATCCCTTCTCCCCACTCCTCCATACCTCTCTGCTCAGTCCTCATCCTCCTACCCTAACTGTCCTGAAGCATTGCAAGCTTCGAGACGGACACTGTTCCTTTAGCATCGTCGTCCCACGCCCATTCCATTATCTCCCCCTCCTACCCCCCTCTTAATCTCCCTCCCGTCTCCCACTTCTCGTTCCAATCATTCCACCTCCTTCACATTATCCTCCTTCGTCCTCAACCTCGACCCTCGACCTCCAACTCATCCGCATCTCCTTCCTCCGAATCCTCGCCATCCTCCTCCCAGTCTCCCTCCCCTCTGCCTCCACACTCCTCCCGCTTCTCATATTTCTCTTTCTGCTCCGCACCGCCGCCAACCCTCTCCTCCTGCCACCTCCCCTTTCCCTCTTCCTGGCCCAACCCTGCTTCCTCCTCCGTCCTCTTCACCCTCCCGCTCCTGTGCGGAGGTCCCTGGGGATCTCCAGAGGCTCGAGGGCGCGAAGGCCCAGAGAGGGCCAACCGTACCCAAACTGCCCGCCTCTTGCTACCCTATTCCCTTACCCTCCCCATCCCTCCCACCCAGCTCTCCACCGCTGCTTCCGAAAAATGCAAGGCCCCCGACCTCTTGACAGCTTACCGGGAACAGCTCCTCCTCTCCCCAGGGGCTCTTGTCTTGTCCATGACCCTGGGACCGACCAATGGAGGGAGGAGGGAGAAGGGAGGAGGGAGGAGGATGAGGAGGAGGAGGGAGGGGGGAGGAGGGAGGGGGGAGGAGGGAGGGGGGAGGAGGGAGGAGGAGGAGGAGGAGGAGGAGGAGGAGGAGGAGGAGGAGGAGGAGGAGGAGGAGGAGGAGGAGGAGGAGGAGGAGGAGGAGGGAGAGGAGAAGGAGGAGGAGGGAGGAAAGAGGGAGGAGGGGGAGGAGGAGGAGGATGAGGAAGGAGAAGGAGGGAGGAGGAAGAGGAGGAAAGGAGGAGGAGGGAGGAAGGAGGAGGGAGGAGGGGGAAGGAGGAGTAGGGGGAGTAGGGGGAGGAGGAGGAGGAGGAGGAGGAGGAGGAGGAGGAGGAGGAGGAGGAGGAGGCCTGGGCCTCCCTCCCATCGACCCCCCCGTTGCTGCGCGCGCGTGCGGCCGGCGGGCCTCCCGCCGCCGTCGCCGCCCGCGCCCCCGGGGCGCTCGCGGGCCCCCCCCGCGCCCCGCTTGCCACCTCGCGCTTCGGACGGAGGCGCGTCCGGGAAGTCGGCCGTCGCCGCCGTCGTCGTCGCCGCTGCCACCGTCGCCACCGCCACCCCGCCGCCGCCGCCGTCGTCTTCGTCGTCGTCGCGGCCGACGGCGCCACCGCCAGCACAACCATCGCCGTCGTCGTCGTCGCCACCGCCGTCGCTGCCGCCCAATGTCGCAGCGCCACTCAACATCCTAGCTGGAGAGCTGATGCTCGAGGTCGTCTCTGCTTAGTATACTTGGCCATGCCTGCAGTGTCCTCCATGATAGCCCAATTCTTCGTCCCATCAAGCATCGAGACAGGCGCACAGGAAGGTTCGCACCCGGAGACTCCAGAGACAACATGACTACCCTGCAAAGGCTCACTTCAAACGTGGCCTCAAGTGGCAGCAACTCGCATGCAGGCGGCATCGATAGGATCGAACGACAGTGACGTACGCCTACATGATGACTTAGGGTCCGCGCCCAAGGCGTCAGAGCAAAGAACCTGCGCATAATTGCATTTGGCACAAAAAGATGAAAAGGCTGACGCCGGCGCTCAGTCGCTTCCTGCACCCGTAATCGTGAACGCGGGTAACCCGGAGTACGTCCAGTTCCTGCCTTCGCGAGCGCGCCGCAATGTCCAGCAGCCGCTGAGCAGCCGATCTTCTCTGAACCTTAAAGAGTTGTAAGTTGTGATGTCCTAGATCCCGCCACAGGGGCGAACTACCCGGAAGGCTGGTACTCCAGTTGGCAACCTGTTGACGGGTAACCCGTAGGGGGATTGAAGGGGGGAGAAGATCGATCGCGCGCGCAGGACCTGGTCCGACCTCTCCACTACACCTCTTCTACTGGCAGGCAGCCTGTACCGACGCATCGAGGACGCCCAGGAGAAGGACGGGGATAAGAATGATCAGATCGCCCTACGAGCAGCCGCACCTCGGGGAGGTTCCGGAGGACGGGCACTCGCAGGAAGAGAGAGAAGGTCGCTCGGCACAGCAGCCCTGCTCTGGCAGGAGCCGGCTCCCGCTGCGGCCTCGACGGCGGAGTCGCGCCCGGAAGGTCTGCGCTTCGGACACCCGCCGCAACGACTTCCTGGCGCTTGCGAACAAACGCCTGCGGCCCGTGGAGAGCAGGCTGGACGTGGCCTCGGAGAGGCTCCCCGCCGCCCGTGCCCCAAATCGGACGTCGTTGGGACCGCGAAGGCCACAAAGAGGCCCCAAGGAGGCGATTCGTCTGACTCCGAGAGGGGGGGGAGGGGGAGCGCAGATCAGGGACTTCCATTCTTGAAGGGGCCCTGGGACACGCAAATTAATACACACAAATAACCCGATTCCGCTCATTTTCCCATATTTTCTGAGTTTTTGTCTTCCCCCCCTCCCACTTCCCATATTTTTCCATCTTCTCCAATCGACGATTAATTGTGTCTGTGTTGTTTCCCCTCCTGAAGATCAGGAACTTCCATTTTGTGGATCGACCGTCTTCTGGATCGGCCCAGGCGGGCCCCGAGGGCCCCCAGTGGGGCCCCAGGAGAGCCGCTGGAGAGTCTCTCTCAACATTACCCAACAGCGGCCCAAGACGGCTCCAAGATGTTGGAATTGCGCACAAGGGGGTGGAGGGAGGGCTTCTTAGAGGGAGGCTGCTTCTTAGAAGTCGCCGGCCATACATCTATAGATAAGACCCACACCTTCTAAGAAGCAGGGGTGCTTCCAAGAAGCCCTCCCCCCTCCCCCCAACGCCCTCTGCGCGTGGTTGAAGATGCCTCGCAAACACCTCCCCCTCAGATTCCGAAGAAGGAGTTGGCGAAGGCCTTGCTGCTCGAATCCTGATCTCTCCGCGCCGCTCCGCTGCCGCGCACGAAATCACGGGCAACCCTTCCCTTGCCATCGCTCGGACACCCATTCACCGTGCAGTCGTCGGTTTCGCGCGTGCTTTTTGCTGCAAGATGATCCAAGATCGGGGAGACGAAAGACTCGGGATCGAGGGACTCGGGTTGGCCTGACGGGGCCATCATGAAATGACGAGACCCAAACTGGATTGTGACGCGAACTCCCGCTGCAGACATCCCAGGAACACTGGACCGTCAAAATCCAGGACGCGCTCGTCGAAGAGCGTCGGCAGACCCGAGTTCCGGCGCACTCGAGCCTCACGTTTCCCCGACAGGATGCTCCTCGAGGGTCCCCGCCGGGGAAAGACCACGCACACGCCCGAGCGACGCCACCCTCCCGGCCGTCTGGGAAGTTTTCTAAGCCTTCCCCAGAAAGACAAAGAAGAACTTCTCAGAAGGCGCGAGGGCTTCTGAAAAGCCCCGCCGCCTTCCGAGAAGGCCCTCTCCCTCTCATTCTCCCCTCCTCGCTCGTCGCCGACGCTCCTCGGGGGTCCCCGCGGAAAACGAAAAACACTGCACGCGCCCGCGCGAGGTCCCCCTCCCGGGCATCTTCCAGGCGGGGGGACCGCGTGCGGGGGGGGGGGGGTCTGGCAGGGCGGCTGCCACCCCCCCGCGCCTCCTCTCGGGGGGGCCCCGGGCCCAAAGCGCAGCCCTCGAGTCGGCGGCGAGCGAGGGGAGGGGGAAGCGAGAAGGAGAGGGCCATCTCGGTAGGCGGCGGGTCTTCTCAGAAGCCCTCGCGCCTTCTGAAAAGTGTTTGTTCAGTCCTTCTGGGGAAGGCTCCGGAAACTCCTCAGAAATACGGGGGACTTCCGAGCCTTCTGAGAAGGCCCGCCCCTTCTCACTTCCCCCCCGCTCGCCGACGAGTGGTGACAACCGAGCTCTCCCTCCCTCTCCCAGGGGAGCAGAAGTACAGTCGCACCTAGGCCAGAAGAGCACCCCTCAAGAGCATGAGACCATTCGTCGGCCAAGAAAGCAGCATGGCATCCCAAGGACACCCTCCCCCGGATGCACAAGAACGTCTAACGAACACGACAAACATGAGGGTACCCTCCCCGCACTGGCCTCGATCTGATACCTCGGTCCGACCGTACCTGGGGGGGGTAACCTAAACGGGGGGGGTGAGAAAAGGGCCCTACAAATACCCTTTAGGGCCCCTCTTGAACCCCTGCTGGCTCCAACAGGGGCCCAGAGGGCCCCTTCAGGGCCCTCGTCTTCACCTCCATTCAGGTCCTCCCCCAATTACCTCCCGCCCGATGCTTATCTGAGCATGCTCTTAGGGTGGAGGGCTCAGGGTGAAATCCATATGGGCTTCTGCATCTCGAAAATCAATCCGTCTTGTGATTCACCTTTTGCAAATTCAAGACTCGAACATCCATCGAAACGGCATTTCAGATTTCACCCGTTGCCCTCCACCCACAGAGAATGCTCGGCTTATGCCCGCACGGTACGTCCCTGTTCAGAACAGCTCGCCCTGGAACCGGGTATGGGCCCGCTGGCGGGGATGCGCGACGCATCCAGTATACAGCGGGAATCCTGCGGGTCCGCGGAGCTGAGAGCAAGGGCGGCCTTGGCCGTGTCAAGACGACAGAGCCTGCAAACACTGCAGGGTTGGAGCGGAAGCTCGTAAGGAGCGACTGGCGCGCTCGCATATCCTGAACAGTCGGCCCCTGGACGATCGTATGAGCTCGCGTGGTGGTCCAGGTGAGTTCCCGAACACCTCAAGATGGAGCCACGAAGTGTGCAGACGGCCCAATACTGCAGGAGGGGGAGCTACGACCGCCCAAAGAGGCCTCCAACATGCCGCTAGGAGACTACCAAGACGGCCACGACAAGCGCTGAGACGGCCCAATACAGTTAAAATACGTTCACAGAGGCTGTCAAGACGGCCCCGGGGAGCCCCGAACGGCTCCCGAGAGCACTCGAAGAGGATAAAGGAACGGATCATCCTTAGATTTCTGTCTGCTGCTCGGATGCGTGCTTTTTTTGGTGCTCAAGATGTTTAAGAAAGGCCCTGAGCCTCCCAAGGGTGCCCCCAGACGGCACAAATGATGCTCAAGAGGATACCAAGAGGGCCCCTGGACGACCAAAGAAGGCCTCATACTAGGATTCAGACGGCTCGAGATGCCTCCAGACGGCCCAAGCGAGCACAGGGCGCTCCAGGATACTCCCAAGACAACCAAGACGGGCCAACGACGGCAGAAGATGACTCCCGGACGTCCGAAGAGGCTCTCAAGATGGCCCCAGAGAGCCCCAAGAGGCGCACAAGAGTATCCCACGAGGACTGCACCACAACAAGATCTGCTGTTAGCAGGGGAACCTGAATAGTGAGAATAAATGTCTGCGCATTCGCCGTTTCAGTTCCCGGAGCTTCCAAGACGGCCCATTGAGCTCCAAATAGCGTCCCAAGACTACCTAGAAATAGCCAAAGCGCAACGAGGGTTCCAGGATGGTCAAGAGGGCCACCAGGCACTCTCAGAGAGTCCCAGGACGCCTAGGTGGGGCTCCCAAGCAGGCTCCAGAAGGCCGAAGAAAGCCCCTACAGGGCCCCAAGACGCCCACAGACCCACAGACGGCCCCAAGACACGCCAGCGTGGCTCCGGGACTCGTCAAGAAACGCCAATTTGCCACAAGACGCCCCCACAAGCCCAAGCGAGACCGAGGGCGCTCCAAGAAAGACTCCAAACGAACCCACCAGAGCACCGAGACGAGACGCCGACACATGCTCCGCCTCTTCCTCCTCCCTTTCCTCCTCCTGCTGATCATCCGCGTCCTCTTCCGCAGCAGCAGAGCGATGTGGGCAACACGATTCGACATGTCTCCTTCGACTGCCAACTCAAGACACTTGCGCCCTCACTGGCTGATAGATGTGTGTGCTCGTTTCCCGTAGGGGATCTGCGGCTCAACACTGGATGCTTTCAAGCCAACCGGGCCGTGGCAGCAACACCTCAACTGGGCATCGCTCGGCCGGATGCCAAACACAGCCTCTTAACGGACGGATCTCAAGCAAACATTGAAATGATACACCGATTTCTGGAACAAGACACTATGACCAACCCCAACACGGCACAACCACGAAGGCCACCACAGCGACTACGACCACCACCACGCCCACAGCCACGACGACCGAGGCGACGACCACGACCACGACAATGAACACGGCATCAACGACGACGACCACAACGTCCACTACAGCAACACTAACCACGTCGAAGATGGTAACGACGACGACGCCGACAGAAACGACGACGATGACGACGACGATGACGACAGCAAAGACGACGACGACGATGTCCAAGACCAGGACGACGACACCAAATCAAGGATGACGACCATAAACTGCGACAGCGAAGACGACGACAGTGTCCAAGACCACGACAACGGCGACACGACCACGACTGACCCCATCCGAGGCGCCTGAGCCGCGCTTCTTGGGCCCGGTGGAGGGGCGCTCGGCGCTGGCCTCGCTCGCGCGCGCGCGCCTCTTGTATTGCACTGTCTACCGCCAAAGATGCTGTGCTGCCTCCGCACTGAATGCTGTCTGCCGCCGGAAGACGGTCATCGTGGTCCCGTAAATTGTTGGTCGGCCTCCCGCAAAGGAGGAGGAGGAGGAGGAGGAGGAGGAGGAGGAGGAGGAAGAGGAGTCATGAGCTGCCCCCCCCCCCCCCCCGCACGGAGTATAGCACTATCTTGCCACGCGCCATGTATTACCAAGCTTCCCCGGAGCTGGCACCTGATCCGCTTGTTGTGAAGTCGTGGCTCGCGCGACCCAAGGGAAAGGACAAGGAGGGCCAAGGAGAGCCCGGGAGGAGCGAGGATCGAGGGTACAAGATAGGGCACGGCTTCTGCAACTGCTTAGCCTCCGAAGGCCTGCCCGGACGTGCTGGTGTCCTCATGACTACCCCAGAGACCCAGGGAGTCCCCAGGGTGGCCCACGAGGGCACGAGGAGAGAAAGGTGGGAGGAAGGAGAGGTGGGAGGATGAGGAAGACGGGAAGGCTGTCTCCTCCTCTGCCTCCTCCTTTTCTGTTCTGCCCCCTCCTTCTACTCTGTATCACGCACCCCCTTTTCCTCTAGCAACTCCTCCCCTCCTCCACACCATCCTCTATCCCCCAACACCACCTCATGCGCATGGTCGGAACCCCAATCCACCTTCACCATGATCCTCCTCCTCCTGCTCCTCCTCCTCTTCCTCCTCCCAAGGTCGCGTTCCTCCCATTTGTTTGCTCAACTTCCCTCCATACGTCCCCCCACACACCCTGCTCCTCTTGCTCCTGCCCCCTTCCTCAGAGAACTCCTCGTCCTCCTCCTCGACCTCATTCCCCTGCCTCTTTCTCGATCAGTCGCCCTTACCCCGATCCACCGATATTGTATAGTTTCTGGCCCACACCCTCAGACATGTGGACTACAATCCTCTCTCACAGTTCAGGAGGTGTGGGAGACAGGAGGAGTGAGGGAAATGGGGTAGGGAGGGTGAAAATAGAAATGAGTAAGGCAAGTTAACGAGAGGGAGGGGCGAGGGGAAAGGGGGTGCAAGATGATGAACGAAGGCGCAGGGCAGACAAAAAAACAAAAACACAGCACCCGCAGAGGTTGATCGGATGGAAGTGGTCTTTCTGAGACGTTTGGAGCAACTGAAAAGCTAGCCAGAGTGGGCCCCTAACCAATAACGTATTGCACTGCGGCTGTAACCTGTGTGATAAACCCATGGAATGGAAGCTCTGTCGTGCGAAACTATATAGTGCAAGCTACGCGTTGCAACTTGCGTCGTGCAAGCTATGTGGTGCAAATTATGTGGTGCGGATTGTGCCGTGCAATGGAAGTGGTGCAACCTGCGTGGTGCGAGCTGTTTGTTGCAAGCCATGTCGTCCAAAGTCTGTAACGCAATCTGCGTGGCGCAAGCTATGCAGTGGACGCCCGGAGGTGCAAACTATGCGGTGCACGGTATGGTGTGCAATCGACGTATGGCAACCTAGGAGATCCAATGTGTGTGTGGTGCAAGCTGCGTGGTGCCAACTCTGTGGCGCAACGCACCCTGCAGAGCTTGAAACCATCAACTCCACTGCCCGCGCAATCATCATACCCCAGGAGGGCCCAGAATCGGATCGATAGGTCTGATCGGCAGTCGAAATGAATCGGATCGGCGGAAATCGACAGCCGAGTCGGGAAAAGTCGAATCGGCTGAAATTGGCAGGCTAGTACGCCTCCAGTAAGAAATCGGAACCCAGATCGGAATCCCAAGTCGAATCGAATCGGAATCGGAAGCCATCGAAGTCGAATCGAATCGAATCGGAGGAATCGAAACGAGCCCTGTACCCTTTCAGCCGCAACTTGTTTTGCACAACCACTACGGGCACGACTGCAATGACTACCTGGCAATGGCTGGCTCACATGCGCGGCAGCGCTAGTCCGCTCAAACTCGCGCGCGAAACGGCCAGCTGTTTCGCCCAACGCTGCAATGGCGCACACCGATGTGAGTTCTCCATTGCGTTTCAAAAGCTGCGGTGGCGCGCGGGCATTTCAATGCGGGTCGGCGATTTGGGCGGGTCGATATCATGAGGACGTCGACATCGACGGCAACGATGGTGATCGTAGCGATATGACGGTGGCGACGGTGGAAAAACAACGACGGCACGGCCAGTGGCGGCGTCGACTCTGGTGCTGACGGTAACGATGATGGCGTGAGTGTGTGTGTGTGTGATGACGACGATTGGCGGATGAGGGCGGCAACGGCTGCGATTGGCGATGACGATCATGGGAATGGCGCGGTGGCCCTGACGAGAGGGGGTGGCGGGGAGCTGCGCGCGCGGAAGAGCAGGACGCCCGGCAAACGTATACCAGGCAGAGCATGCCGCTTGAAAAACACATGGCTTCTCACGTGTCTGCAAAGCGTCATCTTGAGCTGCTTCGAACACCATTTGTTTTGGCAAGATTTCGACGCGCACGCGCGTCGGCGCGCAGGTGTGGCCTGCGTCGCATGGCTCTTGATGAGGACTCAAAGAGTGGGCGCATGTTGGATCAACGCGGGCGCACCGCGAGGTGAAATGAAAAAGCGGGTTCTGGGCGCGATTGCCAAGATCTCATCGTCTTCACAAATGTCAAACGCACGCGCGCGGGCAGAGCTTGTTTTCCAAATTTCTGCTGAAGAACTCAAGAGTTTGATGTCTCCCTGTTGGGGAGAAGCTGGCAACGTATCTGGCGCGACCCCAATTAGCGGATTACCTTTTCCCCAGTTAGGTTTGCCGAGGGGGCTCTTACTTGGTTGAGAAGAATGGCGCCTCGGGGGGGCACGTTGCCTGTTTTCTGGAGGTTTCTCTGGCTTCTCGGGCTCCTCGGGTTCCTTGGTTCCTCGGGTTCCCAATCAAAACAATGCCAAGCAATGCCGAACAAGGCCAAAAAACGCCAAGCGATGCCAAATAGTGCCACGCAATGCCAAACAACTCCTAGCAATGCCAAGCAATGCCAGGCAATGCCAAGCAGTGCCAACCCATGCAAATCAACGCCAAGCAATTCCACGCGATGCGCCCAACGGTGCGTCCAAGCATTAAGCTTCCCCCAATTTGGGGCCGCGCCGGGCTCATTGAAAATGGACCCAAAACGAATTCGACGAAATGAACCCGGCGCGCCCGCGCAACCAGACTCCCGATCGCGTGCGTCCTCCATGCGTCGGATCGCCGGGTCGATCGTTCGGAGCACATCTGCGTTGTTCCAGGTTGCGGGTTTTTCAGCGCCTCTTTGTCGGATTGGCAACATCGCGACGGGGCGAATGGCAGCCCCCGGCGCAGTTGAGCCACACGGATACGAGCATCACCGAACGCGTGACAGGGTGGAAATTGACGTGGTTGCATGATTGTGCGTGCATCGCGAACGCGTGACACGGTCGAATATGGTGTGATGGCGGCGGAGAACCCGAAAAATCCGGGAAACCCGAGGAACCTCCGGGCAACGGGCTACGGAAGAATACTTGGGGATAGCCTTGCGAATATTCTTTTCGGTGGAGCTCCCTTTGGGGCCACGAAACATGAGACGGTTGTGCCGAAATGGGGAGCGGGGGCGCCTGCGGACGGTGACACTGGGACGTTCGGCGGGGCTCCCCATGGGCCCCAGGGACCTTCGTTGGGGCTTCCGATGGGCCCACGGAACGTGTGAAGGGTGTGCCGAGATGGCGGGGGCGCATACGCACGTTGCCAATGGGACCCTCGGCGGGGCTCCGATGGGGCCACGAAGCGTGTGACTGGTGTGCCGAGATTGATGGTGGGGGCGCATGCGGACGGTGCCTCTGGGACCTTCGGCGGAGCTCCCTATGGGGCCACGAAGCGTGTGAGGGCTGTGAAGAAATTTGTGGCGGGGGCACATGCGGACGGTGCCACGGGGACCTTTGGGTGGAGATCCCTGTTGGGTCACGAAACGTGTGAAGGGTGTGCCGACATGGGTGGCGGTGACGCGCGCGGACGGTGCCACTGGGACCGCCAGTGGAGCTCCCTATGGGGCCATGTGGGATGTGCCGAAATGAGTGGCGGGAATACATGCGGACGGTGCCACTGGGACTTTCGGTGGAGCTCCCTGTGGGGCCATGGCACGTGTGACAGGTGCGCCGGAAATGAATAGCGGGGGCGCGTGCGGACGGTGCCAGTGGGATCTGCGGTGGAGCTCCCTGTGGTGCCACAACACGTGTGAGAGATGTACGGAAAATGGAAGCTGATGCGGGCGGCAAAGGCAGGGATGGGAGGAGGGAGGAACGAGAAGAGGAGCTGGGAAGGACGCGGCGTGTTCTCTTCAAAGCAAGGGCCCAACACCAAAAGATGTTTGGAGAAGCAAATACATTCCGTGCGCTCGGGAAACCATCCGCCCCCCCCCCTGGACACCAGCATCTCTAACCGCCCCTATCCCCTCCCCCCTACCCTTCCAAAGAGGCGAGGTTTCGAACCGGTTCCCCCCTTTTTCCAAATCTTCCAAAAAGTGGGGGAGCCTTCCCCACTTACGCGCCGTTGGCAAAAAAACGCCGACGACGACGATGACCTCGACGACGCCGACAACGTCAGAGGCGGCGGCGACGGCAACGACAACGACGACGACGGTTCGATCCAGTCTGGTGCAAATCCCATCAGAACTGGACACGGCTCTTATGGAATATCACGAATTATACAAACCTACTGGAACCCGGCTTATCTTTAATACAATCCGACTCGGGCTGGATCCGGCTGGAATTGAATCCCACAGGCTGAACCCAACTGACTCTAATGGCATCCTACAGAAGGTCGATCCAGCTTTACTGACATCCTACCAGGGCTGGATCCCGCTCTACTAGGATCCCACTATGGACGGATTTGGAAAATCTCCGATGAAAAAAATATGGGTTCTATTCAGCTCTGATGGGATCCAATGACAGCTCGATCGACCTGTAATCGAATCATGTTCGGACTGGATCCAGCTCAAAACATCATACGAAGGCGACGTCAAACTCTAGTCGCATCCTAGTAGGGCTCAGTCTATCTCGAATCGAAACCTACTGGGGTTCGGCGTAGTCTTGATAGCATCCTACTGGGGCTGGACATAGCTCATATGGAACGCTGATAGGGCTGGACCAAGTCTAGAGGGATCACACGAGGGTTCCATCAAACTCCCACATAATCTTCGAGGGGCCGAACTAGCTCTAGCAGACACATGGACAGCTCCAATCTAATGCCACTAAGACCCGGCTCAACTTTAATAACATAGTTCTGGGGCTGAATCCAGGCCCAATGAAATCCTGGGAGATCCAGCTCGAACGGAATTCTGGGAAGGACCGATCTAGATGTACAAGAATCCTACCATGGCTCGACACATCCCTGGTAGAATCGAACCAGGCACGGATCCCGATCTAGTGGGGTCCTCTTGGGGCTCGGTCCAGCAGGCTCCAAAATAATCATACTAGACACCGATCCAACTCCCATAGAATCCTACTTGGGCTCGCCCCAGCTATCATATAATCATACTAGGGGAGCTTGCGAGTCTGGCAGAATCCGACTTGGGCTCTGGAGCCCTTACGGAGTCGGCCATCTGCAACCTAATCCTAATGGGGATCGGTCGTCGCCATCGTCTTCTTCAAAGAAAAGAAAAATAAGAGTAGTGATAAGAATCAGAGAGATAATAATAAGAATAGGAAAAAGAAGATAGAACAAGAAGAGCAATATGAAGAAGCATAAGGAAAAGCAGAAGAAGAAGAAGAAGAAGAAGAAGCTCCACGTGGTGCACGCCATTGGGGAGCCGACGAGGCGCCCACGGCCGGCGACCACCTCTGCATAGCCCCCCCCCCCCAGCGCGGGGCGCCCACGAGGCGCCCGCGGGCGAGCACCGGGCGCGAGACCTCGGCAGATGCCCCCCCCCCCGGCGCGCAGGGCGCCCACGCGGGGCGCCCCACGGGCGGGCACCGGGCGAGCCCTCGGCAGACCCCGGGTCGGAGCGGGGCGCCCGCGAGGCGCCCGCGGGCACAGGGCGCCCTCGAGGCGCCCGCGCGGGGGCACCCGGGGCGGCATCCTCCTCCTCCTCCTCGCCTCCTCCTCCTCCTCCTCCTCCCTCCTCCCTCCTCCTCCTCCTCTCCTCCTCCTCCTCCTCCTCGCTCTCCTCCTCCTCCTCCTCCTCCTCCTCCTCCTCCTCCTCCTCCTCCTCCTCCTCCTCCTCCTCCTCCGTGGTGCCCGGGAGGCCCGACGGAGTCCCGAGCAGCAGGAGCCAGGCCTCCGGAGCGCCAGCACCGTTTTTGGCTACCCAGCAGACCACCCCAACCCAACCCGAAGACCCGAATTTGACCCGAATTTCGGGTTGGGGGGCGTACGGATTCCAGGTGGTTTTTCAATGTTCACCGACCACCCCACCCCCCCACTGGAAATCGAGGATAAATTTGGACCTCCGGGTTGGGTTGGGGTGGTTTGATGGGTGGTGAGTTTTGGGGGAGGCAGCTCAGCACCAGCCCGCCGCTGGCGCTGATTTTTCAAGCAGCGCGCTTCTGCGCAGCATGCCGTCGGGTCCCACGGCGGCGGATCCCAGGCCCTCTCGAGAACCCCCCGGCCCGAGACCCCGAAGCCCCCAGCCCTCCACGACGCCACGAGCCATCGTAGCCATGCCCTGCCAGGCCCTTCCCAGCGAAGAAGGAGGAGAAGAAGGAGCAGCAGATCCGCCCACCCCCTGGCGCGGCCACCGGGCTGCGAAGGTCGGGTTGCAGCAACAGGTACAGTCAACCAGCATAATAAGGACGCAAGGGCCTTGGAATGCCATGTCGACACTTTGCGGGCGGGGCGCGGCCAGCGAGAGCGGAGAAGAAGCGACCGAAGGGGAAGGACACAAAGCTAACCTTAGGACGTTGCGCATCCGTAGTATGCGGCCTGCTGTACATCCGGTCACAGTTCCAGTGCAGCTTCCAACTTCTGGTCGCCTGTGTTTTGTCGATACTTCCTGTTTCCTCCTGTAAGCTGTTGCTGCACGCGCGATGGCGAGAGCCCGGAAACCACCCTGGCCACCACGGCCTCCTGGGGTAATCAGCATTCCCTGGGAGGGCTGGGACACTACAGATACGTGAGATTCGCGCCTCTGGGGTCTTGTTCCTCATGAGTTGCACCAAATTCGCGCTCCCGTGGCCAGAATCTTTTTTTGATTACACACGGTTCGCGCCCCGCGGTCGAATCCCGTTGCAAATTACTCTTGATCCGCGCTTCCGAAACCCAGTGCATCGTACATTACACCAGTTTCGCGCCCACAGTGCCAGAATCCTGCACAATCTACACCAGATTCACGCTACCGAGGTCAGATTCTCATTTTTTGTTGGCTCTGATTCGAAAGAAATGGGCCAAAGCGCAGAGCCTCCTGCGAGGACGGCAGTGGCATCTGCGCGCAACCCCTCCACTGCAGTTGAAAAGACAAACTGCTGACTCCCGAAGGCTGCGCAGCCCAGGTCACTCCAGCGCGGGGGCAGCCGACCAACGCTCGCGGCGCTCAAGCAGCGCCTGGCGACAGGAGCGCCTCCGCCAAGCGCGCCACGCCCTTGTCGCCCGCGCTGCCTAAGCGCCTGGCTCTTCGTGCCCCCAGCGGCCCAGCGCCAGCTGTGCAGGTGTCCCGCCGCCGCAGGCCGCCACATGTGGCACGTCGCCCCGTGGCCGCTCTGGCTTGCTGCATGCCGCCCAGCGTTGTCTCTGCCCTGCCGCCGTGACCCGCGTGACCCGCGCCGTGACCCGCGTGACGCGCCGCGCCGCAGCGGCAACCCAGCGGCTCTGCCCCGGAGGCCGCGGCCGCCGCGAGGGCGCGGCCGCAGGCCGGGTTCACGCACACGATTGGCATGTGTTTCGCACCGAAGCTGACGCGCCACACCCCCGCGCGATTCGGCGCACGGTCGCCAACGGCATCCATGGGTTCGCCGAGCTCCCGGGGCTGCACCTTGCGGCCGAGGCGCTTGCTCACCTTGGCCGCCACCGCGTCCAGCGTCGACCAGGTGTTTGGAAGGGGCTCTGGGACACACAAACAAATACACACAAAGAACAGGATCCCCCACAAATCCGATATTTTCTGGGTTTTTGTCTTCCCCCACACTTCCCATATTTTCTCATATTTTCTCGGGAATCGACGATTCGTTGTGTCTGCGTGTGCCCTGCCCTGCTGAGTGTTGCACGTGCCAGCCGCAGCGAGCGCCAGGCCCACGTCGCGCGCAGGCCGCTCCGGCGCCGGCGGCTGGGGCTCCGGCCGCGGGCGCTCGACCCTCGCCCGGCAGGCGGGCGGGCGAGCGGAGGAGGCGCCCGCGCGGAGCCGGCGACTTGAGCCAAAATGGCTACAGTCGGGTTGCTGAAACAGGGAACGCTAAATAAGGAACTGTTCCTTATTTCAGCGTCTTGGCTGTATGGAAGGTCAGATTCTCATTTGCATTACACCAGGTCAGCGATCCCGAAGCCAGAACCCTTCGCAGAGTACACCAGATTCGCGCTGCCGAAGCTGAATCCCATGTAGATTGTGGTAGGTTTACGCCCTCATGGCCAGAATACAAGGAAAGTTACGCCAGAATCGCGCTCCCGCAACCAGAGTACCTCCTAACCACATTGCGCTAGATTCGCGCTCCTCGAGCAGGAATCCTCTCCAGATGACTCGAGCCTCGCGATCCCGAAGACAGAACCCATGGGAAATTACAGTACGATAGATTCGAGCTCCTGAGGCCACGATCCCCAATAAGGAACGCCAGTTTCGCGCTCTGAAACGGAAACAAAGCGTTCAACAAGAAGTCCAATATCTCAATCAAGGTACTTGTCGAATGCCAGTCGACCTCCTGATGTTCTCAGAAATGTTAAAAGCAGCGGCAACACGTCCCAGCATAGCTCTGACATCTACCATTTCGGGGAGCTGCTGACTCGGGCCAATGCATACGGCATACGGGGGTCAGTCAAATTTTGCAGGATCCTGTGCGATCCTGCGTAGCAATTAGGTGGGATCCTCGAGGATCCTGCGCGCCAGCCCGGGTCGGTGCAACCCTGGCTCTGCGGGATCCTGCAAGATCTGGCGCTCTGGCTGACCCCCGTTCTCAATGGCGCCCGTCCCCTGAGCCCCGATCAGTCTAATGTGAGAGGGGGCCGGCGGCAAAGGGCGAAGCCCTCACGGATGAGCGCAGCACAACAGCTCCTCACCCTGAGCCGACGAGCACACGTGCGACCCGAGATGGGCCCGCGGGAGTGGAGGCCCGCCACTGCGGCTGCGCCAGGAGGAGCACGCCCGCACAGCCTGATCCTGCGGCCACGCCGCTGGCAAGCGAAGCAGAAAACGAGAGCGAGGACGAGGACGAGGACGGCGACGGCGACGAACCGGAGGGACGGGCCACCTCCGAGCGTGCGGCCTCGCCGCCCTTGCTGCACTGCTCCGCGCCGCCTCTCCGAGCGCGCAGGCGCGCGGGCGGGCGCGCGGGCAGTGCAGAACGAGGAGGGAGGACTCCTGCATCCTCCTCCTCCTCCTCCTCCTCCTCCTCCTCCTCCTCCACCTCGTCCTCGTCCTCGTCCTCCCCCTCCTCCCCTCTCCTCCTCCTCCTCCTCCTCCTCCTCTCCTCCTCCTCCTCCTCCTCATCCTACGTAGTCTTCCTCCCTCCTCCGTCCTCCCCCCTACGTCCTACCTCCTCCTCCTCCTCCTCCTCCTCCTCCTCCTCCTCCTCCTCCTCTTCCTCCCTGTCCTCTTCCCGGCGGAGGCGAAGGATCGAGGGTCGAGGTGTTCCACTTCGTTGGCTTGGAGGGGGGGGCCCCAGGATGCCTCAGGAGGGACTCCCGAGGCATCTGGGCACATCTGGCAGACCTCCTAGCCCCTGGTGGCGCTGCCCAGGAGGAGGAGGAGGAGGAGGAGGAGGAGGAGGAGGAGGAGATTTTCGGGGGAGAGGCGAACTCTCGCTGGGGAGCGACCGCGATGGATCTCGACCCCGTGCAGGGAGACCGCCGCGCCCACTGTGCCGCTTCGGCTGGTCATGATTTCTTCTTACGCTCTCGCTGCGCGTGCCGGCTCGCATGTGCCTGACAGATCCTGCCAAATCAGCGTTTTCTTATCCTCGCTTCGACATTGGGCGGAAGGGTAGGAGGGGCGGGTCTGGCTCAGAACCTCTGCTTAGTGCGACTGTTTGGAACCGTGCGTATTCTCGTGGAGGCCCCACCTGTTGAAAAAAAACGGGCGCCTAAAACAGCCAAGATCTACTCTGGGGGGGAGGGGAGGGGGGAGGGCGAAGGCCCGCGCCGATCGGCCAAACAGTGAATAAAAAAGCGATCGCCAATGCGCGCACAGGGCGCGCCTGCTTCCAGGGGAACGCAACATGAAATAAACATCATTACTCAGAGGTCCGCGCGGATGTCTTGGGTCTGCGCTGGACCCCCCTCCCTGGCGCGCGGAGCGCGCCAGGAGCGGCGCCGGAGCGCCGATCCGAGAGATCCGCGCGGACCTCCGAGTTTTTACGCAGCACCCCGTAGTGGCGGATAAGAGTGAGGGGGCGGCGAGTACGTCGGCAGTCTGCGAGGCTCTGAAGAAGCCCGCCGCAGGCGCCGAATCTTTCAAGCGATACAAGAGCCCGCCGCAGGCGCCGATTTTTTTTAACCAGGTGGGTGGGTCAGGGGTTGGGTCGCAGGTGGGTCGCGGGTGGGTCGACGCTGGGTCGCGAGCTTTCACGTTCATGTCACTCTTCGTTCCCCTGGCGACGCCGGGGGCGAATAGCCCAGGGGAGAACAATGCATGCATCCAAGAGCGCCGATGGCCCGTGCCTTCGGCGAGGCTCAGGGGCGAACACGTGCAGTGCCCGCCCCTGGGCTCAGGAGACAACTACTGGGAGGTCTTCGCCGGAAAGATGAAGGAGGATTAAGCCCCATTTGGGAGCTGTTACGCCGGAGTGGGCCTCGGATTCAACGGGACTAAGCGGGATTAAGCGGGATTAAGCGGGATTCAGCCGGATTAAGCCGGATTTCGGACCCGGCAAAATCAGAATCTGACCTCCCAGGAGTTGCACCCGAACTGGGCTCCTCGCCCCTCTCGTCGCCCCCGAGCCGTTCCCCAGGAGCGTCCCTGCAGGGGCGCGGCCCGCGGGCGCGGCGCAGCACGCCCTCTCGGCCCCAGGCAAGGGTGATCTTCTCCTCTTCCTCCTCCTCCTCCTCCTCCTCCTCCTCCTCGTGCTCCTCCCCCCTCCTCCTCCTCCTCCCTCCTCCTCCTCCTCCTCCTCCTCCTCCTCCTCCTCCTCCTCCTCTCCCTCCTCCTCCCTCCTCCTCCTCCTCCCTCCTCCTCCCTCCTCCTCCTCCTCCTCCTCCTCCTCCTCCTCCTCCTCCTCCTCCTCCTCCTCCTCCTCCTTGATCCCCTTCCCCTCCTCTTCGTCTCCTCCCCTCCTCCTCCTCCTCATCCTCCTCCTCCCCTCCTCCTCTTCTTCTTCCCCTCCTACTTTTCCGCTCCTGGGGCGGTGGCTTTGGGCGTCTGTCGGCGGAGAGCGAGCCTCGAGCCTCGGAACGTCGTCCCCTCCTCGAGCCTCGGAGCTGCGTCCCCTCCTCGAGCCTGCTCCTCCCCAAGCGTTGCCCATGGTGAGAGCGACCCGGAGATCGGCGGCGAGCGGGGTCTGGGGACGATCCCTGTTACTATGTTTGATAATGTGTTGAATAATTGTTGGACATTTTGTAAGTTTTCGCCCACAATTCCCCTGTAGGCGGACAGGCCCGACCAAAGAATAGATGCGCCCGAAGTCCATGGTGGTGAGCCGGCGGCGAGCGAGGGGGGGGGGTGAGCAGGAGAAGGCCTTCTCAGACGGCGGCGGGACTCCTCAGAAGCATTCCCCGGCCTTCCGAGAAGTGTCTTTCCGGCCTTCGGGAAAGGCTCAGAAAGCTTCCCAGAAGGCCGCGGGGCTTCCGAGGAAACCTGCAACATACGGACGGGCTTCAATCATTTCTGCGGAGTCCTGGGGCACCCTGAAGAGCCCTGAACAAGCATGCTGGTGCGCCAGGCATCCTCGGGAATCCTGTGGGGTCCTAAAGGACTCTTAGGGGTTTCCGAAAATTTTTGGATAATCCTGAATGCAGACTCCTGACGAATCCAGAGGGTTCCTATGGAGACCAAAGGAAACCTGAGGAGTCCCAGGAGATATTGAGAAGCCCTCAGGAATCATGAGGGTCCTTGACGGACCTTCAAGAATCCTGAAGAGTCGTATGGCTCCCTTAAGGATCCGTGGGAAGCCTAAGCAGTCCTGAAAAACCTGGGGGAACCCCCAGGACACCTGAAGACTCCTGGGGATTCCTGAGACATTCCGAGCAATCCAACAAATCTGTGGAACATGTTGGAACCAGGGGACCCGAAGACTTCCCAAGAGACCCCCAGAGGCCCCGTCAGTGCCCCCCCAGAAAAAACGCAAACCTTGATATATTCAACTTGTTTCCCCTATGGGAATTCGTTGGGAAATGCTCTGGTCCCACCCTCCACTCATCAGATCACCATTAAAGTTTATTTATACATGTATGTATATACATGTATATATAAACCAATTGTTCCTTTCTGTTACGGGGGATCCAGAGGCCATTCACTTCTCATAGTGATCCATGAAGAAAATCTATTTAAAACAATGGGTTGTCCGGGGAACCCATTGGCCCTCCACTGTTCATAAGGATCCCATACTGCAAGTCTATGTGAAACAATATTCTGCTCTGGAAAATCCAGAGGCACTCCACGTTGCATTGGGGATCCCTCTTGACACTCTACATAACACTTGCTTCCAGTGCATCCAGAGGCCTTCAATGTTATAGTTCCGCGCGCGTTCCAGAATCCGAAACCGAGCCCTTACCATTACCTTTTTGCCCATTCACATTCTACCGCGTGATCAGATGACGACCAACCCGAGTAGTAGCAGTAGCCAGAGCCAGATTAAGAGTAGTAGTAGTAGTAATGATGCCGGAAAACAAAACCCAACCATATGTTTTAGGGCTATAGGGCTATAGGGCTATCGGGCTATAGGGCTATCGGGCTATCGGACTATAGGGCTATCGGTCTGTAGGACTGTGACCTATAGGGCCATAGGGCGATGGGGCTATAGAGCTACATGGGCTATGGGGCTATAGGGCTATAGGGATATAAAGCTATTAGGGCTATGGAGATATAAGGCTATAGGGCTACAGGGCTACAGGGCTATAGGGCTAGGGCTATAGGGCTACTGGGCTAGTGGGCTATTGGGCACCCCCAGGCACCCCCGGGCCCCCGGGCACCCAGTCACCCGGGCCCGGCCACCGAAATCGGCCACGCATCTCACCGGGCACCCGGGCACCGCCGGGCACCGCCGGGCACCGCCAGGCACCCGGGCCCGGCCACCGAAATCGGCGACCAACCTCACCTAACCCTTTAATCCGCTAGGACCCCTACAGAGGCAAGCTCTGATTGGGAAATAATTATACTAGCAGTAGTAGTAGGTATGTAGGTAGGTAGGTACGTAGGTAGATGAGTTGGAAGGTGGGTAGGTAGGTAGGTAGGTAGGAAGGTAGGTAGGTAGGTTGGTAGCTAGGTAGGTAGGTAGGTAGGTAAGTAGGTAGGTATTGGTAGCAGTCGTAGTAGTAGTAGTAGTAGTAGTAGTAGTTGTAGTAGTAGTAGTAGTAGAAGAAGAAGAAGTAGTAGTAGTAGTGGTAGTAGTAGTAGTAGTAATAGTAGTAGTAGTAATAGTAGTAGTCGTAGTAGTAGTCGTAGTAGTAGTAGTAGTAGTAGTAGAAGTAGTAGTAGAAGTAGTAGAAGTAGTAGAAGTAGAAGTAGTAGTAGTAGTAGTAGTAGTAGTAGTAGTAGTAGTAGTAGTAGTAGTAGTAGTAGTAGTAGTAGTAGTAGTAGTAGTAGTAGTAGTAGTAGTCGTAATAGTAGTAGCAGTACTAGGAGTTGCAGTAGAGTAGTAGTACTAGTAATAATGCTAGTAGTAGTAGTAGTCGTAGTAGTAGTAGTAGTAATAGTAGTAGTAGTAGTAGTAGTAGTAGTAGTAGTAGTAGTAGTAGTAGTAGTAGTACTAGTAGCAGTGGTAGTAGTTGTCATAAGAAAACAGCAGCACTAGTAGTAGTAGTAGTAGTAGTGGTAGTAGTAGTAGTAGTAGGAATAGTAGTAGTAGTAGTAGTAGCAGTAGTAGTAGTAGTAGTCGTAGTAGTAGTAGTAGTCGTAGTAGTAGTAGTAGTAGTAGTAGTAGTAGTAGTAGTGGTAGTAGTATAGTCGTCGTAGTAGTAGTAGTAGTAGTAGTAGTAGTAGTAGTAGTAGGAGTAGTAGTAGTAGTAGTAGTAGTCGTAGTAGTAGTAGTAGTAGTCGTAGTAGTAGTAGTAGAAGTAGTAGTAGTACACATATTGATAGTAATACTAGTCGTAGTAGGTCGTACTAGCAGTACTACTAGTAAGAAAAATACGAGTATTACTCGTAGCCATAATACTAATAGACGTTGTTTTAGTATGAGTAGTAGTAGACGTAGTAGCAATAGTAGTGGTAGTAGTAGTAGCAGTAGTAGTAGTCGTCGTTCTAGTACCAGTACTACTAGTAGGAGTAGTAGAAGTAGCAGTAGAAGTAATAGTAGTGGCTACAGAAACCGTAGTCGTAGTAGCAGTAGAAGTAGCAGTAGTAGTAGTGGTAGTAGTAGTAGTCGCCGTAGTAGTGGTAGTCGTAGTAGTAGAAATAATAGTAGTACTAGTAGGAGTAGCCGTAGTCGTCGTAGCAGTAGTAGTAGTAGTCGTAGTAGTAGTAGTAGTAGAAGTAGTAGTAGTAGTAGTAGTAGAGGTAGCAGCAGCATTAGTAGTAGTAGTAGTAGTAGTAGTAGTAGTAGTAGTAGTAGTAGTAGTAGTAGTAGTAGTAGTAATAGTAGCAGTAGTAGTAGTAGTAGTAGTAGTAGTAGAAGTAGTAGTAGTAGTAGTAGTAGTAGTAGTAAGAGTAATAGTAGTGGTAGTCGTAGTCCGAATAGTGGTAGTCGCAGTTGTAGTAGTAATGGTAGCAGTACTGGTAGCAATGTGCTTGGAATCTTTACAACGAGTGAGGGGAGGAGGGGAAAGCATGATGTCAGCAAAGACTATGATGAAGCAGGGGCGGGGAGGAGGGACAGAAGGACCAGTACTAGCAGGAGCATAAGACAAGTCGGCGAACGCGACAGCTGCCTGCACCTGGTCTCAAAGCACTACCTTACGCGTGCTGGAGCGCCTGGCCTTGCGACCCAGGGCAAGCAAGGCAAGCGCGCAGGTCGGCCCCGTCCCCCATCTCTGCCTCCTCCGTTTCTGATATCCCCTCGTTCTCCCTCCTTTTCCGCCTCTCTCCATTTCTTCTCAACTGCCTCCCTCGGCCCCACTGCCTCCCTCCCTCCCTCTCTCCTGAGTAGTCAGTATTTCTCTCGCTCACTCTTGTTTCTTGCTGTTGTTCATTGTCTTATCGTTTTTTGTTTTCTCTATATATCTCTCTCTGTATCCCTTTTCTCTCTTTCTCTGTGTCAATACGTATTGGCTTGATCTGTCTGTATATATATATATACAAGACTGCAGTGGCGCTTCGCGCCATGCACCTTGGTCCTTGAAGTTTGGTATGCAGGCGTCATAGCAGGAAGGTCAAGCCGATACTTTAGAGATAACTCTTTGTTGCCTTTTCCGGCATCGCCGCTATAATAATGTTACTTGTGATCCTTCCTCCATGCGTCTTTTTCCTTGTGTTCGCCGTACCCTGCGCATTCTCCCCATCCTCCTCAGCTCTTTTTTGCGGAGGCTCCTCCTTGGAGAGCCTCTGGGGGCCTCACAAAAGTTGTTTCAGGCTTTCTGAAGGCCTTCTGGAGGCCTCCTGGGCGCATTCTGGGGCCCTCTGGGGACTTCCTCGGGCCACCCTGCCTCCAACAGCGGTCTCCCTGAACGACCGGGTCACGATTCGGAATGCTTCGGAGGGTGTCTTGGGGCCATCTTGGGCTGCCATGGGGCTCTCTGAGGGCCATCTTGGACCCGTGTTGTGCCGTTTTGGGGCTCTCTTGGACTGCCTGGAAGCCCTGTCGGATGGTTGTGGGGCGATGTTGGAGCCTCCCAGGCGGCTTCGGACGCCCAGAAGACCGCCGTCTTGGAGCGTCGGGAAGCCGAAAAGAGGAGAACCCCAAAATTCAGCCAAAACCACGAGAAAATCAAAGATTTGTGCCTCTTGGCTCTTGCAGGCCTCTTTGCGGCCGTCCTGGAGGCCTGTTGGGCCATCTTGAGGTCACGTCGGTCCCTCTTGGAGCGCTGTTGTGCTGTCTTGGGGGTCTCTGGGACGTCTCCGATGACACCCCTCTAGGTGTGCTGGGAAGGCTTGGCAAAACGCCCTGCGAGGCCCAGGGGGCCGCTTCGAGGCCCGTCCGGAGGGTCCCAAAGCCCCAGATCCCAGGAGTTCGGTTTTTTTTTGGGGGGGTGGCGGGTTTTCCCCCCGCCCGGGCTTGCAAAAATATAGGAAGAGGACTATATATATATATATATCATGTATTAGTTTCTATGAATTCTATCTGTTAAAAATATGTTAGCTCTCTTTTTTCGGTCACTCGCTCTCTCTCTCTCTCGCTGTTACTCTCTCGCTATCTCTATTTCTCTCTCTCGCTCCATCCCTCTCTCTCTAGTTATGTGCACGCATGTGGATTGTTTTTTTTTTTGTTCTCTCTCTCTCTCTCTTTATCTTCCTCTCTCTCTTTTTCCCTCTCTCTCTCTCTCTTCCTTTCGTTTCTCTCCCTCTCCCTACATCCCCGTCTAACCCTCTGATGTTCCTGTTTCTCCCTTTATCCCTCTCTCTCTCTCTCTCTGTCTCCCTCTCTTCCTCTCGCTCTCCCCTTCCAGACTGTGCTCAATGTCTCTTGTCTCTCGGCTCCTCCACTCCTCAACTCTCTCTTTCTCTCTCTCTCTTCTATGTTCTATGCTCGCTCGCTCTCGCTCTCTCTCAAACTCCCTGTTCCTCTCTCTCTCTCTCTCGCTCTCTCGCTCTCATCCTCTCCACATGTTGGCGGCGGCCCGACGCCCCCTGGCGCCTCGAGGCGCTGCCTGGTCCGCCAGCGAGTTGATCTCGTCGATCTTGGACATGCACTGCGGCGCGCGCGCCTCTCCAACACAGACGTTCTGACGTGCCCGCCACCGTGCCGCGGTGAAGGGGCCCAAGGACACGCAACGAAGTACACACAGATCCCAGGATCCCCCAGATGCTTCCGCATGTTTTGGAGTCTCGTCTCTTACCCCCCTTCCCATATGTTCCGATATCTCCCAGGGAATCGACCATTCATTGTGCCTGTGCTCTGTGTTCCCCCGCCTGACATATGTACAGTCGGACGTGATTGGGCAGGACACGCGAGAGGACACAAGACCCTTCCGCGGTCCACATTGCCATAGGAATGTGGGAGACACGGGTCGCAAGGCACAGGACACGAGGGTACCCTCGATCTGGCAGGGTTGACCTACTAATCTGGGCCGCCTGTGGGAGCTGAGCGGAGCGACCTGACGTCCCCTCGACTTCTCGCCCCGACGTCCTGCACGAAGCCCTCGCTGCGTTACTGACCCCGTGCCTTGGGAGGCCAGACCCTCGTACGCCCGCGACCTGGACGCTCCGCAGGCGACCTCGTGCGCTCCGCAGCGGCCTCGGGGCAGCCCTGCGCGTCTTTCCGAGCGGCCTCGGGGCTGCGCGGCCACGCTCGGGCCAGGCGAAAGGGGGTGATAGCAAAGGGGGGGGTTTGAGAATCAGCTCACGTAGCTGATTTTCCCGGCGCCTCTCGGCGCCGGAGGCGGCTATGTATCGAGGAATGGGCCCCTCGGTGAGGCCGAAACCAGCTGCATGCAGCAAATTTCGTAACCCCCCCTGTCCCAATTCCCTCCTTTCGTCCGGCCCGATTCTGTGGGACCTCGGGGCCGCGGCAGCATGACTTCTCGAGTGGTCGCGGGAAGAGTGGCCCTCTGCGACTTCTCTGGTGGCCTCCAGCGTGCTCGCAGAAGGCCCGACGGGGCCGTCCTCGCGCGATCCCGGCGGCTGCCTCGGCCGTCGCCGTGGCCTGCGGCCTGCCTGGGCGACAGGACAGGCCACAAGACAACCCCACGGGACAAGCCACGGGAATTCCCCACGGGACAACCCACTGGCCACTGGACAACCCCGCGGGCCCCGCGGCGCACGCGGCGAACTGTTTTTGCCCTGCCCTCGGCAAAAACATCGTCGCTCCCGCGCGCGCGCGCGCGAAATGTGCAAGCCGGAACCGAGAAGTTTTGCCAATCGGGGCCAGTTCGATCACATCCCCTCCCCAACCTTAGGTCTGGCATGTCCCCCTACAGCGGGGTTTTGGACGAAAAAGGAAAGATACCCCAAAATATGCAAACATACAAAAATAATGAAAAAAGTCCCCATATTATTTGCTGGCTATTTTTGAATATTCCCCCTGTAGAAGGACAGCCTCCGATCCTCCCTGCTCGTCATCCCTCTGCTCCTCGCCCCTCCTGCCGCTCGCCGCCGGGAGGTCCTCGCTCTCCAGCACGACGAGGCTCCGCTGCGCCCAGTGCGCCAGGGACGCCGCCTCTCGCTTGGCGGGAGCACATTTCGGCCTCCGTCTGCCCAGACGTCGTCGCGACTCCACTACAACTCTGGAGCTAGGAAAGGGGTGTGGCACAAAGGGGTGTGGTGCCAATCGTGGAAATGGAGATGCGATGCACGATAGATAACACTTCCAGGTTCAGCATTGGCACCACACCCCTTTATGCCACACCCCTTCCCGACCTCCAGAACAACTGCTGCTGCTAACGGCTCATGCATCGACGATGTCACTTGGTTCTGGTTTTTGGCGCTCGCTCTATCTCTCTCTACGGGCCCAGGGTCTTCTAGAGGCTTCTGGAAGCCTCTGGGGACCTTCGGAAGCCTCGGGGGACCACTGGGGGCCGAGGGAGCTGCCAACGGAAACGGCCGGGCGTGAAATTACTACAACTACCACCCCTTCTGCTTCCACTACTGCTGACGATGATAGTGATGCTTCCACTTCTACGCTTCGCTGTTCTGTTTGACATTACGCACCACCGCGCTTGCATTGCAGTGGTCTGTGTCTGCGTGTGTCCCTTTTCGTGTGGACGCTCCCCGTACATACTTGCCTACCAGCTGTGGTGTCACATCGCCGGCGCAAGTACAAGTGTCTGTGTGTGTCCCTGTTCGGGCGCGGCCGCCCTCGTCTTCGTTCCTTCCTCTTGCACGTCGGACAATTCGCCTTTCGGTTGCCCCGATAAGCCCCACGCTGGTGCTGACTGCCTCTGCCTCGCCGCCGACGAAAAAAGTGCCCCTGCTCGGAGTCATCTACGTGAGCGTATGTACTCCTGAACCCGCCGATTGCATCCATCAGCTCGCAGGGTGACAAGAGTGTCCCTGTGCGGCGTTCGCCTCTTCGCCTCCCCCAGCAGCAGAGGCGTCCTGCTGCGTGGGCACCACATCGAGATCATCAGGGCAAAGTTCACCGCAAGGCCAGCGTCGAGGCGGACTCTGGTTCCGTCGCGCCACCTTCAGATCCCTCTGGCGAGCGCATGGCTGACTATCGTCGAAGCTATTGTCATTCCTTTGGTGTTCCTTTGTCCGCCATCCCATGCTGCCTGCGGCAAGCTTGCCGCCGGAGACCGCGTCGACGCCGCGCGCGAGCTGCCGAACAGAAAGAAAGCGTGTGTGTGTGACCTGGACACACTTGGCTCGCGACGTTGGCGTCACATCGCCAGCGGGTGACAAACATCGTCTGTGTTCGTGTGTGTATTTGTGTTCGTGCGTGTTTGTGTGTTTGTGCGTGTGCGTGTGCGTGTAGGTGTGTGGGAGGGGGGGTACCCTGCGGTGGTTCCCTGCGCTGTCTTTAGTATCCTTTTTGGTTGGCTGCCGTTGCCGCCTCCCCACTGCGCATCGATTGTTGCTTCGGCGCGGTACTGTCGCACGGGCTCGTCTTCCCCATCCTGTCCGCTCTTTCCCCCTATTTCCCCTGTCCAGCCCCTCACGGCTGCCCCGCCGTGAGCGTTGCTGTCGATCCCCGATTGGTAGATCCAGCTTGTCCATGCCGCCTGAGCTGGGCTGGTGCGCGCGCACGCTTGACCTGATCTACGCCGCGCGGCCACCCGCGTGGCCACGACGCCCAGAACTGTGGGATCCCTGCTTCATCCAGAACGCTTGGCGCAATCAGCTTGATCGCCCCTATCGCGCCCACGCGACAGTGACGTCAATCACCACTTCACCGGCAGAGGTCAAGATGTATGTCTGTGCGCATGTGGTTCATGCAGCTACTAGCAGTGCGCAGGGCTGCATGACAAGCCGATTGACAAATTACGTGGCTCGCGCCTGCGGGCGTTCAACAATTAAACACGTGAGCGTGTGTGTGTGTGTGTGTATGTATGTGTGTGAAGGGGGGTGCGTATGTGGGTGCGTACCGTGCTGTTCCGACCGGTCGCCACTGTGCGTATCCTGGATCACCGACTGACGTCTGACCACGCTACTTCACAAGTGAAACGAATACCCGTGTCCCGTAGCACTGCCCGCCGAAAAGGTTTTCTGACGCGTCGGAGTAAAGAAGTGTGTGCGCGCGTATATGTGTGAATGCGTGTTTGCGTGTGTGCTTCTTGCGAAATAATAGAAACGGGTCCCCGAAATGTCGAGTCCGACGCGCGTCCATCTGTGTGACCGAGCTCCTTTGAGGTGGTGCACACCCACACCAAGCATACCACTCAAACAACACGTCGGGCTCTAGGATCTAAGCTCCGCCACTTCTGCCCCCATCATCCCCCAGACGCGTCCCCAAGAGCGGTGGCGGATTTGCGGGGCAGCACAACAGGATATCGTATACCTCTGCTTATGGAATGCTGGTCATACCCTTTCTGCTGCGAACACTGCGCTCCGCAGAGTCAATGCTCGACCAAGCAACACCAGGCTCCAAGTAACTTAACCCAAACGCCCGACGCAGTAGGACGTTGCCTCTACTACCACTACCACTACTACTGCTATGACTACAACTATGACGGATACTCTGGCTACGACTTGCACCTACTACCATCTACCTACTACCTGCGACCTATTCGTACTACCTACAACCTACCGCCTACCATTGTTAACTCCTGCTGCTGGGACTTCTCGAAACACCACCACCACCACCACCACCACCACCACCACCACCACCACCACCACCACCACCACCAATACTACTGTTAGTAGTCTCGCTGCTCCTCCTCCTCCTCCTTCTCCTTACCCTCCTCCACACAACGATACCGGATATAATCCGTAGCCATTTGGCTCAGGCTGTTACCCGTCAGAAACGCACGCTTGGATGGCCACGGTGTCCTCGCAGATTTGCTGCTGCAGGACTGCTGTTCCATGGTGGCGCTCGCGGGCGCCATTGTTAGGTGTGCAAAATCCGAATCATAATTTAGTCATTGTTGTGTGCGTCGTTTTTATGTTCCGTCCAATACAGTGTTTTGTTTTTTGTGTGTTTATGTGTGTGTTGTGTTGTGAGGTGTTGTGTTTTCTGTGTTTATTTACGCGGGAAGGCCCTGCCGCGGTCGATCGCCCAGGGGGGTTCGACTGCCGCCCCGGCGCGGATCGCCCCCGCCAAAGTTCCCTCAAAAGGGGGAGCTTAGGTGGCTTTTTTCCCGTAAACGCCCACGCTCGCCTGCGATGGTGCGGGGGGTCCTGGATCGCCCGGGGGGGTTCCAGGACGGGCCGACTCGCCGGGGGGGTGTCGGTCCGAGCGGTGGAGTCGCCCGGGGGGGGTCTCCGCCGCCCAATTCCCGCACGAATCGCCCAGGGAGGTCTCGCGCGGGAACAGCCCTCGCGAATCGCTCAGGGGGGTTTCACGGGGACGAGGTAGCCCAAGGGGCGCCTCAGAGGACAGTGCAGGGCGCGATGGATTCATGCGAATCTGTCGCGGGACTCTCGCGATTTTTTCGCGGGGGGCCCGGACTCTTGCGATTTTTTCGCGTGAGGCGCAACGGTCTGGACAGTCACGCAGGGAGGTGGGGGGGGCGAAGAAGAGATGAGTGGAGGTCCGATACCAAAGCCTCGAGGGCCACCTCTGGGGCCAAGCGAATGACGGACAATTGGAGCAGGAAGCGGCTAAGGATAGAGAAGGGGGGCGAAGGATAAGAGCCAGAACGGAGCGCGAGCGGCGCACCGAAGAGCAGAAGCGGAGAGACAGGGAGTTCTCCGGTTGATCATACCAAGGAAAAGGGCGAGCTTGATGGCTAAATTGAGGCTCTGAGTTTGCGCACACAACCATTGCGGGCCCCGCCCCGTTGCCACCGTCGCACCCCACGCGCGAACGGCCACTGGGGGGGCGACCACGGGCAGCGCGGCGCGGCACGGGATCGCGGCGGCGGTGCTTGCTGGCGCTGAGCTGATAAGCTTGCCCGTGGCAGCCAGCGGCGAGGAGGCGGATGTCGACGATGTGCACGCCTGGCGGTAGCAAGCCTTGTGGTCGGCGAAAGCCATGAACATGCGCGAGAAGCACGCCTCGGGGGCAGCGCGCGGCGCTCGGAAAATCGGGGCACACGCCATGCTCGGGCGAGGGGCCAGGGCGTCTGCGGAGACGCGGGCGCACACACGGGCCGAGCGAAGGACGATCGTACCAATGAGCCTATCCGCATTAGGCCACCTCCTGGGGGACAGCGCCCGCGCTATGAGTCGGGATGCCCCCCAGAGACGCGTGCGCCTTAAGGGCATCGCGCAGTGAGGTGAGAGGTAGAGCTACGCAGGTGCTGCCACCGGCCAGGCCTACCATCGCACACACGGGCGAGCTCGGCTCGGCGTTCGGGCTGGCAGCCTGGCGGCACCGGGTGCGCCTTCGGGGCGGGGCCTCGGCGGGCCACCCTCGGAACGGCGCCTTCCACGGCCGGGTGGGCGCACCCGCCTCGCCCACCTGCCGGCCGCGACGCCGAGGGGGGCGACGAGCATCAATCAGAGCCGCAGCTACAGTCAAAACGTACATTAAGGGCGGATGGTAAGGGCGCAAGACCCTCGGAGGCCGAAATTGGGATGTCTTGGGCGGCGGGCGACTACCGAGAACGGCAAAGGACGGGCCGCAGGGACAAGCACACGGGGGCACCCTAGATGAGGGCGCGCGTCCTTACGAGGCGCGTTGGCTGCATCGAGCCCAGCGACAGTGCCGACGAGGGGCCACCGTCGCAAGGCTGGCGGGCTGCGCGCACGGCGGGCGCGGCCCACGCCCGAGGCAAGAGCTGGAGCGGAACTGGCAGGCGGACGGCGCGAAGCGGCGCGACCGTGGCGCCCCTCCCCGCACGGCTGCGGCTTCTCGCTGGCGGGCAGCGGTGCGCCGCGCCCCGTGCACGGCCGGGGCCGCTCCGGCCTCGGGGCCGCGGCAGCACGCGGCCACGGCGCAGGCGGGGCCCCCGCACGGCGGACGGCCCCGACCAGGACGAGAAGGACGACTGCGGCGGCGCCGAGGAGCAGGAGCGGCAGAACGGCGGCGCGGGCATCGATACAGCGCCCAACGGCGAGGGCAGCGCGGAAGCGTGGCTCGGCGCTCGGCGGCGAGGGCTGCAACGAGCAGCGCTACGGGGCGGATTCCGACGCGGGGCTCAGTGTGGAGGCAGGCAGCAGGGGCTGTGACGTGGTGCCTGTCATTCAGCTCGACAGCGCGGGCCAGCGCGACGGCACGCGCGGCGAGGAACCGCAGCAAAGGCAGGGGTGAGCAACAAGCCCAACGCCAGGACACGGCGGACGAGGGGGGGCGAGAGCTCGGCCAGGGCGCACCCCAGCTTGACGCCCTGCCCGGCGCCTGGCACGACGCCCATGCGACGGACGACGCGGACCCAGACGACTCGGAGCAAAGCGGCAAGGCGCCGTACCGAAAGGGCTCGGCTCGCACGGCAAAGGCGGTCAACGGCCGCGGGCCGCTGCCGGGGGCGGCACCGCAGCCCAGGGATGAGCACTTGCGAACGAAATCTCGTTCGTGAGAAGGCTGGGGCGACCTCAGGGACGACAAGGGTCTGCGACGGGAACCAGTCTTCGCCGTGCAGCCACGGGCACCCGCTGCAAGACGGGGACCAGCGGCACGGCGCGGCGGGCAGGGCTCACTCCGACAATCGGTTGGCCGGCCGAGATCGCTCCTCTGGGCGGAGATGCGCCCGCTGCCGACCTCCGTGGCACGCCTGGTCGTCAGGGGGGGGGGGGGGGGCGCGAGGCGCAAGCCCTTGAAGCAACGCCTGGAGGAGGCGGGCCCGGCGGGCGTCGCCGCGGCGGGCCCGGTGGGCCGAGCTCGCGGGCGGAGAAGCTCGCGACGCTCCGCGCAGGGGCGTCCTGGGCAGCTGGGGCGTGCGGCTCTTCGGCGCAAGCTGAGCGGCCACGGGCAGGCACTCGAGGTCCGCACCCCTCTACGCCCCTCCGGAGGGCCGGGGCCGTGCGCAGCGCGGCGTCTACAGAGTCGCTCAGCGGCATCCGGAGACGGCCCTTGCCTCCACTGTGGGGCAGGGGCGTGCACGCACGGAGGCGGAGGCTTTGCCCTGTCGCCGGCGGCCATCGCGGGCCCCGAGGGGAGGGGCCGTGCGGCGCGCCAGACTCCTTTGCGCACGAGTTACCTTGAGGCTTCTTGTCCTCCCTGCGCTCTGCTTCGGCTTATGGCATTGGTGTGCGATTTCTGCCGACACCTGATTGCTGGCCCCCTTCCGAGGGGGGGGGGCCTGGGCACAAGGTGCGCGGAGCCCGCCATTGCTGTCTGCCGAGGCGGCTCGAGTAGGGTTGCGGCTGGGAAAGGGGGTGCCTCGTGTTGCGGGGGGTCCTGCTCGTCGTCGTCTCCAGGGGCTCGCCCAAATCTGGCTTGCATAGTTTAATTCCCACTGGCACCGAAGCGTGCCCCTTTCATGTCCTATCAGCGCGACGCTGATTTGCCTGACTTGTGGGGTGCCCCCCCCCTTGCGCATTGACAGGGGGCCTGGCAGTGCGGTGGCCGCGGTCTCCTCCTCAGCTGCGCGTTACCCTTTCCGGGGCTTTTTTGATGTGATTCCTCCCCAAAGTGGCCATGAGGCTCCTCCAGGGCGCTTGCTCGTTAACCCCCTACTACTTTTCTCGGCCTTCGGCCGAGGGCGTCTATCGGCTACACGCAGGAGTGACCCTGGGTAAGACTGACCTTTGGTGCGCGGCTGTTTGGAGGCCGCGGGGGAGCCAAGCCCGAGCGCGCAGGACGCTACTACCGCATCGCGTGCGGCGCTCGGGGGACCCCGGTGGGCCCGAACCAAAGGTCACTTCGGCGAAAAAGGTCACTCCTACGTGCAGTCGACTCTGGGCCTTTAGGCAGCGCGTCGCCATCGACCACAGCGGCGCTCCGCGTGGAGCGCGACGGCTCGAGCGGGCGCAGCGGCCCGAGCTGCAGGCGAAGCTGCGGAAGCGGCTGGAGCAGAGGCGCAGTTAGGCACGCCCGACCAGCGGCCTCCTCAGGGGGCCTCGCTGGCCTGAGGCCCAACGAAGGAGAATGCCGCCCCCTCCTCTGGGCGAGGAATGTGCCTTCCCAAATCCCCGACGTCACGATCTGTTCATGATGTCGACCCCCAAAAAACTAACTGTTTTGCTTCCGGGAAGACCGTTTTAGCAACCACGGATGTGCCAGCCCTTCCGAAAGGGTGATCGCGTGGCACGGCCGGCGCGGCCCCGCCACGCCAGCGGCGCAGGCCGGTTTCCTTCCCAGCGCCGCCGCAGTCGGTGGGTGGCGCTGCAAGCAGACGGAGCTCGACTGCGAGCTTGCGCCGTCGGCCCGCGCGCGTGCACGGAGCATCTGCCGTTTGATGAGGGAAGGGTGTGCTCGAGAGCCCGATTTTTGTTCGGACGCATGCAGCGTGCAGGCTCAAGCCTGCGCACGCATTTGGGGGACCTCGCGAGGGCCTGGGCGATCATCGTCACCCACGTCGCCATTCACCGTCACTGGCATCATCAGCATCAGAAACATAATCATTAACGCTTGCGCAACCACATCCTCCATTTAATCACAAGTCTCGTCAGCATCGTCATCATCATCATCACCACCACCACCATCAGCATTATCAACATATCAGCACCATCAGACCACTCGTGCTGGGCATCATCAGCAGCAGCAACATCAGCAGCAACCTCCTCCTCCTCCTCCTCCTCATCATCACCATCAGGAGCAACAGTGGCATCGTCATTATTAGCATCATCATATGCATCACAATCACCATTACCATCACCATCACGATCATCGTCATTATCATCATCAGCAGCATCATCGTCGTCATCAACCTCATCCTCATCATCCTCATCACCATCGTCGTCGTCGGCGTGGCCGCCGTCGTGGTCATCACCATCACCATCATCATCATCATCATCAGCAGCAGCATCATCATCAGCGTCATCAGCATAACCATCAGAATCATGACCATCATAAACAGCATTCGCATCCGCATCCGCATCCGCATCCGCATCAAAATCCAGCATCAGCATCAGCATCAACGTGATTAGTTGAACAGTCCCGTCATCAGCATCGTCATCACGATCCTCATCCTCATCCTGATCATCCTCCTCATCACCATCACCATCATCATCAGCATCATCATGATCGTAGTCACCAACACCACCACAATCCTAATCATTACCATCATCATCATCATCAGCATCATCATCATCATCATCATCGTCATCATCAGCATCAGCATCAGCATCAGCATCATCAGCATCAGCATCAGCATCAGCATCATCATAAGAATCATCAGCATATCCAATGTCATACCAGTCATCATCATCATCATCATCCTCATCCTCAACATTTACAACATAATCATCATCAACAACATCATCATCGACATCGTCGTCATGGTCAACATCATCATAACCGTCATTAGCACCAGTACAAGCACCAGTACAAGCACCAGCATTAACATCTCTGTCCTCCTCCTCCAGCTTGTCCCTCTCCTCCTCGCCCTCCGATTCGACCTCCGCATCCAAAACCACCAGCCCGCAGAGCGGCCCGTGGCCCTGAGCTGTCTCACTTAAACTGCTCTCTCCAGCCCCTCCAATACAGACGGGACGAATCTGCCCCTGCCTTTCCCCAATGATACGGGTTGCCGCCCCGCTGTGTCCCACAGCACTCCTGTTCGGGCCCTGCGGCTGAAGGCACCGATGTGCGAGCGCGTCGTAGAACAGTGCTGCCAGGCCCCTGGCGGCCTCCGAGATCGGTCCCAAAGAAGGGGGGGAGACCTGAGAGCACCTTGCCTCCCTGCTCCAGGAAGCGCACCCAAGACGGCCCAGGGCCCCCCCTCCCCCCGACCCGAGACGGCGCAAGAGCTCAACACGAGGCGGCTTGCGAGGCCCTTCATGAAGCCGTCCCTGGCACTCCATCGCGGGAGCACGGCGGCGACGACGGCGGGACCAGCCTCGGCGGACTGCTCTCTGGTGAAGCTGCTGACGTCCTGCTGGTCCTCAGGGGCGGAAGGTCCGCGCCCGCGACGCGCGGGGGTCTCGCGGTGCCCGGGGGAACGGGCGGGGCATTACGCTGACGATGACGATGGATCAAGCCGTGTGGGCTTAACCCTCGAGGTTGGGGGACTGTGGAGAATGCGGTCTGCCACACCTCCGTTACCCATTTTTCGCACTCTCGCCTCGGCGCCGCGCACATTTGTTTCAAACATGACGTTCTCGCCTCGACGCCGCGCACATTTGTTGATGCATCTTGATATCGATTACAGCATTTGTTCTTAATGGGACTCTCGCGTTAGTGGCGTGCCCATTTTATCCAAAGCGGGACCCTCGCATCAGTGCCGTGCGCATTTCCAAGATGGAAGGGCGGGGGTGCTGGAGAGAAGGATCTCGGACAGCTCTGGGCCCGCCTGAGACTGCTCGCGCAGATACCGTCGGGACTGCTCGCGCAGATACCGTCGGGACTGCTCGCGCAAATACCGTCGAGACTGATCCTACGTCGAACCGAAGGAATGGAGGGAGGGGTCGGATGTCAGATGTGGTGCGAGCGCACCTAGCTTGCCTTGTCCCTCCTCCCCTCTTCATCCTTCTCTCCACCGCGAATGTCGTGGGGCTACCGTCTGGGGCTGATAGTGCAGGACCGTCGGGGCTGCTCAAAGGACCATCTTAGGCTGCTCGTGCAGGAACGTCGGGGCTTGCTCAAAGGACCGTCTGGGACTGCTAATGCAAAACCGACGGGGCCTGCTCGAGAACCGTCTGGGACTGCTAGTGCAGGACCGTCGGGACCTGCTCAAGGACCGTCTGGGACTGCTAATGCAAGACCGTCGGGATTGGCAAGGCAAAACGCAAGGCATCCCAAGGGATCCTCCCATGGGAAGGGGTGGAGGGAGGAGTGGGATATCAGATGTAGTGCGAGCGCACCTAGCTCGCCTTGTCTTCCATCCTCCCTCCTCCCCTCCTCATCCTGTTCTTTCCTCGTGTGGAAGGGGGAATGCATGTGTTCTTGTCTGCCCAAGATGATGGCCTTGCCCCAGGCTCGGGGCCGGGGGCGGGGCCGTCGGATCCCGCCTTAGTGGGGCTTCCCTGGGCCGTTTTGGGGACCATCGTGGGCGCCTTGGAGGCCTATTGGGTTGTCTTGGGGCCCTGTCGAGACCGTATCAGAGGCCTCTTGGCCGTCAAGGGGCCACCGTGGGCCGTCAACAAAAACGAAAAAAGGCAAACGCCGAACACATAAAGGAAATCAGTGATTGGGCCTCTTCGGGCCTTCTTGGGATGACCACAGGATGCTCCACAACAGGCCGCCAAACGGTCGCGAGACCCCTGGTTCCTGATCGAAGATACCATTATCCAAATCCCCCACCGCATCGATGCCGCAGCCGTGGTAGCTCAAGTGCGACAACCTTTGTGTGATTGCGTTGTGTGCCGAACACCTCGCACCCAGCGGAAGCACCGACGTGGCCGCAGCCATGAGTGTCAGCTCGAATGACATTGAGCTGCTGGCCTAACGTCTCATACCGCGCACCGGTGGCTCCGTGACATCGTCGGTTCCAGATCCGCAATGGCCTTGTGAGGTCTGCGGCCGACGCGCTTGCAACAAGTTGGGATCACGAATATGCTCGACTTGCTTCCCTTCAGTTGGAGAAACCAAGGCCCCAAAGCGCAAGAAGACCACTCGTCGGGCCAAGGGACAGGCCAAACGGGTAGCGGGCAATGCGAGGACATGGCACGGGCAATCGTCACGAGCCTGGAGGACCCCGAAGACGCTGCCCTTGCTGAAGGGATCGCCGCGTGCTTGGAGGAGCCAGAGGACGATGACCTGGCCGCAGGGATTGCCACGAGCTTGGAGGCTCCGAGAAGGAGGCAGAGGACGATGACCTGGCCGCAGGGAGCCGCAGGGGCGCATCGTCAGCGCTCTCGAGCAGGCTGCGCCTGAGGGCAACGGCGTGCCTGCCGCGGCGCTCAAGAGGGCCATGGTCAAGCATCCCAAGGCGGACACGTACGCGTATGACCGCTGCTGCTCTTTCTACAAGTTCGGCCAGCAGATCGCAACGTTCAGGCACATCAGGTACTGGACCGTGGACTGGATGCACGCCAAGAGGCGCTCGGCGGATTGCCCGTGCAATCCGTACCATATTCACACGCTGAAGCTCAGGCTGAAGGCCGTCAACACCCAGGCCGCGGAGCAGACTTTCGGCTGGTTCCGTAGGCACTCAAACATCCTCAACGAGATGTCTCCGCTGGGGCACAAATTCCGGGTTCTGTACTTTTGCAAGCTCCACAACCAGTCCACTGCCGAGCGCCGAGCGGACTACCTCCGACCGATGGCGGCCGTCGTGACCAGCGGCATGAGGGTCGAGCACTATGGTTGCTGATCGGGCCATCACAGGCGGCAGGTACGGGCGCGCGAGTGCCGTGGATGTTTAGCTCGTCCCTGCTAAGTTCCTCCGTTTAGGGCGTGTGTGTCGTTCTCCAGGTAGCGATGCTACTCGCGATGCCAGTGGGAGGGTAAGAATGCGGATGGGCCAGTGGGAACACTGGGAAGGATAAGCTTGTTTTCCAGGCGGTGGGGGGTCGGGGGAGAACAGAAGTGCCAGGCAGTCCATGAGGCGGCGCCTTCGCTGCACTGAGGTGATTTGTATACCATTTGATGTAGCGTGCGCATGCGCCAGTATGACACGTCCGCATATACCAGAGTCTCTGGGTAATCGTGTTCTAGGTGACCGGGGGGTGCGCCCGGTACACTTTGCATGGCTCTGCACTTGCACGCCGCGGCTGACGTTCTATTGCGAGGTGTGTTTACTACGCGGGCTGAGCTCGCAAGAATAGAGCGTGACGCATTCGGTAACGACTCTGCGTCAGTTCATCCGTGACAACCTGCAATCTCTCTCGCCATCACCTCGCATCACCTGCTTCCATTATGCTGCAGGAACCAACCCCCCATGGAGTGGAGGGCCCACCAGTGGGACCTCTGGGACGCCCTGGTCACGAATCTGATTATGCGAGGCCACCCCCCCTAATGCGCATCTCCCCGAGGCTCTGGGGGGCTTGCCCCTGGCCCCTGGGTGGTCTGGGGGGGGGGGGGGGGGGGGCCAAAAAAACAAATCCAGCATCGTCCCACCGCCAGTTTCTTTTGTTTTTTTGTTGCCCCCCCCCCCCTGGTCACGAATATGATTGTGCGAGCCCCGGCCCCCTCCCCCTCCCTATGGCGCCTCTCCCAAAGCCTCTGGGGGGCGTGCCCGAGGGGATCTGGGACCAACTCAGTGCAAAAAACGCACGGACGGAAAACAGAGAACAAACGAAAGCAAAGAAGAGCGATGACAAAATGTGCACGGCGCCGAGGCGAGAATGCCACTTCTGAAAAAATGTGCGCGGCGCCCAAGCGAGAGTGCAAAAAAACAAAAAAACAAAAAACGTGCGGCAGACCGCAGTCTCCACAATCCCCTGTTCTCCAAGAATCTGAGGCACCAAGTCTGCAGCCCAGCTTCGCCAAAGCACTGGGCGAGCCCAATACAATAGTCACAAGTGCAGAGTGCGCTCAGCATTCAGCAAGCATCGTCATCGTAATGTCATCGTCATCGTCATCATCATCGTCATCGCCATCGCATCAGAGGTATACTCAAGTCCAGTCATTGAGATCTAAGGATGCAAATCCTTTGAATCGCCCGAACTTGTACGAGGGAAAGAACGCCAACCCTCTAAAGCCCAAGAATGCAAGGGAGCCTGGCCTAGCAGGGGGGGGGGTCCGAAAACGCGCCAAGGATGGCCAGAACCTAAGGATGTAAACTGCCCTCACGAAAAGGGCCCATCCTGAACGCCGGTTTTGACTGTGAGCAAGTGAGGTGGCGTCTCCTGGGAGGTCTTCGTGGGAACGATGGGGAGCATGGAGATCAAGGAGCTACCAGGCCATGCTCCGCATTGACAGGCGCTGTCGGGCCGGAGCGTGGAGCTGCTGCGCCGAATCAGGCCAAGCCTGAACAAGCCAGATTCAGCCACAGTGACGCCAAGAATGCACAAGGTCCAGATCTCATTCGACCTGCCAAGATTTGCAACCCCAGGGAGCAGGGGGAATGACCAGATGAGGAGAAAGGAGAATGGAAGGGGGTGGTGGACAAGGGGCACATGCACGTGGATCCAAACGCATGCCTCCAACGAACAAAACCATAGACTCTGCACCTTCAGACTCGCGCGAGACCGCCTCACACAATGTATACGGGAACGCGTGTAGCTTTAGGTCGGGCATGTCCCCCTGCAGGCGGATTTTGGACGAAGAGTTTGAAATAGTCAAACAATATTAAAACATTATCAACAAATATACCAAACATCGTCCCAGGACTATGTTTAAAACTATGTTTGAATACTCCTCCTGTAGGGGGACAAGCCCGACCTAAGTGTGGCTGAAGGAGCAGCCCGACGCCTGGCTCGGGCCCGGCACCCCCACTTGCTTCCAGAGGACTCCGAGCCACAGTACCTCGCCAGGGGAATACTCGGCGGTGGACAAACCTCCCTTTAGTAAACCTCCCCTTCGCGAAAACGGCCTGGGATCGAAACCGACGGACCATGGATCGCAAAAACGACGGCCGCGACGCCCTCTCGCGAACCGAAAACGGCCGATTCGCGACTCGACGCGTCAGGGTAGGAGGTCTATCCGCCCCGAAATATTGGCCCCGCGGGAGGGGTGGATCGTCACGCGAGGCGGAGGGAGGAGGGGGGGCGGGGGGAGGGGAAGGATGGGCAGGAGGGGGGCGGGGAAGGGGAATGGGGCGGACGGCAGGGGGGAGGGCGTGGCTGGGGGACAGGGCGGGGGGGAGGGAGAGACGCGGAGGGCCCCCTCCCAAAACTGGAGGAGACGAATGAGGAGGACAAACAGACAGACAACCACTTGCGAGCCATAGTTTCGTGTCTGGAGGGCCCTGCACCTGCTGCTGCGCCGCCACCATGAACTGCACTTTGTACTGCAGCGGGGCATCGTGCTTCTTCTTGTCGTAGTGACACGGGCGGATCC